ACGTGATTATATGTACGTTTATACTGGCATCTAAAGCCCTGAAGGCAGACGGATTAATAAAGTATATTTTATGTACGCGGGGGAAAAAAAGGAATTCTTTATAAGAGGTTTTTTCATCATTCAATTGTTTGCACTTCAACTGCACATCAAGGGTTTGACGTCATAACTTTCTGCTCCCAATAAGAAGTGTTTGGGGTCTTTCCCGTTGATGCCTATTTTTTATTTGTAAGATCCATTCCCAGCAAGGAACCATAAAAACTGGATAATGAACACAGATCTCGCTCAACGTAGAGACTCTATGGCTCAGTGGAAGAGCATCGGAGCGCGGAATCCGAAAGTCTGACGTTCGATTCTTCATGGGGACTCAGAATGTTTTCTTTGTTCCACGCTGGAGACAAGACGAAAAACATCTTTCTCAATTTCTTTACCGAGCTCAAAACTTACCACCTCTCTTATTCTATTCACATTATAGTCGTGCATGTAGTTAGCCCATTTACCCCGAAAAACAACTTCTGTCTTCTCACGCATGTTTCCTGAACAAAAACAAATTATGCAAACTACTTGCAGCAGTTTAATTAAGTTCAGTTCCGTGACTTTTTGGCCAATCAGACGTTTTAAAAAACAAAAACCTGTTTAGGAAGTTGAACCCTTCACCTGCTATTGGTCGAAATTCAAAGGTTATAGCGTAAAGGTTCCCTCAGTGCTTTTACTGTACGTGCAGACTTTTCGGACTGAATCTAGGTGTGTATCGTTATCAGTAATATTAGTTCATCCAAACAATGTCCGCAAAAGCAGGTGAGAAGCCTAACATTTTCAAAGATGCATCAGTGTTGTTTGATTGAATTAACTGGCCTGGGACTCAACTATAACTTTTTTCAATAATCAATGCAATAGTTGCATAGGATCCTGCCAACTTTTTAGTGGAAATAGAAAAATAACCTAGTAAACCGATATTGCATCGAAGCCTCTGCTTTCTCTACATTGTAATTAATTGACTTTCCAAGGTTGATCTTGATCAAACATTTGCAACCAATCTTTTCTCTTCGCGTGAAAATATTTGCTGTTTAGCCATAAAGCTAGTATAAAAGGGAAAAGAGAACCGGTCAAAACCGTCAGTTGCATGAGGTCTCTTGCTTGATTTCGTCGGAAATACGCACTTTGTTCCATGTTTGTTCTCATTGATATCTCGTTTTGCCACCCCACGTTGTGTGCATCAAACAAGATGTCGAATGAATTTGCTTGATCGTTTAGCCAGGGGTTTACAATCCAGTCGCCTCTAAAATGCTGCTAAAATGAGATTAGGAACATTTAATTGTCGCCCCTTCGGATTGACACTCAGAGTAGTGTGCTGGTACGTAACAACAATCAGTTGGTAGAGAACTTGGTTCATCAAAATGGTCACAGGTAGACGTTAGATCTTGACACAACATTTTCCCCAGGCTACAAAGAAGTACACTCGACTCCTTGATTCTCAAAAAATGATAGCTGCGGCCATGTTTGCAGAGCAAGAACAGTTCTGGTATTGATATTTTCCCCGATAATCTCAAATACAAAGTGGATAAAAGCCTCCGATTTCAATTTGCTGATTAATCTTTAGTTTTAATGTTATTTTGATAAGCATTCTCCGCAATGGTTTCAAGACTGCCTTTCTCTCATATCACGTGAATGGAGCATATCTCAGCTACGTGCTTTTCCGACATACCAAATCACAGGCAGCCCAAGCTCCAGCTGTGAGATGATCATCTTGCGCAATAACAGTCAAGGCGTAATTATAAGAGTTTGTATGGGAATATTTGCGACCGCTCTAACCACAGGCGGTCCAAGCTCCAGCTGTGAGATGATCATCTTGCTCAATAACAGTCATGGCGGAATTATGAGAGTTTGCATGGGAATATTTACGACCGCTTTAACGAATTAAAAAATACGTCAAATTCTCAGTAAAAATACCTCACATAACTTCGATAGCGTATCACTTGTTATCTGACCGCTTACTTTGATGAAAAGAACCCATTTTAGCGAGTTGTCCATTTCAAGGTTTTCTACGTACATAAGAAAAGCTTTTTATATATATATTTTTATTTCTTAGAGCGGTCTTAAATATTCCCGTACAAACTCTAATAATTCCGCCATTACTGTTATTTTGCAAGATGAACATCTCACAGCTAGAGCTTGGGCTGCCTGTGACCAAATGAGATGATACTTTACAAACACCGTCATCATTTGTTATTGTTACGTAGCCTAAGGGTATTAGGATGATTTTTCCGTTTGATGGAAAACCAAATATATATGTTACTAAGGGACATTAGTTATCCACTCTAAATCCACTGATGAAGCATGAAGTTTGATATCCTTCAACTACTTTTGGTCGAGAGATGTTGGAGTTAGCATTAATACTTTGCGCAATCAAGCGAAGCATCCTAGGTAAAAGGTGAGCTTGCGGAGAAAAATATTCCTCTGCAGCCGCTGAGAAGAATTAACAAATCGAAAGAGGTTTAGCGTGGTCTGTACTCTTATCAACAACGATATTCGTCATTACAGTGGTCAAACTGTTACTACAATATCGACCTCAAACAAAACGATTCTTTCAGTACGTGATCAAGATCGTGACACATTGACGCGAGCAGTATGTCTGAACTCTTATCGACAACGTCAAATTGGCGATCTCTGACGAAGGGCTAACGCTCGAAACGTCAACCTTTTTACTCTTTATGGTGTCCAATTTACGTTTTCAACTCAGTTGTTAACACTATATTACCTAAGAAATTTTATTGCCAAAATGTACGAAATAACTCTAATGATAACTAATAGTTCTGTTCTACTATATGACGCAATACAATCTCATGGATTTTTCGATTTTTTTCTTCAGTTTCAGAGGCTGATAGGGCTAGTGCGGCCAAAGCATTCTTTAGTAAGATCGTCACTCCTATTGTCGATCTCTCGTCGGGATTAAATTTGTTGGACCCAATAATGGTGCATCTTATGGAAGATGAGGCAAAAAGTATTGTAGCTCCTGGAGGTCCCATTGTGCCCGAAGAATATGTTCGATCCTCCGTTTCCAATACTCAAGACGTTATAGATGCAGTTAAAAGAGCTAAGAGGGAGAAGAAAGTCCTCCGTGTCGTTGGATCGGAACACTCCGTAAACGCGGCCATTTATCCTGAGGATGGCATCATACTGGTCCTAAAGGAAGATCTTCGAAAAGTAGAAATACTGCACACAGCCGAAGAAGATGGCAAGAAATGGTTGTATTGTCGTATCGGAGGAGGCTGCTATCTTGGCAAAGATCCCTTGGACCCTAATTCAGCTTGCTATCAGGTGGCAGTTCAAGGGTATGGCTTTCCTGAGCTGGGAGGAATCATCCACCAGTCCGTTGGTGGCTTTATCATGACTGGTTCTGCAGGCGGAAGCTTAAAGCATAGCTTTGCTGATGTCATCCAAGAGATCGAGTTTGTGGACGGCAATGCACAAGTTCAAACGGCCGAACGTGGAACTGATCTTTGGTGTGCGGTAGGTGTTTCCATGGGGCTGTTTGGTGTCATTACCCGGGTAACATTCCGTCTTCCACCGATGCAGTTTATCAAAGGGTCAGAGTCCAACCACAAGTTTGCTGACTCCATGCTTGGACCCAACAACAAGGGGCAGAGCAAGCTCAAGGAAAGTCTTGAAGAAAACGAATACATGCGAGTAAACTGGTTTCCACAAAAGGAAGTGATGCGTGTTCAGGAATGGGTTGGTCAACAATCCTTCGAAAACAATAATCTTGTACCATACAACTCCATTTTGTCCAACATATTAGCAGCTGGTATGGCAGCCATCGTACTGTCCATCTGCAATTTCATCCTGCAAATGAAAGATCCAAAAGCAAAGGGGTACGAGCTCATTGGCTGCATGTTGCGTCAATTTGTCCCCCTGAACGACAAACCGACCAAGTTCTACGACATGTGGTATCATGCTCTGCCTATGGACAACGAAGCCCATGTGGACACCATCATTAGGGTGGACTTCACAGAGATCTGGGTTCCAATCAGCCAATGTCAAACCGTGATGGACAAGCTCCAAAAGCTGTTCTCTGAGAATCAAAAAGCGGCCAACAACTTTGCCACTGAGATCTATGGCGCTAAGAGCTCTCCATTCTGGCTGAGCATGTCATACCAACAAGACATGGTGCGAGTCGATCCCTACTGGTGGGCCTACAACAAGGGCGACGCTAGGACGTTCTTCTCGTACTTCTGGGATATTTTGCTGGAAATCCCTGGAACTCGCCTGCACTGGGGCAAGTACCTTCCACTGCCTGGTCAAAAGTGTGGAAACACCACATTCAATCCAGATTATCTGAAGAGTGTTTACCCTAAGATGGATGATTGGTTAAAGCTGCGAGAACAACATGACCCCGACCAAGTGTTCATGACCGATTATTGGCGTGGTATCCTCGGCATAAAACCCAAGACTCAAAAAAAACTGGTAGAAATACAAATGATCTGGACCCATTTGAAACTTTAGTTTTTTGTGACTTTTTAGTCTTGACGAGAACATGAACTTTGAGATGCTTTAGATAAAAACTGCAACCGTTTGCAGTGTAATTACCTGAGAGTATAAGTAACCAAACACTGATCAAGATTTATTCAGACATACTATTCTTGTACTTCCAGGCGTTCTTTTTTTTAACGAAGTGTTTTGTTGATAGGATTTGAAGTCTTGAGGAGAACTCAAACTTTGAGATAATCGTGAAAGAAATTGTAATTGTTCGTAATTTAACCTTGAAACATTATTTACCAAATACCGAGTGCTACGTGCCTGAGCTTAAGGGATTTTTGTAAGGTGAGACGTTTATGTCCTAGACATTCAATCTTACCCTGTACAACTGCAATGTTTTTGAGCTGGGGTGTAATTAAATTTGAAACACTGGCTGCTGCAGCATGTTAGGATTCCAAGTTTGATCTAATATTCTCAGTGGTCATTGCTGCACATTCATGGAACAAATCGAAGTAATCGTGGGCAAAGGCGTGTTTCATCAAAAATATCTTTCCGTGCCCTTCACTGAAAAGTGAGAGCAAAAAAAACTATATTCCCGTTTCTAATAACTGTATCTCTATATTTGACATTTTAAAAAGCGGCGGTGCAGTTAATTAGTACTACCATTGATTAAAAGAAAGGGGTCTTTGTAGGCTCTCAGATCTCTCTTGATCAACGTTCCGAGGATATCAAGGCATGGCGTAACTCCACTCAAATTGTTTGTTTTCCACGAGTTAATTATTCAAAGACCTCATCCATGTAGATAAGAAACTCTCTGAATTGCTTGCCTTTTCAAAGAAACCGCAACCTTTTTGAAAGACATCTATAAATGCATTAATTGTAACTCGTACAGATAGGAAAATTCGCTTAGAGTCAAAGCTAAACGGGTTACAGTTTAGTTTCCTGGCAACTATCGTCATCAGACGTGTCCATACCCAGGTTAGTAAAGGCCAATTTCAACAGAGTTTCCTTCGCCTGAGTTCTTCTTAATAACATCTCTATGCCGGCTGAACCAGGGACTGGGGAAGAGCCAGGCGAGGGGCTTGCTAACTGATTGATACTTTCTTCACTTGTGGACATAATCGGAGAGGAATTCACTATCAAGCGTGTCGTTCTAGTGTTTTCACTGATTTTTCTGAATTTAAGAGAGCCATAAAGTACGCCAGCTTTTCGCTTTGGTCGCAAATGTTTGTCTCCTGTGTGATTTTCTGTAACACCAGTTGAGTAATCGACGTTGGTTTTACCGAAGCAGAAAATGTGTCGGAAGAATCGGACGTATCCTCGACGAAACTGTCGAGTAAGAGAACCGTATACAATCGAGTTCACGCATGCGTGTAGGTATATTAGCGCTTCTGCGCAGGTCCAAAATGCGTCGGACAGCTCCTTGTACGAGTCACCGCCAAAGTCAAACAACAACCAGGCGATTTGATTGGGAAGCATGCAGGCCATGAACAAAATCACAATAACAGCCAGTGTCCGGATTATCTGGACATTTTCGCTTCTCGTTTTGTGCCTGATTACCTCGCCTTTAGCATTGATCGTTGTCAGCATCGGTAACCGAGACCTGATAAGACAAAAAGCGATTCTCAGGTATGCTATGACGATTACAAACAAAGGGATGCCATATTGAAGAATGCATAAGACTACAGTGTAAGCTTGACGATAGTAGTTCTTCGGCCAATTTTCTGCACATAACACACCGTCCGACCGCGCCACGATCATCAACGGAACAATCGTGACAAAGGCAAAGATCCAGATAAGGAAAATCCATATCAATGTGGCTTGCAGCTTGATCCGCGGTTGCAAAGGGTTTGTGATTCCTCGACACCGTTCGACTGCCATGGACATTAAGGTGAAAACACTGACTGATAAAGTAACCGACATCATTGGCCAAATTAGTTTACAGTACAATAAATTCTTGTTAAACGGCTGAAAAAGGTCGTACGTATAGAAAGGAAGCGAAAGCCACAGGAAAGTTAAGTCTGCTACTGCTAAGTTTAAAACGAAATAATCATTAATGGTTCGTTTTCGCTTTCTTTTCAATACCAGAATGACCATTGCATTTCCTAAGGAGCCGAGAAGGAACAAGCAACAGTAGAACACGGCCTTACTGTTTCGTTCAGCTGTATTCAAATTTGTCGTTTCTTTCGTAGTTTCGTTAAAGCTGGAAGAGTTGTCGATCGATTCACTCGCCGCGGGATAATACTGTTCCAAGAATGCAACGCGAGACATATTCTCCCAAAGAGGTTCGCTTGACTTGAAGAACTGAAACGTTTCGTTACTCAGACCTCTAATGCTTCATTTAAAGAATTTTTTTTCTTTTTTTACCCACACCTGCTTCCAGGCTATGTTAAAAAAAAAAGGACTCAAAATCACGACAAAGTCGTTATCTAAAGGATTTTTCCTGCAAGGAAACGTTCCTCGTATTGTAGAGTATTTGTTACCCTCCACGGAAGCTACAGAGATAAACTATTGATTTAAGAAGCCCAGCATAACGAATGCATAGAAATTCTTCGCACGCTAATTTAGTTTGCTTGCCGTACGTCGGACTGAAAGGCTTGGCTATAGATCAAAACGTACGGCAATGTTGACCAAAGCTTGATAGCCAACTTATCATTTTAAGCCTCATCTTTGAAAAGACAACGATGTAAGTCGTACGTGAAAGTCTCTATGGATGCAGGAGACCAATGAACTGAGAAATCATCTGAAGCGGGGGATTCCGAAGTGCTGATGAGAACAAAAATAAATAAAACCACCTTAATACTCTCGAAGTAATCTTAGAATATTTTCTCCGGTAAATGATAGTTGTCATGTTTACAAAGAACTGTAGCAAATGAAAGGTCGATGGCTAAGTAATACTGACAGGTAGATTTTAACTGAACTTCCTGAAGGTTGATTAATACATTTAAATTTTGACATAAAAGTTTCCTTTTACCTAAAAAAGGATCTTATGCTGCGGAAATAGAAAGAACAGTAATTAGTAAGGTAGATGAAAAAAATTTTCAAAAATTGAGGCAAATGAATTACAAATAAAACTTTGAAATTGAGCCAAGTATAATTCCAATCATAACATTTTACTCTGAAAGTCATAGAGAAGTGGCCACAAAATAAGCTGGTTGGTTTGAATACAGAAGATGTTTCTGTATTTACAAACGCCTATAATATTTCCATTTGACTAAGGAAGTTTGCTGACTTTTGTTTTGTCATTTCGCTAATTTCCGTTTTCGTCAAAAAAGGGAGCTCGTAAACCCATTACTTGTAAAAATAGTGTAGATTAATTGAGAGGAAAAGAAAAGGGTAGCTTTTACGTTTTTGTCTCGGATAGGAATTTACATTTCGCTCAAATTTCCATGACGTGTATTGAATTTAAGTCACTTTTGCCGGATGAGTTTAAATCTGGTGTTTGCAAAGGTTGACGCAAATGTTAAGCTAATTTCTGGAGTCTAAACACTGAGACATCAGAGTTGAGCTCAACATACAATATTTCCATGTCATACACAGAAATTCATTTATAACTGTAATTAAAAAAGGAAATTTACATTATAGGGAAGAAATCATGGATTTTAAGCGCACAGGCTAGGAAAAACCCCTAGATCAAGTCTTTGCAAGTCGGTGGATCAAGGAGTTGTAAAGGAGCGCGTGACAAAGGCGTAGATATCTGCTCTTGATTATTCTACAGCTACACGCTTTTCCGACGTTCTGTACAGCATAATACTTTGAAAACGCTTTCATTAGTTATTCATACGTAGCTTCACTGACGGTTTTAGGATGATTTTTTTGTTTGTTTGATGGAAAAATAGTGCAGCGATCGTGATTTTCGCCAATCGCTACGAATGGCGAAAAAAAATCGCCGGTATTTGGCATGTCAGATATCGGAAATTTCCGTTGGCGATCATATTCCCCAGGTGTGTTACCTGCTTCACCTTAATTTTAACTCCATCTGCGCATCAAGAGTTTGACGTCATGAATTTCTGCTCATAATAAAAAAAGTGTATAGGATTTGTGCAAAATTGAGGACGTCCAACTTCAATCAGACCCTTGCATCTCAGCCCACTGTCCATATTGTTTATTACCTATTAATAGTGATACTCTTCAACCGACACAGCACTACAATTTCTTTAGAACTTACCCCCTTTATTCATTGGTTTCATGATCTGTCCATGGACAACGAGGTCCAGGTGGACTCTATCATCAGGGTGGAATTTACAGAGATCTGGGTTCCAATTGACCAATGTCAAACATGGTGTGGAAGCTCCAAACAAAAGCTGTTCTCGAAGAATCAAAAAGCGGCTAACAACTTTGCCATTGAGATCTACGGCGCTAAGAGCTCTCCATTCTGGCTGAGCATGTCATACCAACAAGACATGGTGCGAGACGATCCCTACTGGTGGACGTACAACAAGGCGTATCCCAAGACATTCTTCTCGTAATTGTGGAATATTCTGCTGAAAATCCCTGAAACCCGCCTGCACTGGGGCGAGCACCTTCCGCAGCCAGGTGTTGAGTTTGGAAGCATCACACTCATCGTAACTGATGGATGGTTTGTTAAATTTGTAGGCGAGAAGAGCTTGATTCCGGACCAAGTGTTCGTGACGAATTATTGGCGCGATATCCTTGACATAAAACCCAAGACTCAATCATGGGGTGTCATTTGAAAAAAATGATAGGGATACGAATGATTTAGACTCATTTGAAACTTTCGGTTTTTGTGCTTTAAACTTTAACTGTTTGGATCATCATAACCTGAAATTAACCCAACATCGGTTGAGATTTATTGAGAACTAAGCTTTTCGTACTTCCAGACGTTTTTTGATGCAAGTGATAGGAGCTAATACCAATTTATTTTTATAAAATTTGAAGTCTTGAGGAGAACTCAATTTTGAGATAGTCGTGAAAAAAGTGTAGTTGTTCGTTATTTAGCCTAGGAACTTTATTTACCAAACACCAAATGCAACATATCTTCATTTAAGGGGTTTTTGTGAGTCAAGATGTTTATATCCCAGGTGTCCGATCTTACCTTGTATGCTTTAATTGAGCTGGGGCATAATCAAATCAGAAACACTGACTGAGCATTTTGAATTCCGAGTTTGAACAAAGGTTCTATTTCATCGTCACATGCACATTCAGAGAACAAATCGAAAGACCGAGGGGAAAGAAGCGTTTCATTTTTATTGAAATAGGGAAAGAAAAAAAAAAACACCAGTCTCGTTTCTTATGACTCTGACGGTGGTGCTCATATCTAGAGCTAGCATGTATTGAAAGGTGATTCTCGGATCTCTCGCGATCGATGTCCCAAGAAAATCAAGGCATCGCATAACTCCATTAAATTTTCTCTTTTTTCTTTCCGCTAACAAAGTATTCAATGTTTCCTTATGGAAAAGAAACTCTCGAAGTTTATTGGTTCCCTACTTTTTTAAAACCACGAGCTTGTTGAAAGACTCCTTTACATTCGTTTATTGTAATACGCTTAATTCAAAATATACTTCATTTTTAACTCGTGAATTGCGCGCATGCGCAAGTGCGAGTTGTAGATACGATGTGAGAATGGCATTCGCTCGCTCGCTCGATCGATTCCTGTAAACTTTTTTTCGATTTTAGGCTTTTGAGTGCATTTGATAGTTTTTGGCAAGCAATAAACAAACGAAATGGCGACTTTTGTTGCTAAGAATGGTGTTGGGGTGAAAAAGATGCCAATGATAATCTTAAAAGAGTTTGTTTTTTTTTTCGTTTTAGTTTCAACAAGCGGCGCCAGCGACTGGCAGGCATGCAAGGATTCACACTGAAATAACAGAACAACCTTCGTTTTTCATAAAATTGTAATTTACAATCCTTGAACTTGAAAACAATCCGAAGATTCATTGAAAATATCACTTACTGCGAAGTGTTCGGAGTTTACAGATGTTCAAAAGCTTTTTCTGTTATGGCGTGGGATTGAGGACAAAATCGATCATTACGTTTCGTATCGTGTGTTTTTCCTGTGTGAAGCAATAAAAGATGCCGGCGACTGACGAAATTATAAGTTATCACGAAAATCAAATAACACCTAAACAAACAATTTTAGCTGCCAATTTTCAGTGAATTTTTAAAGAACAATTTTCTTTTAAGTTTCAAGACAATTTGAAGATTCAAAATAAATATTACGTACTAAAATGCGAAAGTTATACACCACAAAATTGATAAATAGGCCTGAAATGAAATTTTATCTTGTTCTTGATCATACGTTGCCTAGCACGTGACTAAAATCTACCCAGGCGGAGATCCAAAATGACGGTGGCAGTCTTGGCTTAGTTATATCACTCAAAACTCGTTCCCGTTTGTCTCATTTGATAAAGAGGGAATCGTAAATGTTTTCATTAAAACAGTATTGCCTTGGTTTTCTAATATTTACAATGATAGACAGTAAATTTCACTTTTCACCCACATTTACTTCCAACCTTTTCTTTTGAACCAGAAACAAAAATGATATACGTTTAAAACACATGACATCATCCACCCTTGTCAAATGTAACAGCATGATCATTTCAATTGTAATGCCTTCTTATCCCAACTTTACTTTGTTTCTTTGCTGCGAACACTGAACTACTGCTCGTACTCTAGATATGATAATCAACCACAAAATTCCCTAAACTAGATAACATTAAACATAATCCAAAAGATCATGTGTCAATTCACGAGTTTGCTCACAGAGCACTTTGATTTTAAAGGCAGTTCGCTTACAATCCAAGCTAAATATTATAGTTTTGTTTCCTGACAGCCACTGATCATCGAGTTTTCACTGAGTTTAGGAAAACCATGAAGTACTCCGACTTTTCGCTTTGGACGCAAATCTCTGTCTTCTGTCTGGTTGTGAGAAACACCAATTGGGTAATCGACGTTCACTTTGCAGAAGCAGAAAATGTGTCGGAAGAATCGGATGTATCCTCGACAAAACTGCCGAGTAAGAGAACCGTACACTATTGGGTTTATACAAGCGTGTAAAAACATGAACGCCTCTGCGCAGGTCCAAAATGCGTCGGACAGCTTCTTGTGCGAGGCACCGCCAAAATCAAACAGCATCCAAGCGATTTGATTGGGAAACATGCAGGCCATGAACAAAATCACAATAACAGCCAGTGTCCGGATTATCTGAACATTTTCGCTTCTCGTTTTGTGCCTGATAACCTCCCCCTTAGAGTTGATCGTTGTTAGCATCGGTAACCGAGATCTGATAAGAAAAATAGCGATTCTAAAGTATGCTGTGGCAATTACAAACAAGGGGATGCCATATTGAAGAGCGAATAAAACAGCAGTGTACGCTTGATGATAGTAGTTCTTCGGCCAATTTTCCGCACAGAACACACCTTCCGACCGCGCCACGATCATCAACGGAACTAAAGTAAAGAAGGCAAAGATCCAGATAAGGAAAATCCATATCAATGTGGCTTGCGGCTTGATTCTCGGTTGCAAAGGGTTTGTGATTCCTCGGCACCGTTCGACTGCCATGGACGTTAAGGTGAAAACACTGACTGATGAGGTAACTGACATCATCGGCCAAATTAGTTTACAATACAATAAATTCTTGTTAAACGGCTGAAAAAGTTCGTACGTATAGAAAGGAAGTGACAGCCACAAGAAAGTTAAGTCTGCTACTGCCAAGTTTAAAATAAAATAATCATTAATGGTTCGTTTTCGCTTTCCTTTCAATACCAAAATAACCATTGTATTTCCTAAGGAGCCGAGAAGGAACAAGCAACAGTAGAACACGGCCTTACTGTTTCGTTCAGCTGTATTCAAATTTGTCGTTTCTTCCGTAATTTCGTTAAAGCTTGAAGAGTTGTCCGCCTCGGGAGAATACTGATCCAAGAATGCAGTGGTAGGCATTTTCTCTGAGGAGGGCTACTGCTACTACTGCTAAGAGGATTAAGACAGTTCCCCCACACAGTTTTCTGATAATTCCGTCAGACAGGTCTTTTCTTGTTCTTGAGGCCTGTGGTTGAAAAAGACTCTAAACCGCCACTACGTCCTGATCTGAAGAATGTTTTATGCAGAACAAAAATTCGCTTAAAGTTTAAAGGGCTGTTTGTATTCCATTTAAGAGGTCGGGTTTAAAACTATTGATTGAAAAACACCGGCCGAGAGAAATGCTTTAGAAGTCGTCGTTTGCCGATGTAGTTGTCTTGCCTTACGACTGGATGGTTCGATTCTGGATCAAAACTTGCCTCAACAACGACCCGCCCTTGTTATTCTTCTAACTATTTCGCCTTATCTGTAAAAAGACAAAGATGTAACTTATGGAAACCGTGGATACAACAGGCTAATGAATTGAGAATCCTCTGAAGCGTAGGAAGTGCTTATGATAATATAGATTAATAAAACTACCCATACATCTGCTAATTAATGTCAAAGTTAATTCTTTTGATGAATGAATTTCAGTGCACTGTTAACAACGACTGACGTGTATTTTTAATAAGATATGGAAATACGAGGCGTTTTAGTAATTTTAGTAAATTGCGGAATATTTGTCGTTTGTTTTATTCACTGAAAAATAACTAGGCAAAGTGTATTTTCCTTTTATCATAATTTGTTCGTGAAGTGAAATCGCAAGCTTTTAATTCCCAGACACATACCTTTTCCGCACAATTTCGATGGGTAAAATATTTAGCAAACAGGTGTTGACAAAATAATGATCTTGAAAATGCAAATTCCCTTCATATATGAAGCAGCCGTATGGAGGGTAACTTAAAATAAACAGGATATCATGCAATAACACCTCCGCAGTTTATAATCTTAAATACTTCTTCAAAGCTTTTAATTTTACGGTTGTTGTCTATACCACGCAGAAAATGTGTCTCTTTACAGCGCAAGATGGACTTTAGAAATAACTTGGAACATAAAAAAATGCATGGCCAATATCTTTTTACAAAATAAAACACATTATCAACAAAAGAAAGAAACTAAAAATCAAAAAAGGCCTAAGCAGTGTAATGTGTCTATACGGCCTTGATGGTAAGACGAAGTGAAAACCTTTTGGCTTCGTGATATCCCAGCGTGTGTCGTTGTTTCTTAGTTCCGTTTTCTTTTCCAAGTTTGTTCCCATTGCTCTTTCTTGTTTCTTGTCCATGCGTTGCCATCGTCCCCGTCTCCTTGGAAACCATTTCCTTTGTCACTTTCTCGCGCATGGCACCTTTAATCCACACACGGAAGACGCCTTTTCGATGGAACGGTGTTTTAACAAAAAGAAACGAGACTCCTTTGCGTTGTTCCACTTTAAACAAGCTCGTGTTTCCATGAACAATGACATATTTGAAGGTTCCGTTTAATTCCGCGAGTACTGGCACTAGCGTTAGGATCGGCTTAGCTGAGCTGATGTTGGTGGGAATTTGTAAGGTGAATTTTTCCATTCGATGCCCAATGGATCGTCGTTTCCTCTGCTTCCCTGAAGGTGTGTACGAAAATTGAAAGCCGTTATTCGGTGGTGCCGCTTGCCAGTTTTGTTGGCCATAGTTTTGTTGATTGTAAGTTTGTGCCTGACCACCAAATTGGATTTGACGCTGTCCTAGTTGATGTTGACCATAACCTTGGTTTCTACCATAAGGGAGGTGCTGTCCATAGCTTCCGCTGCTTGCTGGTACAACATGATATGGTGCGGAAGACTGAGTCTGACTGCCGGTTTGGTTTCGCTCCACAAGAGGCACACCTTTGTCTTCGTCGTCCCCTTTGGACAGCGCACACTCGTAACAGGCTTCTCCATAGGGCGACAAGCAGTGTCTGGAAACAAACAGAAGGGAAGATTTAAGAATTTGGTTTTAACCTTTACAATATTTGCAAAAAATGCACAATTGAGGCAGCCCGAACAAAACTGAAGTTTTTCCCAGATTTCCAAAATGAAGGCACGACAAGGTGAGAACTGATTTTTTTTTTCATAACAGAAAACGACACATTTACGTTTTTCATACCCCTCCCCCACATGATAATGAATAGAGTACTCACCCTCCCCCTATAGGTTGATAACTATGTGGGCAGCGGCAGCTGAATCCACCTTGCTTGTTGTCGCATCCAAAGCTACAAGGGCTCAGTCCCAGGGCACACTCGTTCATATCTGAAAGGAAAAAAGATCTTTAATTTTAAACTTTTATGAATAATGATGAAGCAAACAAGAAAGAAAGGAATTATCCATGCAGGAGAGGCTATAACATACTTAACGAACAAATTCTTTTGATATTTAGTCAGGAGCACGAAAATTACTTTAGGTCAGAAATACCAAAATTTGTTTACGAAAAGGAATGTAGATAGGTGGACCGACAAATTCTTGGGACGATGCGTTAACAATCTTAAGTGCGTTTCAGACTTGTTTGATATCGCACTCAAAATTACAACTTAAAATAACGTTTTGGTTCTAATATGAACCAAGAGTGAAGACTGCCTTTATTTGTTATTCAAAACTAATGTAATGTATTTTTCCCCATTTGGATATCCACCATGAAAGAAGGAACGGCTGCTCAGCCCGTCTGATTAGCAACAACGTTTCAACAACGCTGATAAAAAGGAAGTTAATGGCAGCTTAAAATGCCATGATAGCGCTAGGGACGAACATTTGCCTTACCTTGGCACGATCGGCCATCTGGATTAAGCACATATCCGTGATGACATGTACAGTAATACGCTCCTAATGTATTCCTACACTGCGCCTGTCCACAAGTAAGTCTGCTCCGACACTCGTTGATATCTGCGACAAAAAATATTTTCAGAAATAAGTAACGCCACTGGACATAAGAGCCTGCAGTGTCGCACAATGTGAAGGGAATAGTGGATTCTTTAGTATTATAGGAATTACGTCCTCGTTTCAGTGCGAAAAATAAAAGCAAAGAAAGCAGAGAAGGAAAAGAAAAAAAAAATGTAACGAGATAACTGTCGATCTGTTTCATTGTTCTTCGTAAAAGCAAACGAGGTTTATCGCCATTTTTTATGGCGAAAGATGATTAAACTTACCAACACACTGGTTGAAGTAAAAATCCTGCGTGTATCCGGGGGGACATCCACATCGATATCCACCCCCGAGGTTGAAGCAACCATATTGACACGCATTTCCAGTACATCTGTTATTTCCTGAACAAAAAAAATATGATAAATTTTAGTAACATAAATGTCGACTTTTGTATTCAAACTTCGAGGGAACGTATTTTCAGCAGCTGACTATTTCTGAAAGGGCAATTACGGCAGCACCAAGTCAATTCACGACGATTAGAGTAAAAATTGATTAAATTTGAGACTTCTATCATGCATCATAAGACTTCGGTAGATAAACACTTTGACTGGCCATGGAATGGTCTCAAAATTCCTCACATATTGCACAGGACTTATTCTGGTGCAGCATTTCTCGTTTATGCTACAGCCAAAGCGCTTTTATTCGCCATTAAATCACCTAATCCAAAATAAATCGGTTTTCTTAGACGACCGTAACCTCAACAAAGTAATAATCACTGTTTTTCGTACCAATGCATTTCTTGGTCTTATCGTCATATGTATAACCACGATTACACACGCATCTGTAAGATCCCGGCAAGTTCTCACACCTTCCAAATCCACAGATGTTGTTATCTGTCATACATTCGTCTTTGTCTAAAAAAAAAAAATGCCAAAGGTAAACCTCGCGTTTTTGCGTACCACGGGGCACTAAACACACCCTATGCCTCTGTCCTCCCCCCCCCCCCCACCCCCTTGGGTTTCTAAATATAACAGATAAATCTTGAAATCCCAATTGGTGAGAGGTAGCTATTTACAGATTGTTGAGAACTTGAAGAACTAAACACAAAGACGTCCAGTGATGGGTGGAAAATTGAATACTGGATCCCATATATATGGTTTGCTTATCAGCAATCACAACGCTCTGCTATGCTAAGTGACTTAAGACAAAAATTCCCATCCTCCATTACGCTCCCGTTTTTTGTTATCATCATTATTATTATTTTAGTTGACAGATGTCTGTGCACCAGCGAGGTAAGAGCGGGTAACAACACAAACGGAACAGGATACATCTCAACATATTTGACTCACCAACACACGTAATTCCATTTTTCATGAATCCATCAGGACAGCCACAGCGGAAGCTACCGGGGACATTGATACAGTTATGCTGACAGTTATGTCGATCCGTAGTACATTCGTCTTCATCTGATGGGAAAAAAAAGGACGAAAATTAGAACTCTAAAATCTCCAGAACGTGTTCTACATGCACCTGATATAAACCTCTTTTCTTTGGTAACACGTTTTACACGTTTAACAATTTTTTCTAAACTACGATTTAGATTTTAGGTGGATAAAATTTCTAACTCACCACCTTACAGTGACAGGTGAGGTACATCTACATGAGCTAGGTTTGTGTCACTGACCTGTACATGTTTTCTGGTCGGCTCGCAGCACATACCCAATGGGACAGCTACATTTGTAAGAACCATCAGTGTTTGCACAAGTAAACTGACAAATACTGGAATCTTTAGCGCACTCATCGATATCTGTTGATTGAAACACGATAACACTTAAATCGATGAAACATAGCCGAACACTCAAAGAATTTGTTACCAAAACTCGTATAAAAATTTAAAATGAGGTAATTGTGGTAATAGTGACAGCTAACACGGAAGAGAGGTCACGATCCATACAAAAATTACAGAATCTCACACTTTACATTTCACATTTCACACTTCGCACCTCACACTACACATTTCACACTTCACATTTTACTTTTCACCGGAAAGTAAGGCAAGTGATAGAACATGAAAACGACCTTTCCCTTACCTAAGCATCGCTTCGCATCCATGGTTAGTTTGTAGCCCACGTTACACATACAGCGGTATCCCCCACGAATATTCATACACTTCCCATTCTGACAAAGGCCTGGGATCATCTCACATAAATCTATGAAATGATAATTTGAAATGAAACGAGTTTAATCAACGTATCATTCGAAGTTCGAATGCATACACAAATTTTTTACATCTTGACTTGTTACTTGTTAACAAATGCTTCTGCGCGCAAAGGGAGCGAGCTCTCAAAGGAACTGTGGTGCTGCGTCGCTGCGTGGTTTACGAGATAATTTGATTCCATCAACTGAGTTGATAATGTAAATTGGCCTTCGTGGAGAGTTTCTAAACCTGACGTTTCGAGCGTTTGCCCTCCATCGGAGGAACGTCTGCTTTAGAAACTCTCTACGCTGCTATACGCAGCCAAAAAAATATTGTATTCTTGTAAGTTGTATTAGTTCAGTCAAAATTATTATTGAAATCCCTTAAAGACTGTTTTTTCGCAGTTAATGACCACTGCACTTTCTCCTTTATGAAGCAGACTTTTAGACCAAAATAAAAGAATTGGCTTGAAGAACAAAAAAAGTAGAAATAGAACAAATGATAGAAAAAAAAAATTTAAAAAATCACGTTAACACCGTTGACAGTCACTATAAAACAATGAAATAAAACTTACGGGTCATGTTGTTTTTTTGTTGTGCCATGGTTCGGCATAGGTTACCATATTCAGCTGTGGAACAGTACAAAAGGTAAATTAATTTTCAGGAAAGACAGACAAAAAATTAAGGGTTGCTATGAAGATGCCCAAAGAAACAACTTACCAGTTCCTTTCCTCGGACACAGTTGGCAGTTTGTGCCCCAGGCTTTCCCGGCCGTACAACAGCATTCCTTCTTTCGGACCTGCATCATTTCCTTTGTGACGGCTTCACACATGTTGTTCCTTACGACAGCGAAGCAAAGTCCCTTTCGCGTATCTAAAAGGGAAAGAAGTACTCTCTCATTCCAACAAGTTTCTCAACGCGTTAAAAACAAAACTAGCAAGCAAGCAGACAAAAAACAAACAAACAAATCCTCAGAATAAGATGCCGGTCCATCGTTAGTAAGTTCCAAGCAGTTTTTTTAAATCACAATGAGCGATTTTACCTTCACACTCCTTTCCATCCGCACTCCGCTGATACCCCGAGTCACAGTCGCAGATGTAAGTCCCCGAGAGGTTTCTGCACGCGCCATTTTGACAAATATCCAACTTTTCCCGGCATTCATTGATATCTGAGTGAAAAGTCAGGGAAAATATTTTTCAAATAATTGACGTCGATTTATCTCTTTTATGCTTGGCTCTAAACCCCTGAAAATTCAGGCGGCCGTAGAAAATCATCTGTCTTAAACCAAACTTACCTGTTAGGCCGTGCAGCACGATATACAGATTCCACCAGTTTGGTAGAAGTCAGTACTCTACATTTCGAAATGAGTCAATTTTTGACAAATATGACTTTCATCCGCGCTCTCCAAGTTACGTGATGTCCCTCACTCGAAGCCTTCCCGTTTCCTAAATCATCAATTTCCTTTACAGACGATGTGTAGCTGTTTTTTCCTCGTGATATGACATCTTTTTACTTATGGGCGTAACGTGCGTGCAATGTTTGGGTGTAAGTTAAATATATCAATTATTCGTCAATGTAACAATTCAGCTTACCTTCACATATCTGACCATTTCCTCTGAATCCCGCGGGACACCTGCACTTAAAACCGCCGATAAAATTCTTACAAACGAACGGACACAATCTGGTGTTTTCTCTGCATTCATCGATATCTACAGGAAAGGAAAAAGTATGTTAAAACAATCGTGTTCAAATTTGCAACAGCTCCAAGTTCTTCTAGTTTTCTTTTGATTATTTACAATTTTCTCCAATTTTCTTAGGATAACGCTCATGGTTTTGAACGAGAAAAGCTTCCTCGGCATGTTTTAAGCTGAATAAAGGGGTAAGTTTCTAAAGAAACTGTGGTGCTGCGTCGGTGGGAGAGTATAGCAGGTAATTTAGTGTTAACAACTGGGTTGAAAACGTAAATTAGTCACCGTAAAGGGTAAAAAAGCTGACGTTTCGAGCGTTAGCCCTTCGTCAGAGCGATTAGAGGAATTGTGGGTTGTGTGTGGATTTATATGTAGGAAGTGGAGCTACGCCATTGGTGGGAATGTGGTGACGAGAAAACAGGAATAAATTAGTTGAATGAAAAGCGCTCGTTGATTCCGTGGGGATTAAGGGTGCCGATTTGGAATATAAATTTTTGTTCTAGTGTTTTACGGCTTTCCGAACTGCCTAGATGTAAGGAAAGGCCGCAAACTGCCATATGCTGTTTAGAATGATAAGGAAGATTAAAGTGTCTAGCGACTGGTTTGGATGCGTCCTTGTCATTTCTTTCCACATCGCGAAGGTGTTCTCGGAATCGGTCACCCAGCCGTCTTCCTGTTTCGCCGATGTATAACTTATTGCAATAAGTGCAAGTTATGCAGTAAATAACATTGGCGGAGGTACACGTAAAGTGATCAATGATCTTAATAGATCTTTTGGGTCCCGATATTTTCTCTACGTTATGAATGAAAGGACAAGTTTTGCATCGTGAGCGAGCGCATTTAAAAGTTCCAGATTGGTCACAGGTTTGAAATGAACTCCTGACTAAAAAGTTGCCTATGTTTTTGTCGCGTTTGAATGAAATAAGTGGGGGTTGCGAAAAGATAGTGCCAGTCTCTGAATCGTTTTGGAGTAATTTAAAATTTTTAAGAATGATAGATTTAACTGCGTGGTTGTGAGGGTGAAATGTAAGAGTAAATGGAATGCGGTCAGTGTTCTCCTTCTCGGCCGTTTGTAGTGCTGCCTGTCGATCGATTAGTTGGGCACGGTGGTAGCCCGCTTGAACGACAGAAACAGGATAGCCGCGTTTATCGAAAAACTGGCACATTGCCTCTGATTTTTCGGAAAAATCAGAGTCGTCACTACATAAACGACGAAGTCTGAGAAACTGTGAAAAAGGTATGGAGTTCTTGACGTGTGATGGATGTGAGGATGAATACAACAAGTAAAAGCTGATTGGTTTTAGAATAGTAACAGAAATGAGCCATACTGAGCTACAATAACGACGTTTTTACGCATATTTGGAGAACAGGTTTCAACCTTCAACGTCTATTGGAAACAAGTCTGCTTGCAACTTGTTACAGAGAAACAAAGACAACCGAAGGAAGACTTTTGTTCCGTCTTATTTCGGTTGTTTATCTCATCTTTTCCAATAAGATACAGATAAGCCTCGAAATCATGATTATATCTGAACACGTAATGTGTGCCATTGATGAAGCCTTCCTTTACCTCTGCAATGAATCTTGTCTGGGGCCAAGTCGAATCCTCGAGGACAGATACATCGGTAGCTTCCCGGCTGATTCACACAACGGAACGCGCAAAGATCGTTGTTTTGTACACACTCATTGACATCTATGGAATTAAAGCAGGTTTTAAAATTAGAGCACATTTTTTTCAGTTATAGAGAACCAAAAATATTCGTTAAACGTAGAAAGAACAGAAGTACGTTACAAAAAAACACAAGAGGCAGTTACTCATTGATAAAGTATTTCACGTAACCTGGAACCCAGTCCTTACCAGAACAACGTGGTGAGAAGCGGCCTGGTGCATAACCCTTTGGACAATTGCATGTGTAAGAGCCTTCTGTATTGACGCAAAGACCATTACCACAGACACCGGGCATGTCACATTCATCTTCATCTAATGCGGAGATAAAAACAAAACAATACAAAAGAGCTAATTGACTGGATGTTACGAAACAGGCCTGTCGTCGTTTTCGTCATTATCATCATCACCATTATCACTCTAGCCATTCTTATTCGTCATTTTATGATTGTTGTCGACATCATCCTCAACAACACTGGTCTCTTGTAATGCATTACTTAGCAGCTCGGTCAATCCTTCTAGTGTCATAAAAAATATAGCACTTGACAAAGCTAAGGTATAACAGAATTACTCACCGACACACTTCTTTCCAGTTTCATCAAGCTGATATCCCATTTTGCATTTGCACCGATAGCTTCCATCATTGTTGATGCATTCTCCATTTTCGCAAAGATTTGCGATGTGGAGACATTCATTCACGTCTGTAACAGCGAAAACAAAAGGCAGTGCAATGTTAAGAACTGCACAAAAAAGGATACAGGCAGCAAAACCCAGAATACCTGTGAGCCGGTATTGCTAAATGCTTTAGCAGGAAAGCGAATAGAATTGTTTTGTTTTGGACAAAAGCAGTAAAAACTGCCTTCGCCTATGTACTGTATCTCACCTGTAACACCATGCCTGTCCATCACAAATCCAACACCATTGGGACACAACTGGGTAAAGGCAGCTGAAAAACAACGTGAGCGCCTTAGAGTGTAAATTTCAAATGGGAAGTCGAAGGATTCCATCAACTTTGCCTCACTGCGCTCAGCTGTGATTTTCTTGAAACAAATGTTCACCGCATATCTAACATCACTTCCGCATAGGTAAACATCCACTTGGAGGCAAATGATTCGAAAGCAATGTGCAAAGTTTTTGTATAGCTCTAACTTTAAGAAGTATTCCACCATTTCACTTTATTAAAATCAGTTGTTCCTCATTCCTATCGAAGTCTACACAAACCTGAAATGGGTTAGTAAAAATACCGAAACATGGCACATAAATAGGAGTTAAACGCTCTGAGAAAATTTTTTAATTGATTCAATCCAGATGATTTTTGAAGATGTCCAATCTTTAAAGTTCCTAACTCAAATAAGAATTACTCAGCTTCCGTAACCATTCGAATCCTTTGAAATAAGGGACAGAGAAAATTGCTCGATGTTCGGTAACTTAGAGGTTTTCCACAGTTTCCACTACGTGAGTTTTCCAAACATTTCCTTGGAAACGCAGACTGTCTTTCATATTTCTAAAAAATTACTAACCACGATGTGTTATACAATAGCAGTATACTCACAGGTATTTTTCTGCGGGCACAGTTCACATGGGTCACCCCAGCCGGCTCCAACGGTACAACAGCACATGGCTTTTCTCATCTCGCGTCCATTAGGTTTAGTGCAACCTTCCTCGTCAAACTTTTCGAAGCAGTAACCCACCCGCACATCTGTTGAATCGACATTGTAACAAATTGACTGGTATAAAACGGTATAACACGAATAACAGTCAAGTAGATGATCATACGGTGTAAAGGAATTACGAGGCGAGAATAACTTGTCAATGAATGACTCAGAAAGATGATGAATGGAATGAATGAATGGATGGAAAATTGAATGAGGGAAAATGGATGGAAGGAAAAGACGAAAGGACCATCGGATAGATGATGAATGAATAAATGCCAATGAAAAGAGGGAGAGAAGAGGAGAAATAGAGGAAACGATAGATGGATGAATGGACAATTTCGTACTACTGAAGTACAAGAGCATTCTAAGGCCCTCACCAATACAGTGGCTTCCACCGTTACCAACTTCGTAACCTTTATTACAAAGACAGCGGTAGCTTCCCACTGTGTTCACACACTGACCACCAACTTGACAATAGTTCGGATTTTCATCGCATTCATTCACATCTAAATAAATAAATTAAATAAATAAATCAGAAGAAAGTAAACCACCTAACGTGTGAGTAGCTCTTTGAAACTCATGGCGTGAATAATACAGAAACGTTGCGAAAATCCATGTCCCATGCGCATATCGATGTGACTATAACCAGTTTCTTCCCTAAGTTTTTCTTGGACCTGAAGATTTTTCCCAAACAGCACCGATGACAAAACAATACCCTTGAGAAGACAAAACAAAAGTGACAAAGCAGATCCTCACCGAGACAAGCATTTCCTGCACGGTTCAGTTTAAACCCTGTCGTGCACTCGCACCGTGAGCCGCCGATGGTATTGGTACAGATGCCATTCTCGCAAAATCCTGGCACCTCTGTACACTCGTTGATATCTGTGGAAATAAAACACTGGGTATATTTTTGCATCACAGTAACTGAAGATTGCATTTACCAAATGAACGGTTCAAGAAGCAAACACAACTTTGGAAGATAAACAAAAAGGTGCTGATATTTTGTAAATCTTTTAGAATCAGGAAAGCGAGAGCGTCAAACATTTTTAGGATGTTATTGCGTAAAGAGGTTATTCAGTCGTGAGTAACTGGTGAGTAACTACTCAACAATGGTAATTAACATGTGGTTTGCCTACATGTCTGATTTAATTGGTCAAAACACAATAAAGATGCCGAAATATCTCAGGATTTCAAGGTTTTTAACAGATTTACAAGAAACACGCACAGATTGTGGGAAATAGAATACAGCCATGCACTCCTGTCACGTTCAATGACACGAGAAGCATCGCTCAAGGCACGTGAATAACATGCCACCAACCTCTGCATCGCATTTTGTCAGGGGTGGCGGTGTATCCTGGGATACAATCACAACTGAAGCCGCCAATAGTATTAATACAACGTCCATTTTGACATACACCGACCACAGCTGAGCATTCATCAATATCTGAAAATGAATCAGAAAAAAACTTAACGAGAGAAGGATGAAAACAGATAATTAAAAATTGGTAAACCAATTTATAGGTTAACAGTAACAATATAATGTCAGTTATGTAAAAGTTTAATTTAGTGTTCAAGAGCTAAATGGTCCCAATAACCTCCATTTCGCGTGAGATTTGCTCCGATATTTGTTTGCGAATATTATTTGTAACTGCAAACCTCGAACATTCTTTGGTTTTAGCTCTTGCGATTTTCAGCCAGATGTCGGCTCTAGACCAATCTCGTTCGAGCAACAATATGTGATAGGTTAAGGGCCCCACATAACTCATACCAAGTACCTCAGAAATAACCATTATTACTAGAGCATGAAATTTGTTTTTGTCCATTCTTTCTTCCTTTTCCATTTCTTTTTTCCCATTTCTTTCTCTCTGTTCAATTTCTTTTTTCCCATTTCTTTCTTTCCCATTTCTTTCTTCTTACGTTATTTTTTCAAGTTCAAGCATTGCAGAACATGGAGACATAGAGACCATCCGTTATCTGTTGTAATATTTACAACTCACCTTTACAGTAGCCTCGACTGTCGAGCCTAAAGCCATTGAAGCAATTACAACGAAAAGATCCCTGTGTGTTGACGCATGTCCCGTTGACGCAAATACCGCTGACCTGCGAGCACTCGTCTACATCTAGAAGAAAATGAAGAAAATTTCAGTGATAACTGCGACTTAGTCGTCGTTATACTTATCACAAGCTTAATTTAAAACGTAAATGAAATATTAATTAATTAAATTATTCGTACAAGTTGGAAAGCACCCAAATTTAGATACACCTACTCGCAGGTGAGCGATATCAACAGTACGTCCAGTGTTTTACGCCTTTTCAAATTGAACAGGCGGATCCTGCACCAGTTTATTTGTGATTGACTTTCTCGATGATATTCTGAAATTACAACTACACAAGTGGCAATGTAAGCTATAAACGGCTGTACAACAAGATTTTATCAGTATTTTATCCACTTACCTACACACGTCTTTCCGCCAGTTGTGATCTGATAGCCTCTGTTACACTGGCAATTAAAGCCACCGATAGAATTTTCGCATCGCCCATGTTCACAGTATCCTGGCTCAAGACATTCGTCTAGATCTTGTAAGATATTGGATAAAAAACCGCACCGTTCGTAGGTTAGCAGGTTATTAAAGGGTATTTTCAAATTAGTCACCTGCGCGGAAAATTAGCTGGGGCCTCTGTAAGAAGCAGAAAACTCATCTGCTTTTGCTTGTCTCACACAATCACCGCTACACTTATCAAAAGCCTGTGAGAGGCGCTTTGAAAGCGCCTCACACGCTACGAGGATCAGCTATTGATACATTAAGACCACAAAGACCAGTTTTCGGCTGTGGTAAAGTTTTTTAGAAGGAAAAGAAGCTCAGAGAAAAGAAAGGAATTATCGCCTATGAAAACAGGAAAAGAGGGGAGGAGAGAGGTGGATGGGAAGAGGGTAGAAAAGGGAAAATAAGAACAGATAGAGTTGACAAGGTGATAGGTGGCAAGGTTTGGAGAAGAGACCTTTAAGTAGGCTAGGTCTAGAGTATGGATAAGAAACGAGAAGCTAGAAGCTTTTCTTACCTACACAGGCCAGTCTTGTAATGTCGAGTTTAAATCCCTTTAGACAAGTGCATAGGAAACTGCCGAAGGTGTTTAGACAAGTACCATTCTTACACGGAGACATCTTGCATTCATCCACATCTATTTAGAAGGAAAAACAATGCAGTCACTGATAAACCTGTGAGCTTAAAAGGAGAATCATAAGAGAACGAAGTAACCGAGATGTTTTTCGATTTTTCCAGATGTGGTCAATTTGGCGGTGTTTTTTGGGATATCATCTTCAGCGATTTTCGTCAGGCGATAAAGATTGCTCGTCATTGGTCTCTTCGGACCTCTTGCCAGCCAATAAGGGAACAGGCCACGGTTGCAATTGGAGCCTTTTGATCCTTCCAGTGCTCTAGCAACAACTTGAAACTCACCCAGAAGGATGAAAAGCTAAAGGAAATATCATATTTACCTTTACACATTACACCTCTTGGGCCAAGCTTGTAACCAGGCGGGCATTTACATCTGTAGCTGTCTCGCGTGTCGATGCATTCTCCGTACAAACAAAGCTCTGGAAACAGTTCGCACTCATCCACGTCTGCAACAGAGAATTCAATAATTTAAAAATACTCCTAAACAATCAAATCAAAATCAAGAGGTAGCGAATCTCCGATATCTTATGAAAGCTAAAATGAAAATGAAAACTAATATATATAATTAATACTTTTAGGACATAGATGTAAGAGAAGTTGATAAGACTAGAAACGCTTAAAACATAGCAAGCCACAAGCCTTTTCCACAACGATATTGTACTATTTAAAAAATAGAACTTTTTTGCCATTTTCTATCGTTTTAACATTATTTTCAACTTTCATTTGGCAAGTACTCTCGATTCCATGCATTTATGCATTTTATCTCGTGTCATTTCTTTCCAGGTCGCGAAGGTGTTCTCGGAATCTGTCGCCTAGTCTTCTTCCTCGAAACGTCAGCTTTTTTACTCTTTACGGTGGCCAATTTACGTTTTCAACTCAGTTGCTAACACTAAATTACCTGCTATACTCTCCCACCGACGCAGCACCAAAGTTTCTTTAGAAACATATCCCCCCATGCATTTATATCTTAGTCTTTAAAGGCTTCAGATTAAAAGCCGAAAGCTTAAATTTTCACTGAAAAAAAATTCGGAAATTGTCTTTTTAGGTAGATATAAATCGTTACTCAAGTGGCTCTTGTATCTTCTATACGAGGTTATCCATCTCTTACCTCTACCCGGTTGTGTCACAGGTTTGACTGTCGTTGATGGGGCCGTTACCCCTTCAGAAGGGCGAACAACCCCGGAGGGTTCGGAAGTGGGATGAGTTATTTCAATACCCGTAGTTGGTGTCACGCGTGTTATGGACAGGCACAAGGCTGTCCATTCGACTGTGGAAAGTGAACACAGAGGAAAGAAATGAATTCTCAAGCCTTATTTCAAAAAGCGTGAAGGACTGTTATAATATGGGTTATGTAGGTCCTACAGTACCACAGAAGTAGCTTAGCATGAGAAAATGGCTGCTCAGAGCTTGATGGCGAAACCAATTTCTCTCAGTATATTCAAAAGAGTCATAAAGTATTCAGAAAAATTTGTAATTGAATCTTACTTGAATCTTTCTTTGGACACTGCTTGCACTCTGAGCCAAACGCCGCCCCCACTCCAGTGCAACAACAATCGCCCCTCGTCACGTTCTTAGAAAACTTGCCCTTGCAAACAGGATTTGAAGACGCCTCGTTCTCCACTTCCATGAAACACTCTTGCGGTCGATTATCTAAAACAAAGGCAACAACTTGTTGTTTTTTAAATTTTTGATTGAATCAAAATACTCGGCGCGCTGTGTATTTATCCGGCCCAGCTAAAATAAGAAAGTTGATCATTTCTAACGGAAGTGGGGAACGAAAGTCTATTCCGTGAGCCTGCAGCTGTATGCGTTGTGGTCTTAACACGTTTTCAATCCCAGAAGGGTTGATAATTGGTTTAACAGATCGTCTACGTTATTCGTCGGTCAAAACTTTGGCAAGGTTTGCAGGTGTTCCGCGCAGGAAAGGGAAAAATTGAGTTTATTCAAAGAGGCCAGTTCGACAAAACCCAGTAATGCCATTTCCTGGAACTGTCTCGCTCCTTCAACTGGGCACATTGTTTCCACAAGGAAATTCAAACAAAAGGAAAACCGCCTGAGTTGTTTCGTTTTGTAGATCAATTACGAAATACCAAAAAAAAGAAAAAAAGGTACTGATATTAGCTGGTGGAATGAAAAATTGAGAGGAAACAGTGCGACAACCTTTAGCCACGTCACTTACCTTCACAACGTTTATCGTTCGGGTTTGGTTTTTGTCCTTCGGGGCAGACACACTCATAACTTCCATTTGTGTTGATGCATATCCCATCAAGACCACAAATGAAGATCAGTTCTTTGCACTCGTCAACATCTAAAGAAAACAGAAGCTTATTAACCTTTAAACCACTGAGAGTGACCAGTATCTAATTTTTCTTCCTATATCACCCCTGAATCAAGCATAAAAGTCACGAGAACAAAGGAAATCATCACTAACTAAAGAGGATCTTGATTGATAAACAAATTCTCGTTTTCAGCACCTTAGGAAACACATAACGAATAGTATGGAGAACATGTATACTGATATCAGGGAGTAAGAGGGATAACTAAAATGATGGAAATGGAATATAAAGGAGAAACTGAACGATCAATTGAAATTAGACTTCATCTTACCAATGCATTTTCCAGAAGAAATGTCGTGTTTGAATCCTTTAGGACAGAAGCAATCAAAGCTTCCAAGAGTGTTTAAACATCGCCCTTGACTACATACCCCTGGGAGTTCCCGGCATTCGTCCACATCTATGAGATGATTAAAAAATAAAACACGTCAAACGAATATTATATTAAGCAAAAAAAAATATTTAAAGTTCACGGAATGCGATTAAATTATAAAGAGCCTACCCTTAATGACAAGAGTGAAAGGATCTGGAACAAATCCTATCCCACCGGGGCACAGCCGCAGAAATTCCTCTGAAACGGAGGATGAACATGGAATTGTTAGAGTAATAATGAAATAAAGCGCCAATACGCGAAAACAAGAGCGAAATCAAAGATAGATTTTTACGCTTAAGATAACAGAACCTCCCTTAAAAGCATCGATTGCTTTATCGCGCAAACTTCTAAGTTACATAATTAGCTGAAAAAGGATACCTCAGTCACTCTGGAACTTTTTCACCATGTTTCTAAAAATAAGACAAAGTCTCATTCTTACCAGTCCCCTTCTGAGGACACGGTTCGCACGGTTCTCCCCAGGCCTTTCCTGACGTGCAACAGCACACCGCGCGATGAGCTGGGGACAGCGGGTTCATACAAGTGTCATTCACAACACTTAAATGGCACTTTCCTTTTCGCATATCTGTGAAAGGAGAATAAAAAAAAGACTACCAGCATTGTTTTAAACGTTTTTTAATATTCACTGGACAATCTATTGGGTTATCCAAAACTGACAGGATCACTGCCCTTAATCTTTCAAAACAAGCACAAAAACAACTTCGTACTCAAGGGCTTCCTTTCCTCTTTTCGGAAACAAGAAAGAGCTTACGAAAGAGGTCTGCGGAAATACTGACCTGGAATCTGGTAATCATAAACCAATATGTCTCGAAAGAGCACAATTTCAAGAATAAAATGCTAAACTGAGTTTAGCATGCATTTACAATTTGAAGAGGAATCTTTTTTTTTACCGATACATCCTGAGCCCGCGGGGTTAGGCATGAAGTCGCCATCACATTCACAGCGGTATGTACCCATTTCGTTCACGCAGCGACCGTTAATGCACATTCCTGTCACGGAGCATTCATCGATATCTGAAAAAAGGAAAAGAAGACGTATTTACCATATTTTTCATGACGAAGTAATTTCTCAGTGTTCAGCAAGTCGGTTTTGAACAGTCTTTATCAATACCTGTGCAGTTTGTGCCTTGTTTATCTAGCTGAAATCCATCATCACAAATACAACGAAACATCCCTGGCATATTTTCACAGCGGCCATTTTTACACAATGGAAACATTCTGCATTCATCGATATCTAGGAGAAAAAGTGAAAAGGCATTAGAGCACGGAAGGCTTTATTAAGGAGCTGGAGGGATCTTAGAAAACAACTCTCCGGCTCTAGTAGAATTCTCCTGAGAACTTAGGTAAACTTCCCAATAGTGTTGTAAATGTTCCAGTTAACAGGAGGAGCGCGGGCTCATTTCCCGGCAGCGGCTTGGGAATCGAGCTGACATTTGCTGTAGTTGAAATGGAGTTGGTCCCAGTACTGCGCTATTCGTAAGGAACCGATATGGAAATCAGTTGATAGAGTAACTTACCAACACAGCTCTTTTTATCTTCAGCTGGTATATATCCAAGCTCACACTCGCATTCATATGAGCCAGCTTTATTAGTGCACTGTCCGTGATCACAAAGATTATCTTCCAGTAGACATTCGTCGATATCTGAAAATCGCGACATCATGGGCCAAGTTAGTAAAATTTCGACGCTTGCAGAGCGCATTCTCAATCTGCCGCGTCTTGCAAAGTGTTAATGAGTTGCATCTTCGAGTGCTTAGTTCCACTTGAAAGGAAGTTTCACGTGTGGAAAGGGGTTTTTGAAGTAGTACTCGTATAACTGAGACATGCTTTGCTCTTTTATTCTGCATCGCTCTCAATTGTAGAATGAGGCACGTATACTCATTGTTGCTATATCTGGGAAATACGCCTTTTTGAAAATACTTCTTACTTCAGAAATACTACCGCGTGGATACATTTAATAATACTTCAAGTACAAATTTGGAACTGTGTTTCCGTTCGTAATCTACCGGAAGTCTCCTTGATGGATTTGACATTAGTATAAGAGAGTAACTAAATATCATTATGGCCTACCGTTACAAAAAGAACCATCTCCTGTGTAACCTGGCCCACAAACACAGCTGAAAGAGCCTGGAGAGTTGACACACGTGCTATTGAAATGACACCTGGCAGCTCCTGTGACGCACTCGTTGATATCTGTGCGGTGAAGAAAGATGATGTAAAGGGGGGGTCATAAAATGAAAAAATTAATGGACTTAGTTTTAAATGAAGGAATAAAATGAGAAAAAAAATGGATCATTTGCCCCCAACGGCGAGTGGCGTAGCCTATCAAATTGAAGCATTTGGGATAGTTCGCTGGTAGATTTGCACTAAACATAATAAGCTGACGAAAAGGTTTCTTCCACTCTAGACACTCACCTATGCATTCGTTACCACTTCCGGCGAATCCAGGTTTACAATCGCATGTAAAACTGCCAATAGTATTACTACAGTCAGCATTGCTACCACACTGAGCCAGATCTATAACACATTCATCAACATCTGAAGAGAAACAGATAGATTAAGTTAACTAGGGATGGAGAACACTGACACGCATTAAAAAGGACCAACAGGAGGAAAGAGTTTGCTGAATTTCTCAATATTAGATAGGCGTGGAATGGTCTCCTTTGCAGCCATCTTTAGGTATGTCACGCAAGGCTTTGGATAAGCGTTGCGTGACATCTTCCCCTCACTCGCTTGGAAAAAAAAACAGCATTAATATCAACAAGAACAGTAAAGAGTCTGCAAAACAGACTAGTCATAGCCAAGCCTCTTTTAAGGCGTGGCACCTACCAATACACGCAGTTGTCCCTTTCGCCAAAACGTATCCCTTGCCACAGATACATTCAAACGAGCCTTGAGTGTTTCGACAGACACCGTTAGTACAAAGCTCAGGATCGTTTTGACATTCATCCACGTCTGAAAGTAAAAATAGAGCAAAACTATACTATGTTATCATTCGAACAATTGCGCTAATGAAATCTTAACTGCATCTTTAAATGAAGGATTTGTAATCTTAACTAAGTCGTCTCTCTTCATTAAATCGATTTTTTACGACATTCTTTTAAACATAAATAAGATATAAGACAGCTTATAAGTTTAGCCTACCAATGCAGGATCTCCTGTCAACAGCAGGCACATATCCAGGGCCACAGGTGCAATAGTACCCGCCTTCAGAGTTCGTGCATGTGTTATTCGTCCCGCAAATGTCTACACCAAGCGAACACTCGTCGATATCTGTAATCAAAGGTATGGTGAACACGCATTCATCAACTCGGAGTAGCACTCAGGAATCCTGGAGAAAGGTATTTGGTGGTTCAGCACGCAAGTATAATTGCCTTTTTTCAAAAATATATGAGAGCACGCGTAAGCGTCATTGTCGTTTGAATGACATATTTGGGGTACCTGTGTTGTCAGTGCCATTTCCAAGAGCATCTTCGGAAGACAAAGAAATGCTAAGAAGTTTGTTAAAATACAAGAAATTTGAACGGGAAAATAGATAGGTCGCTATTCGACAACGATCATTGTGCAATTGAACCCAGTCAATTTGTGATTATAAAAAAGTTAGGGTTTTCTCTGAGAATCATTACGCATGTGCCGTACCTCCACATGTGACTCCGTCAGGCTGCAACGTGAAGCCAGCTCTACAGTCACACACAAAGCTACCAAGAGTGTTGTTACAAACTTCCCGGCAGTTCCCGTTATCCACTTGACATTCATCGATATCTGTGAACATTAACACATTAAGTTGAGACTATCACATGCAATCTTGGTAATCTAAAACAGTGTAGTATATTAATGCAGACGAAATAGCTCAATCACATAAATTTATAATATTACTTAGAACATCAGCTTAATACTTTCTATCGGCTGTTGAGTATCTCTACTCGGGTGATTGGCAAAACATTTATTTCAAAAAAATCTCCTTCGCAGCCATTGGCGATTTTCAAATGTCACCCAACGTTCTTATGACGCACGTTGTTCCTGTTGTCACTGAGCATTACTCGACTCCATAGCTGGGATCAGCCTATTGACCGGAACATACATAACAGTATGATACTGACCTATACACGCCTTCATATCCTCCGTGACCACGAAACCGGAGTCACACAAACACTGATAGCCTCCGTGGAAGTTTTGACAAACACCATTACGGCATTTGTTTGGATCTGAACATTCATTTTCGTCTGAAAATAAAGTTGTACGTTAACAAGTTGGTGGTTGCTCTCTAGCAAAGTCAACGAGATGTATCATTGTGTTTGCTACAGGCCTGCATCGTCAACTCATTCACTAAAACATAAATCCGACGGGATTCACTTTACCCGCTCGTTTCCAAGATCCCAATTGTACCTCTCCATTGTGTTGTCATTCATTTCCTTGTAAATTAGTTAGGAGAATTCGGCGTTTTATCAAGACCCTCCCGTCAACACGTTTTACTGTCCTGTCTCAGAATCAGTTTTCTGGGAAATGTATTTATTTTGTTAGAGTAAATTACATGTTGATTATTTCTGACACCCTCCAGCTGTCATCTCTCTACCTTCTTCGCCACTCGCAATCGATGAAACTATGTATTTTTTACCAAGTAAAACCTCCGTGTAGGGTACGAAGCAAATCCATCGCGGTCAACAATGAGCATAAGGATGTTGAAAATGAAACTAACCTTCGCACGTCACATTATCCTTCATAAGCTCCATTCCGTTGGGACAAATGCACTTGTAGCTTCCTTCAGTATTCACGCATGTACCGTCCGTACAAGGTTTCCGCTCACATTCATCGATGTCTGAAGAAAAAAAAATTCACTGTCCAGTGCATTACATTCAGCCAATGAACTGCATCACAGTGCGCGGCGTCAAAATTTTGAAAGTAACATTAGTATTTTAAAAGCCTTATCAAGAAAGAAGAAGTGCCTTTCTTTGGAAATTACCTTCAAGGGCGCAAGAAGGAGACAAAAAGAATGTATGAATATATGCGTGCTATATTCAACACTGACGACCCATATATTACGTACCCGACCAATGGCCTGATTTCCCTGTTCAACTTACCACAACGCATAAATCTCTAGGTGATTCAAGAGGTCCTGAGAAGCTTCGCAAAACCAATGGGTGGCAAACTCTGCAATTCTGAGGAAGCCCAGAATTACATTGTTAAGAGAGTCGGAAGGTGATCGAATTTCTTAGCACTTACCAATACAGACCTCCATCATCATTGGAGCATTCTCAAATCCAGTAAAGCAGTCACAGCGGAAGCTTCCAGCGATGTTGGTACAAGTTCCATTGCCACACAACCCCGCAGATATTCGGCATTCATCGATATCTGAAAAACGGCAATATGGACGTATGTTACTCAAAGAACTTGTTTTCAGTGCTATCTTTATTTGAAATTTAACATAAGGCTTTGACACTTAAGCAAACAGTCTAAGGCTATCCCTCGACAAGCGGCTTTTCTTGCAGGAGAGAGAAAAGCCCGCGGGGACAATTTTATCAAGACCTTTTGGAAGAATGAAATGGAAGTTTAAATCTTTAAAGTATGATTTATATAAATAAAAAAATACTTGAATTTGATTGAGGAATAGATCAAGTAAATTAGTGATTTAAAGAGCTTCTTCATGCGCGAGAGGCAGTCGTCTTGCATGAGGAAATCGTAAACTCAATTTTTGTTACCATAGCACCAACTACTTGAAGATGTTAGGAAAATTCTTTTCTAGAAAAAAATCGAGCTGAGGGTATGAAAAAGTATTCCTTACCTATGCAGTCCTTTCCCTCACTGTCCAAGGCGTACCCTGATGTACATTCGCACTGGAATCCTCCCTGTGCGTTCACACATTGTCCGTTGTTACAAATGCCTTGAATCGCACATTCGTTTACATCTAAAATAGGAGCGGAAACGGTAGTGATAAGCTCACAATGGAATAACGGAATGGTAAAACGAAAATAAATAAAATGAATTAAAATGCCTGGCTTTTTCATGATATGAAAAACCTTCAACTCTCGGTCCGGTCTGACTATCCACAGTCTTGAATCCCTTTCTTCGATTGCCGCATAGTTCTTCAAACGGATCTAAATGAAACAACATAGTTGCAGTTACAACCCATCCGCTGGGGTCCCGGCACGGTTTCTCTATTGATTTCTTCCACATGAAAACATCGAGAAAAAAGGGGATATCAGGTACTTCACCCTGAATCCGAGTTCTCTCCAGTTCGAAAATGTAGATTACATGGAGAAGCCGCGTTACTTTCCGAGTAGGAGTAGCATCTGGATATTTGTTGGAAATTCTGTGTCACTCTAGGGTAGCCTTTATTTCAAAGAGTCGCTTCTTTTAATGAAACTGTACAGTAAACCGTTTAAAATATGAGAATACAATAAGATTTCTCGTTAACATACTACGCTTAATTATTCTAAGAGAACATCGACTTCAGAAATTTGCGTCTCGATTTTGTTACTATAAAGGAAATCCCGCGCAAATTAGTCACAGATCACCCCCAATAGGAGAAACTAGAAATGAATAAAGGGGGTAAGTTTCTGGAGAAACTATGGTGCTGCGTCGATGGAAGAGTATAACAGGTAATTTAGTGTTAACAACCGAGTTGAAAACGTAAATTAGCCATCGTAAAGAGTTTAAAGGCTGACGTTTCGAGCGTTAGCCCTTCTCAGAGCAATCTAGAAACGGCTTGTTTCACATGTCTAAGATCTTGCTCATTCAACCTCAAATAAGTAAACAACACACGAGAGAGACACTTGGGAGACAGTGACTTGAAATCAAATCATAATTTGGAAGGGATGAGGTATTTATAGAACGTTCACCATCGTGGCCTGATATTTCCTTGTCCGTATTTATTTACCTGTGTTTTCTAATGGGCATTCTTGGCATGGATTACCCCAACCCGATCCCACCTTGGAACAGCAGCAGTCTACTTTTTTGTACCTTCCTCGGTATGGCCTTTCACAGCCACTGGAGGAGACAGAACCGTAACACACGTCCTCCCGAAGATCTGGGAGAAGACCGACAGAAAATCATAATTGTCATTAATCTTGGTAACATCAACAAAATTTATCATGCTTTATGTCTAAAAACAAGGGATTTGTTTTTATAGGTCGCTGTGATCGCTAAGAAGATGGTTTGAATGATTACCATGATCTTTACGATCGCATAATAATGTATACTCAGATAGACCCAACTTCTGCACCAGCGATCAGTGTCGCTGAGCTAGCTGGGCAGTCGTTTCTTCAGCCGCCGGTTGATGGACGTTTTTATTCTTTAATTCATAGCTATCAAAAGGAAATCAGTTCTAGGAAATTGCTGAATCAACGCCCACATAACTCATCAAAACAGGAAAGGTAAAAAAATGAGATCATACGAGATGGCTTTTTTTGCAAGAGGTATAAGCCAGCAGTTTTCATCTTTTCATAACATTGACGGACCAAACCTATGCTTACCCACGCAGTTTTTTTGTGTGAAGTCCAAAGTCAGGCCTGTAGAACACTCGCAAACAAAGCTACCAAGAGTGTTACGACAGATTCCATTCTTACACAAGCCGGGGAACTGGGTACACTCGTCGATGTCTGCAAACCACAAATACAAAGACATCTACCATCACTGAAGGGCGCACATACTTCATAAGACTTAGTTAAACAACCTTTCGCCCATCAGTTGTAAAGAACTGTGAAGATCCGCACGACAGAAAATTTTGCCATTTACATAGGGGAATGGGTGCAAATAGCGCCTTCTTTGAAGAAACGTTTCTTTGGTTCTATTTGATGAGCCCAGATATTATAGGAATCAAACTTTTATTGCAATAAAAAATTTTTACTTCTTTAGAGATAAGGCAAAAGAAATGAAAAAGTTAAGGAGTCCACAAAGAAGTGGCTCAGTGTTACTGTCGATCATGATAGGTATCACTACTAATTAATTTGTTGATTTGATATCGTTACGTAACCCATCACATGCAGTGATGGCTGCTCTCTCAATTCCATATAGCCTCATACTTCTCGAGAAATAGCTCTCCCATTAGTTACCTGTACATCTTGGTTCGTCTTGAATGGCGTACCCTAAAGCACACCGCTCATCTGCAAAAAAGAGTATCATCACTCGTTTTTAATATTTGCGCTTAAATTGTGGGATGGTGGTGCTCGATAGCTCATGGGATTTAATGGTACGGAAGAAAGTCTGTTTTAACCTATATTATGATCAGGCGGTCAGTTGGGGTGCAGAGGTACAAGTGGATGAAATTTCTCGTTTCATCTGCGCCACTTCACTCAAGAATAACATAAGGCTGCCTAGGTGAGGATCTGTAGCACAGATCCAATCTGCTTATGCATCAAACCCACGTGTTGCACAATAACGAGAGGAAGAAAGAGAAAAAAGGAAGAGAGAAAACTGAGAAAGAAATGCAAGTGCAGACTGAGACCAGGATGTGCAACTCGACGCTACCAAAACAAAATATCGCTTACCTCCTTTCCTGGGAGGACATTCTTCACAAGGACTTCCCCAGCCTTTACCTATGGTGTTACAACACATTTCTAATGAAACGTCGCCATTGATGGATTCCTCGCAGCGATTGTTCATGATTTTTGTCCAACATTGCGCTGTTCTTTTGTCTGAAAGTTTTCAATAACAAAGTCACATTTACACGAATAACAGAGTTTAATGGTTAATGACTGGACAAAATTATAGCCGTAGCTTGTCGAGGAAGATCGCGTAACCTCCAAAAACTATTGCATTAGAATGTAGTAGTTGTAAAGTTGAAAGGTTTTTTATCATCGATAGCTCTTTTCAAACGAAGTCGACTTCATGTTTGTTTTTAATTTACAGACCAAAGGCATGGAGGCGCATTTATGAAGAGGGAACCAAATAGATGACCATGGAAAACTTTTAGATTGCCAATTTTCCATAAAGGGGTACCAGAAGACAAACTTCTCAATTTTATAGCCTTCTGGTTTGCAAATCATTTATATTCAATTTTTAGGGATACCTTTGCAAATCCTGCCCGATCCATCTAATTCGTAATAACGAGGACACTGACATCGGAAACTACCAAAAGTATTTTGACACGTTCCAGCAATACACTGACCCTCGAAGGCGCATTCATTAATATCTGAAAGTGAATAAATAGCGTGGTTTAAGTATAGGAGGTCAGTTAGGAGCAGTTCCGGTGATTAATTAGTTTTTCTTCACTGTCTGCCCTGTTTGATTGGCCTAGAATACTCTGGCTATCCTCAACCAATCAAGTGCAAATTTCAAAATAATCACGAGCTGGTCGTCGTAGGGATTTTCTTATGGGTTCTTACCGGCCCTTTGCGATGTCAATTTTCGTTCTGATCGGCAGTTGTTATTTATCTGGGTTTGGTTAAATGACAATCGATCAATCATCGATCATCGATAGGAAAAGCATGAGACTTTTTTAAGGGAAGGAGAATCGCTCTCTTATAATGGCCATTCTACATTCTAGGGCTTTCAAAGGGATCTAATTTAAACTTAGATAGGATGGAAAAGCCTCCATGCTGTGTAATTTTCTCAGCGATTTGTCTCATAAAGCGGCTAGCGTCGTTAGACATGAGTTGTATGAAAGGTTACTAAGTAGAACACTCGTTAAAATTTCACGTACTCTTAAATGTAGCGCTTGATTTTACTCACTACGACATTTTCATTACTGCAACGGAAACAACCGAAAAGCTTGTATGTAAAATCAAAAGGGGAAGAAAATTGGACTTGCACAAACAAATCTTTACCTTCGCAGATTCTAGATTGAGTATTTAAAGAGAATCCTTTGGGGCAATCACAGGAGAAAGTGCCAGCTAAGTTTTGGCAGCTTCCACCTAGGCAAAGTCTTGGGTCCTCTGTGCACTCGTCGATGTCTAAAAAGAAAACATTGGAGACCTAATAATTTTGATGATCAACAATATTGTTTTGTATAGCTTCATGAGGCATAAGTTAACAGAAAGCGAACATTTTTGAGGAGCCTGTATCAGGTGTCTATTCTTAAAAGCGTGTTACGTCCCTACTGCGCACATAATGATGTTTCCATCATCGATCAATGCCGTTTAACTAACCACATCTCCACGAAAATTTAGCTAAATGTCCCTCTTCATGTCAGTATGTCAACTATCAGTCTGTCAGATGAATAAATGGGTAGGTTTCTGAAGAGACTGTGGTGCTTTGTCGGTGGGGAATATAACCAGAATATAACGCCAGAGTGAATGTCAGTCTGTCAGCCTTTCAGTGTGTTAGTGTGCCATCCTGTCAGCCTTTCAGTCTTTCTTTGTTAGCTCTTCTGTCAGTCTGTCTGTGCATACCTCTGTCCAATATCAAACTCTTTCTTTGTCTGTCAGTTACCCTGCTGTCTGTCTTTAAGTTAAAAACTGCTCAAGTATTAAACTCCCTTTAATGACACCCAAGAGTATATAGTTTATCTCTAACCGTTGCATAGCTTTTTAGTAACATCGCTGCGGTAGCCTGGGTTGCAAACACAGATGTAATCCTTCATCGTGTTTTGACACTGTCCGTTGGTACACACATTTGTCTTCATGCCAGCGTTATTCACACACTCATCAACATCTAAAGAAAAGAGCTTCACGGGTTTATTTGGAACCAACATAATGACTAGCTCCCAGTTGGCTTGTTAGCTCAGTTGGTAGAGCACTGCACCGGTATCGCAAAGGTCATGGGTTCAAATCCCGTACAGGCCTGAATTTTTTTCAGGCTTATTTTCACTACTGCTTAAGTAGTGCACGTTACTGCGAGGATCACTTTCGTTCACGTCTTTATCCGCAATTCAAATATATGACTTTCATATATTCTTAACCGTTTAAAGACTAATTTTCTTAGTATTATGGATGAAATAAGGACGCCATAAGTCAGTTTTTAATAGTAAGATAGTTAGAAACAAAAACAGATGTTTGCCCAAAACTAGTTAAATCAACCCTATCATTACTGGCTAGGCGAATAGGAAAGATAATTTTTGGCATGCAAAAAGAGCTAACGTTGTCACGAAAAACGGATTGTTTGCAATAATTCGAGGCAAAGGCGTAAGTAAAGGAGAGAGATGGGGGAAGGGGTGGGGGGGCGGTCGTTAGTTGTATTTGACCACACCTCCTCTTATCAGTCAGAAGTTAAAATTATTATAAGGAAACAAGTGGCATACTTCCAAATGTAAGTAATAACCCGGTATGAGGGCTCCCCCCCCTCCCTCCACGTCACCCTATACGTTTCACTTAATCTAACAACGAAATTGCACATCCATGTGGCCTTACCATCTCCACCGCAAGTCATTCCGGGTCCTTTACAACAAACTCGGTTGTAACTCTCTGTAAACAAGACAAAACACAATCAACATCTGCCATTTACCCCTTTTATAAGAATCAAAACTCCAAATTCACATTCAGCCTGGGAACAGCGGACGAAGAACAACCTTGCGGACATGCGACCGCAAAGCCCCTACTTAAAGCAATGCGACTCCTTATTTTTAATCGCGAAGTAAAGAGCAAATCAATCCTACCTGTACCCTTCAGAGGACACGGCGTACATGGATCATCCCATCCTCGCTGACCACCATTCTCCATTCCACAACAGCACTGCGATAGCGTAAGGAATCTCATCAAGGGCTGAGAACATCGGCTGCTTTCTACCTTGGCGTAACAGCGACCAAGTGTTGTATCTAAACAATTACAACGATGGCAAAGTTAAAACCTTCCTAGATTCTTCGCAAAATGTTTTGACAGTCAGGCTTTGTGTGATATCTAGTTATATCTATTCCAGAGCAATTGTGTTGTTAAAAATAGGCAGTCTAAGACTGCGTGTAGCTACTAGTACAGCACAGTTTTTTATAGCAATGAAAAGAACTAGAGGCTATATAATGACGCTAGAAGGTTATGTTGCAAAAGATTTTAATTCAGATGCAAAACAGAAAACCTGCCGCATACCACATATTATGAGTACCCCGTTCCACAAGAGAAAGATAATTCAAGAACATAGTGACAAATTGAAATTCAACCAATAATTAAATACTAACAAATTATCAAATTAACAGTACTCATAATGAACAATAGTTATATAATAATGATCGAGAGGGGATAGCTCTAAAGCCTAACGGTTCACCTGTACTCTAAGCACCAATTATAATTAAACTCTACTTCTTTAGATTTTTCCATGTTAATTTTAAATAATTTTCTTATTTTTATTGCAAAGACTTTTGTTTCATAAAATGAGGCGTTCCACGTTTTAGGATATTCCGGAATTCTGCCATTCCATCATCCATTTACTGGAGTCACCCTGTAAACTGAAGGTATCGTATTTCGCAGCTTGCTCGCTTCGCAAATTTAGCGGGTCTCTTAAGCATAATTCTCTGATTCAAACAATTTCCTGAAAGTTTCCATGAGGTGCAGATCACACCTAATGGGATATTTCAACGGGGAAAAGTTTTGATTAAAATTACGCATTCGTGGTGAGAATGAGAATTGAGAATTTTCTGAGATGTTTATCGTCTTTTCTGGGGTCACAGCAAGAACCGAAAAAGTTACATCTTCAGATCTACTGGGAATAATTTGCTGATTAAGACGGTAAAATGCTCTCCCTTCAAACAAACATTTTTCCTCTGAGTCTTCACACCTATCAAGATGTTTCAGCAAGGAAATAATGTGTTTCAAATGACGCGCCATCCTAAAATGATTATTAGAGGTTTATCGTTTTCTGCTGTCTTCTGTAGTGTCAAAGCATAAACTAAAATCTTGGGCTGGTGGCTATCAGCTAGGAATAAAATAGTGGTTCACTGCCTATTAAATAGGAGGCACAAACCAATAAACACAATAATCAAACAATTATGTCGAAGACAAAAAATGTGACACTGATGTCCTACATCCGAAATTGGCCACTAGTGTCAAGAATCCAAAAACGTCCGCTACTGGCCAAAATATAAATAGGCCAACTAGTGTCCAAATACAAAATCAGCCACTGGCGAACAAAATCTAAAATCGGCCACTTTTATCCAGAATCGGTCGCTAGTGGCCAAAATCCAAAGTCGGCCACTAGCGTCCAGAATACAAAAGCGGCCACAAGTGTCAAAAAACCAAGATCGGCATCTAGTGACCAAACTCGGCCACAAAATCTAAAATCGGCCACTTGTATCCAAATTCCAAAAACGGCCAGTAGTGGCCAAAATCCAAAGTCGGCCACAAGTGTCAAAAATCCAAGATCGGCATCTAGTGGCAAAAATCCAAGATCGGCCACTAGTGTCCAAAATACAAAATCAGCCGCTAATGGCAAAAATCCAGAATCGCCCACAAATGTCCAAAATCCAAAATCGGCCACTGGTGGCCAAAATCCAAAATGGGCCACTAGTGGCAAAAATCCAAGATCGCCCACTAGTGTCCAAAATCCAAAATCGGCCACTGGTGGCCAAAATCCAAAATCGGCCTCTAGTGGCCAAAATCAAAGCTCGCCCACTAGTGTCCAAAATCCAAAATCGGCCACTAGTGGCCAAAATCTAAAATGGGCCACTAGTGGCCAAAATCCAATATCGGCCACTAGTGTCCAAAATACAAAATCAGCCGCTAAAGGCAAAAATCCAGAATCGCCCACAAATGTCCAAAATCCAAAATCAGCCACTGGTGGCCAAAATCCAAAATGAGCCACTAGCGGCAAAAAACCAAGATCGCCCAATAGTGTCCAAAATCCAAAATCGGCCACTGGTGGCCAAAATCCAAAATCGGCCTCTAGTGGCCAAAATCAAAGCTCGCCCACTAGTGTCCAAAATCAAAAATCGGCCACTAGTGTCCAAAATCCAAAATCGGCCACTGGTGGCCAAATTCCAAAATCGGCCTCTAGTGGCCAAAATCCAAGCTCGCCCACTAGTGTCCAAAATCAAAAATCGGCCACTAGTGGCCAAAATCCAAGATCGCCCACTAGTGTTCAAAATCAAAAAATCACCCACTAGTGGCCAAAATCCAAAATCGGCCACTAGTGGCCAAAATCCAAAATCGGTCACTAGTGGCCAAAATCCAAAATCGCCCACTAGTGGTCAAAATCCAAAATCGCCCACTAGTGGCCAAAATCCCACTAGTGCCAAAATCCTCAAATGGGTCATTGGGAGACGTTTATCGTCGTCTGGCTAAAATACAAAATCGGCCACTTGTGTCCAAAATCCAAAATCGGTCATTTGTATCCAAAATACAAAATCGGCCACTAGTGGCCAAAATCCCAAATTGGCCACAAAATTTTATTTCTAATCGCGCGCCATCCTCAAATGATTGGGAGACGTTTATACGAAATAATTTGTTTCAAAGAAACTCTTCTTTCTTTCGCCAAACTCTTCCAGTTTTCTAGGAGCCCGCGCGAGGGCTTAAATTTGTTTCGATTTCAAATGCACCACAGCACTGAATTGAATTTATGCTCTATCATGCTAAATACATATTCCGAGTCTAAGACTTTGCACTGTTGGAGACAGAACCGTCGCAGCCTTTCCAGGCCGTCCAAAGGCAGAGAACAGAAGCTCTGGCTTGTGCACGATTACCTCTGGTAGTTTTTTATAAAATTGATATGAGCTCAAGAGAGCTTTATCCTCTCTTTCTTATTTGACTGAGTAAGAGACCGCTTATGATCTTACCTATGCAAGCTTTCCCATCAGCACTTGGGGTGAAACCACGTTCACAAGTGCATTTGAAGCTACCTGGCTCATTCACACAGCGACCATTCTTACAAATGTTATCCTGTAGGCACTCATCGATATCTGAAATATTACAACACTGAGAAGATTACTTTAACAGTTCATTCTAACCCCATGCTACTCATTTTATCATTAATGATATTGAATTACACAAACTAATGGCGTCTCAATGTCTTTATGTTTTAGCTGAATTTCCATCCTTTTTTCCCACCAAAGACGAAACGACAGGATAAATCGCTATCGAATAACATATCTTAAAAAAAACTTTAATAGAAATATTTCAAAATTAAAATGATGCAAGTGACTACCTATGCAAACTCTTGGATCTGCTGTATTTTGGAACCCTTTGTGGCATGTACAGCGGTATGATCCACGACTGTTCTCGCACTTTCCGTCGACACAGAATCGCGGAGTACGACATTCGTCTTTGTCTGTAGAATAACAGCAATTACATATTTAAACTTTATATCCATTTATTGAAGAATCGTTTGGCAAAAAATATATATTTTGGAATGATAGCGAGTTTCAGAGTTCCTGAAGTATACTCACCGTTGCAATGGCGCATGTCAGAACTTGGTTCAAACCCAGTATCACACGAACATTCATAACCTCCGGGGTAGTTAGTACACTGGCCGTTACTGCAGACGGACTGGGATTTGCACTCATCGATATCTGCCAAAAAGAGATGGCAACCAATAACATTGAATGACAGGTCAAAATATGTTCAGAAGCCACGTGTGAGTAATTGTGGCTACGAAATAAATATCTTAGCAACGACTATGGAACGAAGCTACAAGAGAACGATGCGATCACTGCAAACGATAAAGAGAGTTAAGGCGAGAGCCTGCGCAAAAGGCTGCCCAGTTGACAGTAGTCTGATTTAATTGTAACGATCTCTATGTCTTACAGTGATTTCCGCTTAACATGGTAAGGAATTTCACGAGATTCATCTTTAAGAATCCTTCTATAATGGTAACATGTAACAAACGTTGACGTTCCTCTGCAGCACAATAATGGTTAACTCGAATGAAATGAACCGTGTTCACCTGTGCATGTTCTTTTGTCAGACGTCAATGTGTATCCGCTACGACATTGACAAGTGAAGCCATCTCTTGTGTTCACACAAGCGCCGTTCTCACAAACACCCGATTGAGAGCACGGGTCGACACCTGGGAAACAAGAGAACTGTTTAAAAAAAGGTGTAAAGTGAATCTCTCTCGGAGATAACCACTTCCTGGATTGGCATCAAGTCTTGAAAGTTAGAGAGATTTCTGTGCTAAGGAATGTTCGAACGGGAGTAGCATACTAACCTCGAGAACAGCTTTTCCCGTCAGAAGACACCTGGAAGCCGGGATTACACTCACATCTGTAAGTACCGTTCATGTTAATACAAAGCCCATTTCTACATAGCAGCGAATTCGCTGAACACTCGTCTACATCTGCAAAACAACAATTTTTCAGCCATTGATGAAACGTGGAAATCCTGGACTTTACCAACAGAAACTTACAGACCACTTTAATCGACAGAAACATTTTAGAGACTGGTATTCTTTTTTCTCTACATATTATATGTATAATTTTCTAGTATAGTGGGATAGTGTTGATAGGAAAAGGCTTTTTTCGCAATGTGTATATACCTCTCCATGGCTCGTGCAACGCTCATAACCCTCTTGGCCAAGATAGCATCCAGCACTAAAGGCCATCATGATGGCAAATGATGGCAGACATGTTCGAATCTTTGGAGATTTTACCACCCAAAGTGTTCCACCCGACACTGTGGGGACAACATTTCAGTTTTCCTAAAAAGGCCTCTTCCTCATGCAGAATTAAAATTTATTGCTCCTCGGTTTATAATGGGAAAGGTTTGTTTTTGCGACACACTTACCGAGACACCTATTGTCTCGTCCAAGTACATATCCTGTATTGCACAAGCACAGGAAGCCGCTTGGAACGTTGATACATCTGCCATTAAGACATGCGTTCCCTTGTCTTTTACACTCGTCCACTTCCAGGGGAAAAATAGAATAAAAAGTAGTTTATGTCAGGAATCAACATTGATTCCGTGGAGCACTCTTCTCAAGCAAAAAGTAGAGGGGAATTCTGCAACCGAGGGCTTCTAGCGTTAGTTCACTCACTGACGAGGCTTTGTTCATACGTTTACGAACCTCATCGAGGAGTGACTGAAAAATCATTTGTGACCAGAATGGTCTGCCATGACCAGAGGAAAATGCACCACAAAATAATTAAGCCCTTCTTGATGGCGTTAGCAAAACTGGTCCAAACGTGGGAAACAGGTACAGAACAAAAAGACATATGTGAGCAAGAGTAAAGATTGTGCAAAACAACCGTGATTCGTATGGTGTGAACACTTGCTATACTACAATAAGCGTGCACGAAACTCCACACATCAGACTCAGTTGATAAACAAGATTTGCGAGGATGTAACGATGTATAACAGAAAAAATATACCATTTCAACGGATTTTATCATTTCAAGTATATTTGGGTGATGACATACCTGGAGGCTTGGGAGTTGGAATAGAAACATTTGGACACAATTCTGAGTATTCCGCTACAAATAAATGGGAGAAAAAATTATATGGTTGACTGCTGCGCTTTTCTCGAGTAAAAGTCAGAGAAGGATATTGGATAATCTAATTAGTCAGAGTAAAGTTGCGTTATACCTCATTACGTGTTCAAGTTATGAATTCACCAAAGAGTAAAAATTTTATATAAGGAAAAATGAGTTCTTCCTGATGACGAGCGATCAAGAGTTAGTCACGTGCAACTCACGTGTCTGCCGGGAAGGACACCGTTCACAGAGTGATCCCCAGCCAGCAGGACTCTCCTTGGAGCAGCAGCAGCCATGTTTAGTTGTGTTTGAAGAGGACTGGTCAACACAGTAGTCATTCACTACTCGTTGATAACAATACCCGGATTTTTTGCCTGAAAAAATTAGAAGATTATTTCAAATTAACATATTTTGTGACCATCCTCAAAATATAAAATCCACAATTGGCGGGAATCTCCTCGGAGCAGTAGGAGCCATGTCTAGGAGAACTGTGTACGGATTATGGGAAAGGATGAATAATATATCTTACTTATACAAAAGCTTTTGTCCTCGCTCAGAATAAATCCTTCTTTGCAAACACATCGAAAACTACCGTCGGTGTTCTCGCATCGGCCGTTGGCACAGATGCCTGGAATCTCGGTGCATTCATCCATGTCTGGAATCAAACGGAGTGTTATTATTTAACCTGATTACGGTGAGATGTCAAATCTAAGGTTATCGAGTTTCCAAAAATAAGAGAGTGAAAATGTAAGGAATGAATAGAGATATGAAATCTTGGTCTACGCAATGTTTCTATCGATGTAAAAACGTTTTAGGTCGCTTTAATTGTGATCTTCGTCATTAATTAGTATGTCATGGTTCACGGCTAGGAAGTAATAAAAAAGAAACTTGTTCCCAAAAGCATTATTTCTATTCTATCGTTATTTCACCAGGCATCCAAAGGCAAATTACACCTACCAGTGCATTTCTGAGAGTCTGTGTTAAGTTTTTTTCCCGCGGGACATTCGCAATGGTAGCTCCCAATAGTGTTGATACATCTTCCACCTGTACAGATCTTTGGGATAGCTTTACATTCATCGATGTCTGATTAAAAAAGCATAAGACAGTGTGAGGTTTTGTAGTTTTGCATCAGCATTTTCTCGTTTTACGAAAAAATTAAAAACCATGGCGCAATAATTTTTAATATGAACTGATAACAAAATACCTTGGCATGCCTTGCTCCGAAAATTTGGGAGATATCCTCTATCACAGGGTTCTATTTCAGAGAGAAAGTAAATAAAGTTCATCATCAACTATCATACCATATAAGTAAGTTTTACAATGTACAAAAATGTAACTGACAGGCTTCAACTACATTTTAGATCTTGTTACTGACTCAGTGTTAGACACCTGAAAGAATCCCTAATCCCAATTCCTCTCTGAGTCGGGAGTCATTTCGAGGTCAGAGCACCTAAGGTCAATACCTAGATTATATTTTATAAGATAATGTTTGCATTATCTTCAGTTTTATCTTAACAGTTAGAAGACTTAAAAGAGGAGTCTCGCCTAGACCCTTCGTTTAAGAGTTAAGTTACAAAGATTGAAGAACACACCTGGTTTGCTAGGACAACGTTCACACGGGTTCCCCCACGCTTGTCCAATAGTTGCGCAGCATGTGAGTCTTGTACAGACCACACCCCGTAATTGGTTATGACACATCCGGTTTCTAACTTTGGTATAACAAGGACCAACCCTGTAATCTAAAGAATAATCAAATTCACGGTAAGCTTCATGAAATTAGCTCAGGAAATCATACCTCAAAAAATTTTTCATATTAAGTCGATACCTTGCTGACAGCGGTTTCCAGTAAATCCATAAGGACATGCGCACTTGTCAGGTCCAACACAACGACCTCCATTGAGACACTGCTCCTGACAAATGGCTGGAAAAGAAGAAAATTTTAGTCAAGGGTTTAAGGCTATGGTTTAGACTAAGGATTTCAGTAAAGGCACTGTGAAAGTAACGTGTTTTGCTTAAGAATACAACAAAATGACCTGGCCAAGTCTCGAACCCAGACCTCTCGACCAGGAATCCATCGCATCAACCGTAAGGCCATCGCACATCCCAAAAACAAATAACATGAATTAAATCGAGAAGTGACGAAAGGATCTACATACGTGACTGACAGAACTTTCCAGTGAATCCATTTTTACAGGTGCAGTTATCTTTGTTACAAGTTCCACCATTAAAACATAATACGTTACATTGTCCGCCTGAAAGAATTCCAAGGAAAAACCTTACAATCAAACTGAATTTAGGATTTAATAATATACATGAAAAAATTTCGCGCTTCTGATTAGCTGAGAACGAATGCATTCTGATGTAACTCAAGTCAAAGTTATAACTAGAACCCGAATACAAACTACAAAGAGTGCGCGCACGCTTTCAAAATTTCGTCTGTCTTAACTTTCTGTGATGTTTTTTTTTTTCATAAATATTATACAAGTAATAACATGATTCAGTTCGAGTGCGAGTAATAAACACTTGTAAATTTTTCAAAGACTACAAATTGCACTTGCCCTACGGGCTCGTGCAATTTTGTTGTCTTTGAAAAATTTGCTCGTGCTTATTAACACCAAATTGCACTCGAAATCATGTTATTACAAATACTAAGTCAATAAAGCTTAAAATCAGGGCCTCTGTCGGATGTTTCAAGTCTCTAATGAAATAACTGATATACATTAGTAAAAGCGTTTCAACTTGTCGATTGGTGTGTTCGGATGATAGTATGTAAACACGGTTTTAACATTTTAAGTTTGTACGTATTTCTGAGAATTTTTTTGTTAAAAGGAACAGCGTCCTTTTTATTGTTCAATATCAAAAGATGAAAATTCAATATCAAAAGATGAATAGTTTTGAAATTCAAACGATACAAACTTTTGGAAACGAAACAGCATGCGCTGTTTTAATCGTTGAGACTAGCAGTGCTATTCCTTAAGATCTCAAAGTATGGCTTCGGACCCGTTAGCTGGACTTTTAAGAAACGATTCCGTGGCTGATTGTGTGGAGCAGTCAGTTTATTGGCTTAAAGCTTAATGACAGTTATCGCAAACAAGCCGATTAACTCACCTTGTACCTGGACCCCACTGCATGACGGACTAAACGCGCCATTTGGACATCGACAAACGCCAGGTCTGAAACAAACTCCAGTACCACAGCCATACCGGCACATTGCTAAAACAGGGATACCATAATATTTTTTATTTCAACTTAAACGCAAAACGAATCGTGTAATATGGGTTTTCTGTCTCTTTAAATTTTATTGTTATTATTTTAGGGTGTAATATTTACGAGGATGACGTCATACAAGCTGTTTCAAAGTAAACATTATTCCTTTAACTCCAATGTGGGCTGATTTTGTAGATACCTCAAAGAATTTTATGGTTGGAACCGGGAGTCTTCGTTACTTTGAAGGCCGTATAAGTGTTTATAAATGCGGTTAAGTAAACATGAAGGTGATGAAGATTGATTCAAGTCGATCAATCAAAAGTGAAATTGTTAATTATAAGTTACGGAGACTAGACGTTCTGTAAAAATTAGTACACCACGACGGACGAACTTCTTCCAACCATTGGCTACCTTAATTTAGAGGGAAATTTGTTAAATATTGGTAAAACAAAAGGAGTTAACTATTTTTTTTTTATTTTAAGCCTACGAATGCAGCTTATATCTTTTGGTTACGAGACCACTTAGAACCCAGGATGGAATCACTTCCTTTACACATGGGAAAATCGTAAAGCAAAACTAAAAATCGGACCAAAGCATAACTGTTCTTGTTGAATTGATTCAACTCTGAAGAATATGTTTTCTGATACTATTTTGACAATATTTCAGACGTGCGGAAGAACTCAATTATAACTTATGGCGATAGGAGAGAGGAGGATCCCTCGACTAGCAATGCAATCGTTTTCCAAGCCTCAATAATGGAGATCCTTCAAGTTGGGCATGTTGCAGATAAGGAAATTTCGAAAATTAAAATTCAGTTTCACCATCACGACCAATAACCCTTTAACTCCAAAGATCTGATTGTTAATTCTCCCCTCAACCTGCTAAACATTTTCCTGTAAATAAGTTAGGAGAATTTGGTGTTAGATAAGGCTAACTTCTACCTGATAAGTTTGAGCATTCTCATCACCTGTTTGCTGAATAATGTACAGATATTTTGGGGAGAAGTCAAATATTGATCACTTCTGAGAGTTAACCGAACGCTTTCGCCGAGTAGGCGCAAGCGCGCAGTGTTCTAAAAGATCGAAAAATTGCAACACTATCCTAGTACACACACAGAATATATGGACGCACGGAAAGATTCCAGCTAACAATCGATCAAAACGATTTGCCAACTAACTCGTCCTCAGTCGCTACCACGACGCAAGCAACCAGGTGACAAGGACAGCATGGAAACGAAGTTTAATGGGAAGGGATAAAGGGTAAAAAACATGTGTTCATTGAGTATCTCGATCACTTAAATTCTATCGTCAAATTCAAAAACGTAAGTAAGCTGTCAGTATGAGCTGCACAAATTTTTTTTTTGAAATGTTGGATGACTACCTAAACCCCCAACCACCCCTCCCTCCACTCGCTTCTGATTTGACCCTAATGCGTATATCAAAATACAGAAAGGGAAAAAGACCTTGACCTTTAATTCTTGAACAAAAATTGAATTTCTGACGGTATGCAAAATGTTCTTTGATTGTATTCTATGTCATCTTTATACAGCCCTGGGATATTAGATATGTGTTAATTTAAACTCCCTCTGACACGCTGTGGTTGAATTAATGATTAGTTAGGCATAAAAAAAATCGCTTCCCTTGGTAAACTAAAAGGTGAAACTAAGAAAGGGCGCGATTTTCACCGCACTTATCGGGAATTCTCTTGAAAATCTTATTACATGATATAAAGACTTGATTTTATGATGCAATTTAACATTTTTGGTAATCTAAATATGGCTTTAAGTTATACACGCACGGAGAATTAAAACTTAGCTGGTAAGATTACAACAGGAAAAGGAGGAGAAGGAAGATTGAAAGATTTATATTGACGTTACAAAACAAAGCCTAATTCCGAGTTTTTAGTAGAAAAGTATTTTTCTCACCAAGAAAGCGATCAACACTTACGCACTATACACAACCCAACGGAAGCCCTTTGTTGCCATCCCGGACAGCATTGGGGATTGATTCGACTGCCGCACACATTTGGCCTGAAAGAATCATCAAAGTATCATTGGATTTCATTGTTATTAAATGAAGCCATCAGGGATAAAACCAATCGACATTTGATAAACTCACGATCAACTGACAAGATTCCACATCAGAGCGAAATCTGTCATCTACTGTAGCGCGTCTATGAATCGAGCCTTGATAACGAGAAATCCCCGTGCAAATTTCTAATTATAAATCAATAACAAATGCACCGCTGACGTTCGTTTTTTGCTTGATTATAGCACTCCAAACGAGAGCGTAAGCACATGCCACGAGTTTGGCGATGCTGGAAGTAATTTGCGAGTGCGTTAAGAACTTTGAACACAATTCAACGAATGCGCGCCAGCCAGCTTAGATTTTCCATCAAGCACATTTATCCAACACAGTGTTCAAACAAAACACATTTATAGGGCTATGAACGTGAAAAGCATGTTTTTATCGAAATAATATCAATTGGGAAGAGGATTGTTTTGTTAGGCATGTGTTAGATTATTTGACTTACCCAGTTAGTATTTGTTGTCGTCTCGTAGGACCACCTTCTACAGTTTGGCCTCGGCCTTCAGTGGCATTGAGCTGTTGAGCAAAAGCTAAAGAATTGCTCGGCAGTAACACACACAGAAGAGCTATTAAGCAACCCCCAGCCATCTACAAGCCTTTTGTGGTTTCAAACAATAGTAAGTTGTACTTTCGTGTAGTGAGAGAAACCCGCGACTTGGGGCGTCTGTCTGCTAGAGGCAAGTTTTTTACGGCCCCTGAAACAAAGATCTTAAGCTGAGAGGCTCTGAGCTAATTCTGATCACTCCAATGCTCCAAAGGCGTGAACTCAAAACGCTCTAAGCTATGTTGATTTTTGCATAGCTTCATTGAACGTCAGGAAACCCAAACGCCTGACAGGAAATCAGATACCTGACCCTCATGTCACTTGGCGAGCCGAAGAGGCTTTGTGGTCAAATTTGATACCTACAGCTCTCAAAGCAGTAACCTATTAGTTATTGTATTGAAAGACTATCCACGGTCGGTAATCTGGTTAAGCTCTCTTTTTTTCTTTAACGGGAAGGATTCAAACTTGCGTTTAATTCTTGAAAAGCTTCAATTTTCGCCACGGTTATAGTTCCTTAGGTGACACAATAATGCGAGAAATAATTTCCTCATTTCTTGAGAGTTGCGAATAGCGAAAAAAACTGGCGATCCTTCTTAACATCTGTTTCCCATGCCGCCAGCGAACTTTACAAACTGAGCCCCTCCCAGGGGTTTTAGGGAACAAGGGAACTGGAACATTTATTTTTAGGGAACAGGGATATTTTTCAAATTAATTTCAGGGAACAAGGGAACTCTTGAGTAGATTGTTGGGAACAAGGGAACACCGATCTACTTTCAATAATATATTTTTTTAACTTTCCGAGCCCCTTAAATATAATATTTCTTACGTTCTTGAGTGTCAGGCGAGATTATTTTTGAGATGATTATTGTTACGAGCTGTGCAAGGAATCTTGGGATTGTTAGTTTAATTCAAGGTGGCGGAAACTGACACAGTTCGAGAAACTATCACAATATTGTACCAGTTACTGGAGCAATATACCACAATGGGCAGGAAAAACCCACGGAGAGATGGAGCTTTGAACTTGGGCTAAATTTATCTGAAGATAAGGCGATTTTTTTACTATGAATAGAAAGGTAAAACTTGCAAACAAATATGGGGAACAATGATAAACATTTTTGGGGATCAAGGGAACAGCGCAAAAATTTTCGGGATAAAGGGAACATGAGCTAAAAACATTTTTGGGAACAAGGGGTTTTATTAATGGGGAACAAGGGATAAAATCCAAAAAGATTAAGGGATCAAGGGAACATGAACCCCCCCCCCCCGCCCCCCTGGGAGCGGCTGGAGATTGGGAAATAGGCAGGCCTAAGAAATAGGGAAGGTAACCGAAATGCCGACTTAGACGTCACGTTTTGCAACACGTCGGAGCTTTAACAGTTCAAAAGTTGATGATTTACTTTAAGTGAAAGATAAATCGCCTTTGTGTAGTCTGTTGCGAACACTGTGAAAAGCATCCCCCGTCAATGGACACTGTAAAGACCTTAGAGGCAAATTTAAGCAATTCAACGTTTCCATCGTTTTTTAAGGGATTATTTCATTCACCCCCGTGTTCTGTCGACTCTCGCGCTCTTTTTCAAGTAATTACCGACATATTTCGATTGCATTTGGTCAACAACGGAATGAGGGCATTGAGTGAAAAGGCTAGGTACCCAGCCTTTCTCCGAAAGAATTGAAAGAGCTAATAAATTAATAAACAGAATGCAATTTGCGCATGGCTTTAAAACGAAGACTGCTAAATGTGCGACGGCAAATATTGATTGTTTTGGAGAAATAATCTCGTGAGTTAATTATGGGTTTTATGCCGGCGAAGAACCATTTCTCGATGCCATTTTATTAACGTCTCATTAGGCTGGCGACGACAGTTTGACGCGTTCTGCTCCCTGATCACCTTCAAATATTCGTTGTTGTGCGTGTTGAATAACTTACCCTCTTTAACGAGCTCTTTGGCTCATCTTTTGCGACTCAGTGGAAACAGTGTAGAAAAAAACTTCTGCTTTACACAGATCTACATCGTTGTAGAGTTTTGGTATCAAGGATTTGTTTTTACCGGTCGACTGCTATTCTCGTGAAGCGTTTCAAGGTTGTGGGTTTTGTTGTTTTTCTTCGATCTCAAAATTAGTTATCGTTGTCAGTTTGGCTTGGTTATGTGAGCTGACGGGTTAGTCTTAAGGCCTCGATTTTCGTCTGTATCCTCAAGGATCAGATGATATTTTTTTAACAGAATCTGTAGAGGCCTTACATTGGTCATGTGTGTCATTCGTCGTCATTTTGGATGCTTGGCAAAGCATTTGTTATGGTAACGATCTCTTAGTCGTAAGATGTCTTTATTCAACCATGTTAGGACGCGTCAAATCACTACTAAGTCTCTTAAAGAGCCGCTTGTGACTGAGATCAAAACTAGACGGATCCCGAACTTGTTAAAACAAAGGGAAATTTCATTAGGAAGAACAGATAAAGTATTTGCATCACGATGGTTGGACGACAAGAAAGTGGTCTGTGGCACAAAATCAAACGAGGTGAGACAACCAACTGATGATAATTTTCTCAATAATAACCTTATTACACCTTTAATCAAAACTATGACAAAATTCTCGAATGTGATTGGTCATCACCAGCCTGATTTGAGCTCTAATAGGACAGTGTATGCATCATGCTTGTAATTGGACAATGTAATAGGACAGTTAAAGGGACAGTTAACACATCATGCCTATGTAAGTGGACAGAACGCATTATGAGCACACTGTTGTCTCGCATTTCACCAAGTTAACTGTTGATTTTTTTATGAAACATACGACCGATTTCTAGTTTCTTTCTCAAATTTTGTCATAGTTTTGATTAATTGGTAACAGTTCTTTGTGTCATCCAATTCTGTCTGTAATCATACTTGTAATTAACAAATTGGACTCCCGCATGACAGTCATCTGATTTTGTTTATCACTCATATGATTACAGACCAAATTGGACTCTACTTGGTCCTATTACCATAATTAATATTGCACTAACCCCATCATTGGTTATTAGAAGAATTATTTAGAGGATGACAGGATGCTTTCCTGTTTGATCAGTATAGGTTCTTACAATGTCTCATTGTAAGTGCCCCATTTCTTTTGGTTACCATCTTGAGGCATCAGTTTTCAAAAAAGGCTGCCAGGCAATTATCAAATATATGTCTCTGTAGTTAACAGATAGATTGCTTGTTTCTGTGTGTCTGTTCAGAAATCTTTCTCAGATTACATTAAAATGTGGTGAGAATGAAACAGTTGCACACAGGGTACAGCAGAGTATGTCACTGATGTTCTTACCACCTTTTGGGTTGTTCTGTGATCTATTACAGTGTAAAAATCCATGCTGAAATTGGATCTACTTGTTTCATATGATTAAAAAGCAAAATGTTGTTAATGGTGATCTCATCTTTGTGTCTGTCCTCCAACTGATCATAAGTAGGAATCAATCAAAATATGGGTTGTATTAAGCTTATCACATAAAACATAGTTGGTTAAAGATGTGAATGAAAGGAAACAAACTGCAATTACTCTCAGTGATGACTACTTTGATCATTTAATATATAACAATGTTTCTCTTTCTAGACATAGTCAGTGTTGCTCATGTTAAATTTGGTTCCTATCTAGCTTGATGTGTGAAGCTCAGTTGGAAAAGTGTATTAGTTTCTAAAGACCATTGTGGGTTTAGAAGGTTTTCAAGCCTGACCCTTTTGGGGTTTTACTTTTGCAGTTACTATAGTTATCACATTCTTTTCAGGAATTCATATTTAAGACTTCTTTCTCTTTTTTTTAGCTTCTTGTGTTGGACATGTTTTCGGATTGGATTCTCTCCATACCAGTTTTAGAGGGTAGTCCTGGTGGTGAGGTTCCTGAATTCAACTGTGGAATACATAGCATTGAAATAAGTCCTCCAAAAACATTATTAGCCACAAGTGGTCAAAATCCAAATCATCTAGCAGTCTACAGACTGCCAACATTTGATCCAGTCTGTGTCGGAGAGGTATGTATTTCTGACTATCTCTTTTCATTTTGGGCCAAAAAAACCAGACAGTCCTGAGCATGGAAAATAGGTGGGATCCAAGATATCCCTTTGTTGTATAGTAGTGACAATATGGTGAGTCAAGCTATGATATTTAGGTATTATTCACAGTTATCATAATGGATATTACCTCAACCTTTGGAATAATGATATTGTTACATTTTACTTATCTTCAAGGGACACACTGACTGGGTGTTTTCTGTGGAATGGATTGATGATTTTCATTTAGCAACAGGTAAATTTATGATGAATTTTGCATTAGAAAAATAGGACAAATATGGCTCATAATCAGATAACTCACATTTCTCATATATTTGGGCAGTAACAGTTTGGGTGGCTCTTAAATTTAAGAGAACAAGTAATTTCTGTAATTTTTTGTCTTTCTGAGCTGCCATCATTACATTTTATTTGTCAACATCACAGTCATAAGTGGAGCTTTCTGCTTACTTCAGAAGCCTAAGGAGAGTTTCCATGATTATAATATGAGCTGTTTCTTTAGGATCAAGAGATGGTAGCATTGCCTTGTGGTGTATTCAAGATCCCGCCAGTCAGTCAGGAGACAGAAGTCAGTTAAAACTGATTATCAAGCATCCTGCAAGCAAACTCCAAAGCACTTTACCCCATTTGTTTGGTAAAGACAAGATCAGGGATATTGTTTATGATAGAAACTCCCAGGTGATTTTGATTTGATAGGTATTGCAAAGTAAATAGAAGTAACAAAAATCGTAATTATAGTGAAAAGGCAAAAACTTGGTGTAGCTCCCTTCCAAAGGCTGTTCAGCACTTGTATCAAGTTTCAGAAAATAGAGAGGAGTCAAGTATTGCATTATGGGTTGCAAAAGCTGCTATTGTCAGTTTGAGGAAAAATATAATTGCAAATAGTTTGTGCAATCTTCGGAAGCCTAATGGTTATTACGCTGAACTTTAGATGTTGAGCTTTGAGCCCTTTGTAGATTAGTGTGGTGTCTCTTGGGTAGGACCACCAATTGATATTGCCTCTCTCTAACCAAAGATATACATGGGTAACGGTTTAGACGACTATACCATCCCTTGAGGAAAAGTGGGGTTACTGATACTAAGCTTAAGTAGTCTGAGATTCTTTAACCCTTTAAATCCCAAAGTCTGATTGCTAATTCTTTCCTCTAGCTGCTACACAATTCCTTTTGACTTAGTTACAAGAATTTGGTGTTAAATGAAGAGAACAACCTCTACCTGATAAGTTTGTGTATTCTCAATACCTGTTTTGTGGATGATGTATGGATATTGTAGGAAGAAGTTACATGTTAATCATTTCTGGAAATTTAAGGGTTAATCCTAAGCAATCAATAAAAGTCAATAATTCATTTGTCTTATTTTCTCAGACTCTTATTTCCTTATCTTCACGTGGCTATGTACATCTCTGGGACATGAACAACTGCCAAGTGGTGGGTCCTTTTTGAAATTATTGCACCAATTTATTTGATATGATTTCAGTTATTTTAGAGTGATGTTCTCAGTCAGAGTTCTAATGACTCCTTGTAATTGACCTTTGTCTGAGCAGGTATTGTCCATGCTATAATTTATGACATCTTCCTCTTTTTTGTTTTACTTAAGAGAAGTACTTACTCACTGAAGTATCCGATGGAAACAGTATGTCTTGCACTGGAGAGAGACAACAATTTGTTTGCAGTTGGTTCACAGTCACATGTTTCATTTTATGATCCAAGGTCTGGGACTGCTGTAGGATACATAGGATCACGTGACCCAGGAGCAGGTGAGTCGAGGAGGGGTGGGAAAGAAACCTTAAGTTTGTAAGGGGTTCTGGAAACCTGCCTTTCTTTCCAGGCTGCTTAATCAAGGCAATCGAGTCTCGAAGCACTGATCAATATTACTGCTTTGGCTTGCCTACTGCTTTGTTCTTTTGTTGTTTACCTTGCTCAAACACTGTGAGATTGAAAAAAAATTCTTTGATCATTACAAGTAGTTGATAAAAGCACAAATTTCTTTCATAGGTGTGCGTTCATTGAGTTTCCGAGATCTATTGCTGACTGTTGGTACCGGATGCGGGTCTCTATTTTTCTTCGATATGAGAGCTTATAAATTCCTCAGAAACGCAGAGAGCACAATGATTTGCTTTAAATCAGGAAAAGGCTGGCTGGTAAGAAAGTCGACAATGTTCTCTGTTGCAAGCATAAAATTAAAAGAGGCTTAAATTTATAGAAAACCGCTTCAAGTTGGGCACAGACACAAAAAAACAAACACATTGGGGTTGGTAGAGTTAGGAAACGAACAGACTGGTTGTGAGACTTAGTGAGCAGGCCGCGAAATCAGACGTAAGCGTCAGAAGTCGGACAGAAGCATCAGAAACGGGTCAAAACTGTTCGAAATCCGATGGAAGTGTCTGAGATCGGCCGTTTCCGTCCAATATTGGGCTAAAGTACGCTAATCGACACGGAATCGTCTGAAATTTGACGGGAGCATCTGAAGTCGGCAGGAACCGTGCGAACGGAAAAACGAATATGAGTGTGCAGAATCGGACTGAAGTGCCTCCAATCGAGCTTAAGAGTGCGAAATGGGCCAAAGTGTCCTTAGTTGATCGGAAACGTGGAGATTCTTCTTAACTAATTTTCTTTTGTTTGCTGTTTTTAGCGGGAAGAGTTTCAGGATCCATTGGATGATTATGTGTTGGAACATGCACTTGTCTGTCGGAGCAATGCTGTCTACACCCACTGTTATGATCCAACTGGTACTAAGCTCTTCGCGGCCGGAGGGCCACTTTCTCTCGTCTATTATGGTAACTACGCAGCTCTTTGGGAGTAGCATCAGGTACGACATTTCACCGAGTGATTCCCCTCTTGCCTTGTCAACGGGGTAATGTTACCGATCACCTGTGATGTACCTACACCCGGAAACGTTATGGACCTCTGTATCCATAGTGACCTGAGTTAACAAACAACGCGGTGCTACTTGGAGACTAAAACACTTCATGAACCCTCGAGCTTGCAATGACTGGAAAGGACTGTTAGCTGAAACATGCCAACCCTGACTTGACTCCTTAAATTCCTTGAATTTTAAAAGAAAATAATAATTTACAAATCAGGTAAATTATTAGGAAGAAGATCAAGTCTACAGTATAATACTTCCTCAAGACAATCGTGTGTTCGAAATTTCTCGTGTTATATTCAAAAATACTAAAGTGTATATATGAATGGGGATATCAAAGCTACAGGTTTCAACTGAGTGTTGAACGCGATCCCAGATTGTGAAGTACTGCTTACTTTTTCGCTCTGTGATTGGTCGAAGTTGCAGAATGCTGCAATCAGTTTGACAATTACATGAAAGTATGGCCTTATCGAAGACCCTCAATAAATGTATGTATTGTAAATAAAGGCCATTGGCCTGATTAGGGCAAGAGAAGGATGCCAAAAATCTGTAGAATAAATTTTGGGAAAAATGCTACTATGTGAGTGTAAATATTGGAATTAAAGGTAGAATGTTTCCGTTTGTCGTTGTCGTGACATCAAGTAAATAAACCCCTTCAGGCAGCTGGTATGTCGGCTGATAATATCTGCGGCTGAGATATTGTCCGGAAAATAAATATTTGGCCGAGAAGCAAATCTAAAATTTTGAGATCAGCTTTAAAATACCATTATCACTAGACTTATCAAAACGAGTTCGTATTTCTTCCATGTAATGCAATTAAGATGAAGAAGTAAAACTCTTGAGTCACTCCTGAAACTGTACTGCGCATCAGCTACAGACAAGGACGCACGTTTGCACCAAGATATTTGAATAATGACTGGATTCGATAAAAGGATGCGTGTACTCACAAAGAGCTTATGTCATCGCGTGATATTAACATTGATAGTCTGACTGAAATTTGTGCGAAAAATGTCGACGATTGTTGTCTTATACAGGTCCTGTTTGTCTTAAGGAGACGATGGATTTGCTAGCCGTGGGAGCTTCTGTGTTTGAACCAAAACTGTTGGAACGTTTGATCTGGCTGAATGTTCTGATTGGAGAAACCGTTCTAATCCTCAAGATGTTACTGCTCACTTAATCTTGAGGTAATGCTAAAGAAAATCCTGTTGTTACGACTTTCTTTTCGCTTTCCAAACTAGTACATGGCCTTAAATTTCCTAGTTTACTACCTCGTCAATTTCCCGACCAATTTTCGACACAGTAGGAATCAGGAAATAAGTGGGTATGTGTAAGCTGTTGACAAGATTACACCCTACAACCATCCTAACATTTCGTGGCCTATTAAATTTTGCCTTTTGGTATTTTCCTTTTAAAGCAAACTACTAAGTCATTCTCGTCGAGTAGATACAAATAAAAATACAATAAAATTTTCACCAGTTCCTTTGTGTTATCGGTGGAACTTTAATTTGGCTAGAATTAAAATCAGATGAAATCTTACAGAGTCCGCAAATTTCGGATTTTGATCAGCGGTCTCCAGATGCGCCAAACTCGCAAAGCATCCTAGTATCTTCCTCTCTCCTTCTCGTCGATTCAAGATGGTGGGTTGCTAAACTTTTGACAACAATCCAGAGTCATCGTTGTTGAATTTCCCTCTATCTTTTCGAATTAATAATTATTTTAAAGATGCGTAACCATTCTCCCTAACTGGTTGATTTTCTTAGCCATTGATACTCAGCACATGTGATTAAAGTTGTGTTGCATTTCACCAACCTTTTGATAGCACGAAGCCAAATAACTATTAAAGGAACATTATTTTCCTATGCTATGGCAAATTTAGGTGTCGTTGGTTAAAGTTAATTCATTATCTATGTTGATCAGGGTTATTTACTTGAAATTTTGACCTTGTCAAATCACAAATTTTTTAGCAAGATCATTTTCTCATTCGATTTACATCGTACGCCTTAAATGTGGCAGCACTCTCTTTGATGAAGGTTTACAGATTTTATGTATTCGCATGGCATTTGTTAAATTTCACTTAACGTGCAAGCATCGGAACTTTCTGGAAAGGTTCGGACTGAATGATATTTTTAGTAGCCGAAATTTTGTCGATGAGTTGTACCCGGTATTGACTCTAAACAAATGGCAGTTGGTGAAATCAAATCTGTGCATCAAATCCTAAGGAAGCTAAGGTTAAATTGTTGTTCGGCACCCAAGTAGTTTCTCTTGTTAATTCTAATTGTGATCAGTGGCAATTTCATTTACAGCTGTAGCATGCATAATTTTCATGGTAGTTTTGTGTCATTCCACGACATATTACAGTTTTGTGTTAACTACGAGTGTTGTCTCCCCCTTCAGGGCCGAGTAAGGACCAAGACTGTGAAAAAGGCCGCAAGGGTTATCATTGAGAAATATTATCCACGTCTGACTCTTGATTTCCACACCAACAAGCGCGTTTGTGATGACATTGCGATAATTCCAAGCAAGAAGCTTAAGAACAAAATTGCTGGGTAAGACTGTTTGCTATAGTGTGAAGTTTAAGAAGCATTCTGCAAGATGCATTCTACACTGCTGTGTGTCATGTTTTGAACTTACCAGAAAAATGTGCATCATTTCATAGGACTCAAATTATAGTGTTCCAATTGGTTGTATATATGAGGAACATTTTTTTCATTCACATTCCCAATTTGTTTTGTATGCAATTGTATTGACCAACACTGAGAAGAAACTCTCTCTGCCATTTTCTCAAAAAATTATTTTGATATGCATAGTAAATTTGTTGTAAGATTTATATATTTGTTTTTGGGGAGCGGGGTCTCGTGGTTATTGGAACTAGTAAATTTGATTCTTGCCTTCATAGCATTAATGTTGGTATAGTGTATCTGCTTTTTAAATTGTATCATACTCTCACTTTTGCACCTGCACCAGAAGTAAAAGTGACTGTTCTCTTTACTGGTGTGACTCTTTTGTATGTTATGGGACAGATTTGTTACCCATCTCATGAAGCGTATTCAGAAGGGTCCTGTTCGTGGTATTTCTATCAAACTGCAAGAGGAAGAACGTGAACGAAGGGACAATTATGTTCCTGAGGTGAGAGAAATTTGAAACTAACAGTCTGCATGTGGCTAATGATTAGACATACTCTTGAGAAAATTTAGAGGGTGGAGTTATAGAATGGACATTTTTCATGGTACAAGTTGAAATCAGCATCCAAATTTTCTTCTCTCACTGCATGTGTTTGCATCTTAGAAAGGAGTGTAGTCTTATTTTCCAAAGAACATGTATATTACATATGTTACATTTAATTGATAACAGAGGAAAAGAAGGCTTTTTCTTAAATGGGGGTATATTGGCAGGGTGGGCCAATTCTTGCGAGATGTGTTTGTTTGACTTAAAAATCATATTCATTCTTTAGAGTTATATTGGTGTTTTCTTTTGTGGTACTCAAGCTTTTTGCTTGGAAGGAATCTTGAGGCTTACTCAGTGATTTTTCACTTGTGTTAGGTGTCTGCTATTGAGCAAGATATCATTGAAGTTGACCCAGATACCAAAGAAATGTTAAAAGTATTGGTAAGTTCAACTTTAACACTAAGACTGCTCAAACAGTTCCATTATTATCACTTTGTTGGGCATTGTGGCACATTTTGCGAGCTAAAATGGAGATTGTGGCTGGTAAGAATGTATTTTAGCCCACTCAAGGCTGTGCTCTAAGGAAAATTTCAGGGAGCCCTTTGGGCTCCCAAGCGTTTTAGCTTGGGTGCCTAGGCCTAAAAGATGGTCGCCCAAATCAAAATTTCGGGGAGCCCTTCAGGCTCCCAAACATTTTAGCTGAGGTGCCCGGGCCTCCTAGTTGGTCGCCCAAATTAATAAATCAGTCAGTTAATTATTGAAAATTAAACAAACTGTTTTCGTAACGAGTCAAATAGAACTATGTGCATTTATTTATTGTTTTTATGTTCATGAAACATCGTATCCTTTGACCTCCTGAAAACCTATCGGTGAAATGTTCAAGACAAATGAGCTTTTTGTGGATTCGGTCGATTTTATTTTTAGTGCGTGATACGTAATAACTTGTCACGACACCAAGGACAATGCGGGACTTACAGAGTTTATACCCGTTTCTAAAACAATCACAAAAAAAAACGTATCTTTTCTTTTTTATACATCGTGTTTTACTGGAAAAACAATCTTAAGTTATGTTTTTGCCTCACAGACACGGCAGTAAAAAGCCGGCTAAAATATTAAATTAGCATAGAAGAGCGACTCCCGTGTTTATTCAGCGATTTATTAATCGCCGACCGTACTTTACGCCTATCAGAGCTGAAGTAACAACTTCTTTTGAAAAACTAGCTGATGAGCCATCCCAATTTAAAGGAAAAATTTTAATGCTATTGGAAAAGCCGTTAAAATCGAAAACTGTGCAGCTAGTCAAGTTGAAAGTCAAGGATTATGCTACATGTGAATTCACGTGGAACGACCTTTGAACATCAACGCGCGCCCAATGGAACAACATTTTCTTTTAAAAGAATGACTCCCGTGTTCATTTAGCGATTTATTAATTGTCGACCATACTTTATGCCTGTCAGAGCAGAAGTAACAATTGCTTTTCAAAAACTAACTAATGAGCCATCCTAATTTAAAGGAAAAATTATAATACTATTTGGAAAAGCGGTTAAAATCGAAAACTGTGCAGCTTGTCACGATCAAAGTCGATGATTATGTTACACGTAAATTCACGTGGAACGACCTTTGAATATCAACGCGCACCCGATTGAACAACATTTTCTTTTTTTTTTTTTGACTGTAAATCAAGAAACCAACACCAGCCAGTCGCCCGGCCGGGCGACCAAGAAAATATTTTCAGTCGCCCGAGGCCAAATGTTAGTCGCCTCAGGCGACCCGGCGCCGTTAGAGCACAGCCTTGCCACTTGTATGTTCATAAGATTGTTCAGACTGTTTTTTTTTTTCCTGTTCATATTCTCATTCATATTCTCTTGAAGTGATAATAATAGTAATACAGTCTATGTCCTCTGGCACAAATATGTTTGGGGCCCTTCTCAGAGATTGTTGTATCCCTCACCTAATGGCTTGGGCTGAAATTGTCACATCAGGCCCCAAACATGTTAATGCTTCTAAACATACTGTATTTACTCGTGTATAAGTCAACCCCCCATTTTCACTTTTTACAGTTTTGAGTCATTGTAAATAAGTTTCATTGATTATAGCCAGTATTGAGATTTGCATAGAAATTTCCCAAAAAGTTAATCTCTTATTTCTGAGAATGAATTGAAAAAACTAGAGGAAAATGTAACGGTGTGTTTTGAAGTTTATTAGCACTTGTTTATTTTCCAATGATTTAAGCATACATGAGGATTTTGATTTACTGGAGAAGTATTTTACCGTATTTTGTAAATCATATTGAAATGAACCTTCTTACATTCAACAAACCTTGATCTTAATGTTGAGATTGAAAGGAGATCTAGTAGACCAAAGGAACACCAAAGAGCTTTGAAGGATCACGTGTAACAAACAAGGTCGCGCAAGACAACAGCATTTGCTAGGTTACTAAGCAACTGAAATCATTCAATGAAAACTAAAGTTCAGTGCCATAAACAGCAGCAAAGCTGTAAGAGAAAATTTCTGCTCTACAGATCAAAAGACACAATAGAAATCAGCTCTGGTAGCTTTGTGTTTAATTCACATAAAATTTATTATTTCAAACTTTTTTGTCGACAAAGAATGTGCTGAAAACAGACAAAACTCGAACACAATTAGAACTGATTTTGTAAACTCTCTTTACCTAATGGACTTCAGGCAATTGTAATGCTAATTTCGTGGATTGCTTGGGTCAGGTCTTTGTGTACGACTTTTGTACAAGTCAAGGGTGATTTTTTGGGCTGATTTCTTGGTTGTAAAAGGTCGACTTATACACAAGTGAATATGGTAACTTACATTGTTTTATTAACCATCCTGCTGTTAAATAATTCTCTTCATTGATTAGGATAAAGCAAGTATTGAATGCTAAGATTTCTATGCTTCATTTTTCCAACTCATCAAGCTCAGACAGCTGATTCTCTTGACTGTGTTTGTATCCTTACAATACTAAACAGTCATCTTGGGTGTAATTTTTTTGTTGCCATTTCCTGTATGTTTGATTTGTGTCTTACCTTTGTGGAGAATTAAAGCATTGATCATTCTTTGAAGTGTGAAGGATTAGGTTTGACTCAAACTGCTTTATTTTAGTTGTTATGTTTCAAAAATACTTCTGTTTCATAATTCATACTAGTGCTTGATTGATCTTGGTTAGTTCATTCCTCTATGTTTAGTTTAGGAATTACTAGTTTTGCACTCCATGTGGGCAATGATAGTAATTTCTTTTAATAGAATATGCACTTTTTAATTTTAGGACTTTGGCAACATTTCTAATCTCCAAGTCACTCAGCCACTCAATGCTACACAGAGTTTCCGTCCTGGTGGAGGCAGCGGTGGCATGAGATCCTAAAGGGCCAAATTTTGCGCAGAAAAATAATAAACATGTACAAATAGTAGGCTTCTGTTTATTTTTTTTTTTTTTCAATATCTTGGTCATCCTTAACAACTTGAGCCATCAACCCCAAACCCCCCTCCCTCACTTTTCTTCTCCCCAAACAAGAACTACAATGGTTTTCTCTCCGAATGGAGACTAGAAAAATCTGAACGGGTTGTAGGAGGTGTTTAGCTTCTTCTAGGTTTTTGTAAGTCTTCTCTCAGAACTCTGAAAAGTCTTAAGTAACAGGAACCTGTCTTGGTGCAAATTTTTAGAGGCTTGTTCTTTGACAAGATCTTCCAAGCATTATATTTTTTCATTAAATCTTCTATATCATATTTTATCCCTCAAACTAAAACCCCAACATAAAAATATAGCCAGTGTACCACTACTGAAAATTGAAAGCCTATATTATTTGCCGTTTTGATTATCGTAGGCTCTTAAACCAAAGAAATTTCAACTTCTGGCATCTGGAAAAAAACTTGTTCTTGGTATTTCCTCTTGGTTTTTAGGAAGCATTGCATGTGTAAGCCATAAAAACTGAATGCCCCCAGGGGGCTTATTGAAGCGTCTGCGATAAAAACGTGACTTGCAATTAACTTCCTGTCGTCATTTCCGTTGTATTATCAGTGCCAGAATATAGGGAAGAGGCTTTTTCATCCTAAATTCTGATTGTTTTTATAAGTTATTGGCGAAGGTATTTCCTTGTGTCATTAAAAACCAAATTATCAATATTTAATGAAAAGACTACGTCTGCATGCCTCTGCATCCACGTATACAAAACCACTCGCTGAACGAGAGGAACTTCATTTTGTGCTCACAAGCCATGACATCTGTCAATCAAGACAGATTATAGGGAGTGTTCCGCTTGTGCGGTTCTTCTGTAATTTGAAACTTCTGTTTTGCGAGAATTAAAGGTTAATGAAGCAGCTGTGACTGTTGCCAAGCATGTCTTTCTGTTGACTGTTAATTCGAGCGGAGAGAGATTGTTTAGAAGAAAATGAGTAAACAAGTCGGAAATATGTGCAGAAAGCAAATTTAAATCGAAGCCATTTTGCTTAGTGTTTTGGGCTGTTTAGGGAACTCGTGATCCGTTAAACAATGATGGTAACTTCAAGGCGACCTCGCTACAACGAAACACGGCAATTTATGCAAGAAGTTCGCCATCCCAAGAAGTCTCATGGCTGTATGGAATTTCGCGAGATTACTCTGAAGGACCCAGTCGTAGATCCCGAGTGGATATTTCACCATCCACGCTTTAGAGCCGAAAAAGTCACACATAGCATGAAAGTCACTCCTAGCGACGGACTGATGGGCAGTAAGAAGATTTATAGACGCGTTCCTAGCGCGTGTGGAGAGGTACGTTCCAAACTTCTCTGTGAACGAAGGGAGGGAGAGGGAAACAAAACGTCTCGACACTTTTGCGAATTACTAGGCCCTAATCTGTGTAAGGAATGCTGGAAGGTTGTGCAAAGAATGGAAGCTTTTAAAGAACATCGTGACAGTTTTCCTAGCGAACTGAAAAGATCTGAAAAATTTAAGGACCCTTTTAGCCAAGTGATATCCTCGCATGATCGCAAACTCGAAGAAAATGACAGCGAAGAAGAGCTTTTCGATGAGACAGAGGACGAGGAATTTATTTCAACGACGATTTCCTCAAGAAAACGAAGCACGATAACTTCTCCAAACGACAGTGGCTATTCTAGCCGAATGAGTTATATTCTAAGCCTCAGTAGGACCCCCTCAGGCGACGTATGTCCTCGCGTGACTTCACGTTCCCGTTGTACACGCGGAGGGGCAAGGGTCCAAGACGACAAAAGGGAAATTTCTCCAAAAAACACCGAGGTGTTTACGACTCCTATTTGGAAAAACGCCTACTTAGCTAAACTTAGCGAAAGAGAACCATTCAGAGAAATTTTGACGAACACGCTTCACTTTCCCAGAAAGGTGAGACACGCTTGGCGACATTTACCGGTCGAGCCAGTCCTTATGGATTTGAAATTTATTAATTTTACCATATACGACGGCAGAAGACTCAACGGAAAAGAGGATACCGAAACTTCAAAGTAATTAAATCACAACAGTAAACCAAAGAAATTGTACAGGGAAATTCACAGAGAAACTGCATTATTATTGTTAGTATTTTTAGTATTATTATTATTATTATTATTGTTGTTGTTGTTGTTGTAAGACGACAGTGAGAATCGAAAAACAGCCAGCATAAATGGAACTGTAATATATGCTTGAGGAAAATCTCTATAGATATATAAATGGAAACAAAATTAATTAAGAAGTACAAATGAAATGTGACTAACTTCAGCTTATGTTATATTTTTGATTGAGTATGTTCAGAGTTCTCCGCTGAATGTTGTACATTGTTATGTATACGTGAAGTGAGATGCGCTCGCCCGAGGTTGTTGATAAGTTGTTCATTTTGTTACTTTCAGGTTAAACTTTTTTGCTTTCGGGTTTTGTGCCACTCTTTTTTAGCTACACTGGGAAAGGCCTAGGAGCCACAAATAATCACTTTCTATAGTTTTCTCTCTTTGTTCTGTTCTCATTTTTCGACTTTCATTTCCCCCAAAATAGTTTTTTTTTTCTTTTTTGTTAGCAACCCTATCTCATTCTTTTTTCTGTTTGATCCGTGGTCCCCAAATCCTAGTTTTAATCTTTTTACGCAGTCGGGCCCCTCCTTTTAGATGAGCACACGAGATAAATGGAAAAGACCTATTCATCCATAGGGACTCCAAAGTGGGGTAGAAGATTTGGAACACAAAGTAGAGAATTAAAACTTATAGTCAAAAACAAAACTGTCTAAGGTCTGTTACTTTTATTTGTACATGTGTACATACGCAATCCTTCATTATTAATTCAGTTATAAAAATATTCACATAGGATCGATGCATTCAGAGATATTCGGTATATATTAAAATAATAATAATAATGATGATAACGGTTAAAAACACTACAAAGTGCTTTGAACAAAATTAATTAACTTGGATATATGGACGAGTAAATTCCCATCTAAAATGTAAACGAATCTAATTACTATCATCGCGGTTACGAAGGTTGATCTCTTGGGTAATTCTTCTAAAGTACTACGTTAAACAATAAAAGATAAATGAAAACACACCGAATTCATAATATTTGAAACAGCACTCCGATGAGCGCAGAAAAATAAGTAAATTGACGCCACTGCTAAATATTTTGCGCAATAAAAAAACACTGACCAACTTAGAATACTCTACGTAGCAATACTATTATAGTGATAATCGTAAAGATAATAACACGCATTCAAACTCCTAGGAGCTAATAGCAGAATGAGTCCAGAGTAACCCTGTATAAGTAAATTAAGTTTATTTTTTAAATGTACACCCTTCTCCAAATACATTGTGCGTAGTTCCGATGAAAAAGCTCGAAAGATACACTGTCGAGGGTGTTATTACTGCTCATTTAAATTGACCAAAAAGCGTAAAAATGAATGAAAAAAGAGTTTACGATAGAAATGCCATAGAAAACTGCGGTGGATCAGCATTTGTTAAGAGGGGAGAGCAACAAAGATTTTTTTCTTGGTTTTAAAACTGGTCTAACAGCAGTAACACCCTCGACGTAGTAACTAGAAATTATTTTACAGCAAAGTGATGTCTTTTTCGCTCCAAAATTATGGTAACAACAGTATAGTTTCACGAATAGAATTTAGGTATAACCAGCTTATGTCCAGGCGAGGAAAATATTATAACCGCAAGTCAAGTATTTACAGTGGGTGCATGTATTCCTTAAAGATAGCCGTTAGGTCTCTGAAGGAGCCCTATTTAAAGATACGACAGGGCAAATGATTTACAATTAAGTTTAAACATTAAAATTATAGTATATTCAGTAAGAGGAATTCTCCTCAACATTTCATATCAAAGTACAAAAAAGTCAAAATATGACAAACATTTTTCCGATTTATTTGAAATCATATTCCAGGTTTATGTAATTCACTCGCAGAAAAAAATAATCTGAACCAGATATCACAATCCAACGTTTTGTCTCAAAACACTCAAACTTGTTTGTTCTTGCTGCTTATTCGCAAGACAACGATAAAAATGCCACATTGTACGTAAAATTTAACCCAATTCTCGTTTAGGGGTGAATTTGCGGAACAAGTTAACATTTCAAAAGAACTAAGGGTACGGAGAAGATAAATATACAATGCGCCACATTTCGGCGAAAAATAATAAATTGAAAAGTAACTGAATTTTAGAATAATACTTGTCTTGCGTGCAGTATCATAAACTGATGATATTGAGAGGCTAATAGGACTCACGATTTCCCATTCTAATTACACTGACTTAAAAAGAAGTAGACGAGTGTTAACGGTCCTAATCATTGTAGAATATGTAGCTTAACAACTCAATAAGGGGGTAGGGTAAAATGACTACCCACGTCTAGTGACGCCAAGCGGACGTGGTCACTTGAAATACTCTTTTTCTACTCACTACTTACTAACACGCATTAAACACACACAGCAGCTCCTTGCTACCATGTTATGGCTTTTATGATTTCATTAAGATGTAGCTTCTGCCAATTGAATTTGGCATGATGTAAATAAGACATGGTCAAGCTTTCACACCATTTACATGTCTTACGCCGACGCATGTTTTACCACGCGTAACTCAAGTTGCAGTCGCACTGTAATTTAATTTTTATAAAAGTCAGTTTAAAACCGCTCTAAATCCTACACTAATGTCTGCATATTTTAAGAGTAGAAACACCATACTTAAGTTAGTAGTCTTCGTTACTTCTCGGCGAGTCCGGTCGATTTTGCCGAGCAAACAAAACCCCTTGGTAGACCACGCCATTGAGCTCTACGGACACCAGCAATGAGTTGTCGCTCACTTGATCCAGAAGAGTAAGCGGTAAGTGCCTCGGCTCGCGACCGCGTGATGATCGTTCGGGATCAGGGAACTGGAACTGGCCGCCTTGTGACATACCTGAACAAAGAAAAGAGAAATTTTAGGTCGCACAAGTTTTGACCGATTTAGTAGTCTACCACTCCTTGTCACTTTTACGCTACACTATGCCAGGTATGTTCCGGTCTCTTCAAAAAAATATACACAACGTACAATGTTCTGAATATGAATGGAAAAGAACATTCATAACCACAAGGCTGAGCCTAAAATTTGAATAATTACGATGTGCAATACCCTCTTCTGCCTTGAGGACGGCAAAAGCTCTGGGTTATTTCAAAACTTACACTTAAGTATAAGAAGAACAGGAGTGGAAAATGAAATCCAGACGGTAAAAAAGGATTTAGTACCTTTGGGTTGAGTTTGTATTTTAATGTGTGTCCAGGGAAGCTGAGTCGGAGTCGGTTTATTGCTTCGTTCATTAACAGCAGCAAATTTCTTGACTGGTGAACCGCATGGCGATGCATCGGATGGTGACGAGGAAACCCCTCGTGACGTTACCTCCGTCACGCTTGACGAACGCTTAGGACTGTATTGAACAACGCCCGGAGAGTGAAGCATAGCAACGCCATTGTTACCATGGACTGATGGAGGTACATGCACCTTTAGAGGAAGAAGATTTTCATATTTCAGGACGGCACCTTTTATGTACAATTTTTCGAACAAGCTTTGGTTAAATTAAACAAAACAAAAGGTAAAAAATTCCCTTTCAAGACTCAACTCTAAATACTAACGTAAGTTTGTTTTACAAGCACCACAACATGGTTCCTTTTGTAACTTTCACTGTGGAAATATGTTAGGAGACTATTGCTTATCATTAGATGGCGTGAAGTTCATTCATGTGTCTGTTCCAATCACAAATACAAACATTACCTACAATTTTTTTACATGCACACCTCGAAATAATCAACAACTGTTTATAAAAGCTAACAGAATTATTTTCAGTTATTATCATTCTTATGTTTTTCACCAGAAATCAAGTCTGCCCTTATGTTATTGGTTATAAACCATAAACTGAATTTGAACGGATAACTCACGTCATGGTTGGAAGCTGAAGGGCCTGGACTAGACCTGTGAGGAAGTCCTGGAGAGGTGTTGCTAGGCGTGAAGGCAGGTGGTGTTGTTGTAGGGCTTGGACTATTGTATGGATGTGAGCCGTCTGATGGTACGGCTTGTGACAGAAACGAGCCAAATGATCTTCGGCTATCACGACGGTTTCCGTCAATCGCTGCTTGAAGTTCGGCTGGTGAGGATAGCTTCTTCTTCGAGCATTCATATGGATATAGATATTTCATGTATCTATAATAAAAAGTCTTAATTAATAAATAATATTCAGTAGTTGCATCCAAGACTCTATCAAAATTTCTCCAAGAGGAGAGAGAGAGTAAAATGCAAAAACTTTAAAATAATATCATATGTACCGGTTTATGTAGATAACACTTTTTCAATGATTCAAAATAACATAAATAAATAAAAAGGTAATATTTGAGGAACTTTACTCACTGTGTTCGAAGCGTAAAAGCTGCACTCGTAACTGATGCTGGCAGACTAAGTCCTTTGATAATCTCACGCCAGATTTTCTTGTTTATAACCTAAAAAGAAGAATAAGCAACACCGAATTCGACGATGAATCATAGACCACCACATAGAAAACACGAAAGCATAAAGTATTAAATACTGAAACGAAAATTTCCAGCATCACTTACCTCGACAAGCCCTCCCTTTTCCACGACAAGTTTGAACAGTTTGAATAAATCTAATGTTTGTTTAGCCATTATGGGAACTCTGTTTACTGGAGTACCTATTTAAAAAACAAAAGCGTGTCAATTGAATCAAAAGAATATTACCCTGTTACAAGTAAAAGGTTACCTACTGAATGCTTTTCGCCGGTAACCACAAAAAAGCGGGAAATTTGCGAAACTACGTGACTTCACAGCGAGGAATTAACCAATCATAGGGTTCGAATCCAGACGCAGGCGACAAAAAGAGGCAGTAAAATTTGCTGTATAATCTCACTATTTAGAAAAGAATGCATTCTCTTCGTGTGGATCTGACTGAATGGATCTTTTTTTTTTTTTAAGCCATTAAGTAGCAGTGTTAAAGAAGAAAAAAACATTCAAACATTTTGTGATCTTTTTACGTGACTCCGGGCTGTAACAAGATAGCAAGGTAGGTTGACATCTTCATCATTTAATGCTTAGTAACAAAATCCTGCTCCCCTGAGTGATACTTTTAAGTTCACTAATTCAAAAATAAGTTTGTGGATAGATCAAATTTTTAAGTAGTCGGTAGTTCGTTGGTTAGAAATGCCTCCCTCTTAATACAAAATTGTGAGCATTTAATAAGCTCGCGTAAACTTCTAGAGAGATAAAATAAATCTTAAAAGTTAAGGAAGAATTCCTGCAACTATTTACAAACTAAAAAAAATGGATGAGTTTCCTAGCATCGTCTGACCACTAGGTAGGACGTTTCAGACTATCTTACCTCTTTTCTGCATAAACGTAAACAAATCGTCCAAAAATTCTTTCCTTTCTGGCTCAGTTCCCAACTCGTACAGCTTAAAAATAGAAAAAAACAAAACAAAACGAACGATAAGATAAATGAATAAAGGGGGTAAGTTTCTAACGAAATTGTGGTGCTGCGTCGATGAGGGAGTATAACAAGATGATTTGGTTTTAGCGTTCGAAACGTCAACTAAGAAACTCTTTATGGTGGCCACTTTACATCATCAAGTCGGTTGATAAAACGAAACCAACGATGTGATAAGCTAAGCCAGAACATTTCGTTATCCATGAGTCGGTCAGAAGTATGCCACAAGTATAATAATTTAACAATCCTCATGATATAACAAAAGTATTATGCACTTACGACTGGCACTTTTATTTTCAAATCTAAAGTATATAGGAAAACTTGATTGGTACTGACACTACATGTTTGCCAACATTAAGATTTCTACCCTGCTTTGCATTTGTTTTATGATTTTCCCTAGTAAGATACATGCTATGTTGATTGTAAGATCTTGGTATAACCTAAGTTTTGTATCACGTTTTACAGCTCTAAATTGGGCAAAAATAAACTTCAGCAAATTTGTTGGCATTCCTTAACTCTAGAACAGTATATGACAAGGATTCCATGGTATATAAGTCTTACATACAACAGGTGATACAGGTGCTCAGATTTATAAGACTATATTTAAATTTTTAAACTGTATTCCGAGAATTACTTTGTCTAATTTTGCTCACCAAAGACAAAAAATTAAATCAAAACAGCCCTTATTCCTAACTTTGTGCCATCTTTATTTTTGTCAATTGGAAAATTTATTCTTCTTGCTTTTTTTTGTTTCTTACAATGAAGAGAAAACAACCACAACTTATTAAATATTACAAAGCTTCATTTCTCATACCTAGCATACATGATACTGACCCCAGCATTTTTGAATTTTGATATCAAATCATTAAATATAATAACAAGAAGGTATTGCTTAGATACTGTGACATACAGTTGTCATATCAGGAATGTTTATAGCAATCACCATAAGTACAGATAGATGACAACAAGAGTGGGCCATCAGATACTGTTGCAAAATAGAAAATCTCTACAGACTTTATGTTAGATAAAGCATTGTCCTTTTAACTTTCAGGTCACAGCAGGAGCTCAGGGTAGAAAAAATACATCAACTTTGAAAGAGGTCTGTTCCAATTAAGCTAACAGGTGATATTTGGTTACTGATAAGCACTTCACATCAAAAATGTGGCTTGTCTTGCCTATATTGAATGCTTACAGCATTAAGCATGGGAAATCAGAACAGTTGCATTTATGTTCATTTTGAAGGGTAATGTTATTCAAGGTTCCTTATCATTTATTTGGTAATGAGCTGACAATCTCATATTCAAAAATGGTAAAATGAGGAATATAGAGTTACATCCATATCCATATCTGAGGCATATCACCTTTAAAAGTGCATCTAACTTATGATACAGATAAAGAGATAAAAATATCTCTTGAGTACATAGAAAACATCTAACTTCCACACGCAATGTAGGTTTCTGGTATGATCTCTGTTCAAGTATTCTGTCCAATTTTAAGCCCCATTTTTTAATAACTTCACACAGTGTCACACTATACTAAAAAGACAAAGGTCCTATGTTTATATTTAGCTCTAGTGACTGGCTGAATTTAATCCTTTACTTTAGCAGACAATAAGCCCTGAGTTTCACTTTTCAACTCTGCTTTTTTTGTAATATTCTGATATTTACCCCACCAGCAACTGTTTTATATAATGTCATATTTCATCTGAATGATTATCTATCACTATTTGAGTGAAGTGCCAACAAACCAGCCAGAGTAGCCATAATGCAAGTGTATTTGCATCACATTTTCAAAATAAGAGTGTTCCTTTTGAAAAAATTTACTAGAAATATATCAAACAATGGTTATGTTCCAAATGGAGATGTCAGTAACCCTTGTCAAGTTTGTTAAGAGTTATAATGTGCTTGGCGCCAGCATTTTTTTTTTTTTGGTGTTCTGGTGCACTCAATTGGAATATGATGTTCCATACCTAAATTGGAATTCTCAGACAATCAAATTGGATTTTTTTCAAGTGGTAGTAATCCTTAATTAACTTGCTCAAGTGCTTACACTGATTTGATCTGTTTTACGGAATTTTACCAGCAGCAAAAAATAATGATTTGCACTCAAATTTGTACAATGTTTTCTTTTCAATTGACTAAAACTACAGATCTTCTCTAGGGGCTCAAAACTTGACCAATCACTTTCAATCAATCATGGTCAGCCAGCAATCATTTTCATAAGAAAAACTTCAATGTCATCTTTTGTTGATAAATTCTTGGAATTACAAAACTGTTAACCACAGTCATGTCAAAAATGAAAAATTCCAAATATTTTTTTTTTTATTTCATCAATGCAAGAAACCTTTCAACTGAGTTGCTCAATGAGCCTAGTGTGTGACAGTCTTAAGAAATTCTTACTAACTAATGAAATGCTCCAAAGTTAAAACTTTATCAAAATAAAATTAACGAAATAAGCTGTTAAATGCTATCTTTTGGTTGGCCAGCATAATTATCAAGCTGGAAATACACATGGCCCTAGACAAACCAAAAAGACAGGAACTTAAGTCCTTGAAACTGATTTAAGTCTGAAGCAAGTTTTTGGACAAAAAATTAAAACAAACAAATAATTAATATATTTCACTGATGTTTGTGCTATTCAGGCTTGCAGATTATGTTTCCTATGCAGAAGATTAATTTCATTGTGTATGATCAAGTGTCAAATGGTGACACTGATATGTGCATCTTTAAAAAAAAGTGTGCACTAAGCTCGGCAACTTTTCAGTTTCCTTTTTTCATTGCAATTTAAGTTTACTGACATTGTGTATTGTTGTGCCCCTCTACTGACTGCCTTTCACAAGGGCTATCAAGTGAATAAGTGACTTGCACTATGGTGCCTTCTGGCTGAAAATCTACAAAAACATTCCATTCAAGTATATTAATGCTACAAATGTACTTCCAGTCAGTCCTATACCTGTATGAGAAAAAGACAAGCTTTATCTTTATAATCAGTCACACCATTGAGCACGCTAATGGGCCTTGATAGACACAGACAGGTGTGATCAGAATTAATGGTCAGTTGCACACAGACATCAACTTGCATCATATAGCTAATCAGCAGATTAGTGGTAAAATAAGCTTTACAAATTCATTTAACAAAATTAAAACTTCCCAAAAATGCTGAAAGTCCAATACAATAATGACATTAGTGGACACAGAATACATTTTTTCCCTGACTTAATCTGGCCTTTTAATTTCTTTGCCATACTAGTCTATATCTGTATTGTGACCTTTTGACTGTTGTAAATCACTCCAAGCAAGATTATTATCAGTTTCACCACAGACTCAGCGGAAAACTACTCTTAAGTACTTTGAAGTAGGTTGTAAATTCAACAAGTCACAAGCGGCTCTTTTGAAATTGTAGCCAAGAAGCTGTGCTGATATTTGTAACTATGCTACCTATCAGGATATGTGAGTGTGCTCATAACTTAGTGCTAATTTGAACTATTTGGCTAGCTGTCAACAATAACAACCACAAAGATCAACTTAGGAGAATCAAACCATAAAAAAATTAAAGGAACACTTAATATAAAACTATCAGGGAATGAACATTCTTTTACTTCTTTAAGTTCCAATCTTATTCAGTGGAATCAAAGCAGATGTGAACTGTACACATATTTGCAAACTGATATTGACAACTCACTTTACAAAGAAGTTAGGAACACCCTTATACACTTGTCTTGATGTTTGAAAGTTGGCCGATCTGAAGGACTGTATCAATGGTGCTAGGCTGAGCTAGAACTTAGAGGGATCCTAAAATTTATTCATGAAGATGTGATTTCCCTTATCATTCTCATTTGCTGTACGCTCTTGTATTACTAAGTTGATAACTTTGTAAAGAAAATGCTCATCTCTATTCCGTAAAACCAACCTTGAAAAATTATAACAAACAAGGTATTTCACAAATAACTGCAGCCAAATGAACCGATTAAAATGAAAAAAGAATTTAATATGCAGAAAGCAGAGCCATGCCGGCAACAATACTTAAATCAGATTCTTCCGGTTCTTTGCATTCTCAACATGATCAATATTGATTTACTACCTGAGCTTATTATAAAATCATTCACTCCTTCTTTCAGATTACAAGCAGTTCATTCTAATGTACTTGAACTGACTACTCATTATTTAACATACAACTAATATATGCATTTGTGTTACAAAAACATATCACCTTTCTACACTCTCTCAAAAACTAATTTTTACGGGAATTTTGCATTTTTGAACTTGGATGAAAAGGCATGTTTAACCTAAGCACCACTTAGTTTGTTTTCATCACTAACAAGTTGGACTGCAAAAGCAATATTGCAGCCATCTGATCATAACAAAACTAAATCATAATGTCTCCTTACTGCTTCAACCATACTTCTTATCTTACCCAATGGTAATGTTCACAACTGTTTTTTATCAACTTTGCACAAGTGCTGGAATTAAGAGTTTTTTAAGGGTTTTTTTTTCACAGATATCATTCTGTAAAGGTTCTTCATCTAAAAACCAAGAATTTTTGAAGTCTTCAATAAATTAACTATGCAAGATCAATGAAACATACACAAATCATAGCTCTCGAAAATGTAGTTTGATTAAGGTAACATGTGTTCCTTGCATAATATCTAAATATCCGGTGACTTGGTTAATGAAGCTTTGATAAATGGTGCAAAAATTGGTAACAAGTAAACCCAAAAAAGCAACTCATTTTAAGAAATCACGAAACACATACAGCAGTTAAATTCAATTGTGTGATACGCTAGAGATGATACATTGCACTTAACAGTTCTGGGGATCGACGCTAACAAAAGTTTCCCATAGAAATAATGTTTCTGCCTAAAAACTGTTTTTGAGAGGGATTCAAAGATGTAACTGTACGTTTTTGAAGTGAAATCAAGAACTGCTTAAAGATTAATCACCAGAAATGGTGGGACTCCATTTTTTTTCTTGCCAGCTATAAAATAATGTAACGGCGTTGGGCTATTGGAAGCACAGCAACAATAAGCTATAGCCTCTATTTGAAAGATATGCCTGTTGATTTTATCAAAGAAGAACCACAAAGAATATGTTAGAAATACTTAAGAAGATTAAAAGCTTTATTAAAGATGACTTGAAGATTATGTTGAAATAAAAGTAATGCATTCATGAACACAAGCACCTCAAATTTCACTGGATAGATGTCAAATTGCAATCAATGAACACAGAAAAACAGCAGGCATATTACCTCCAGGAAAGTTGTTACTCTCCATGTAGTATTGAGAGTTTTAATTACAGTGTCAAATTGAAGCTGGGGCTTGTTTGTACATGAAAAGAAACAGGATGTTGTATCTGACAATAATTTACAATATCTATTAAAATGAAGGTAAATATCCTTGCCTATTCAGTAAGCCCACATTTAATAACTGCCAGTATTTTTTCCGCCAAGACAGCTATGACTTATCCATCTGCTATAGATTTCTCATGTCAAATAGACTTCGTAAAGGTTATAGATGATTTCTAAAGCGGTGACATACCACACAATATCCAAAGTTTGGTGGCCAATCAGTATTTGCCAAAAAATACAGCGAGACTAAAAATGACAAGCTGTATGAGTGACAGGTGGCAGGTCAACCTGCCACCTAAAAAGAGCTGTAATCCAACTTCCCAATTGCCAAGGACCTATATTAACTCTGGCTTATTATTAAATATTAATTGAAGGCAGTATTGTTGTGTAGCTTACATGTATCTTTGTAGGCTACAGATAATAACAAGTTAGAGCATAATCAAAGGTAAAAGTCAAGGAAAAAGGTATTCACCTCTCAGGGACAAGTAACTAAGAGCATATCTACTATTTAATAAAACCGAATTCAATATTCCCCTGGCTTCAATTTCTCATGACAAACACAATATTTCATTTCGCCCAGGTGATAAGCCAGGTATGCAAATTTGTATCATAGGTTAATTAAAACTACACATTCTATGACCCACTAATTCAATAAAGCCGATATTCGCGCGTCAAACTCCCAAATCACCGTTTTATCAAGGCCAGTATCATAACTTCTACACACCCTTATAATCCTACATTTCATTTAAGTCTTGTTATTATGTTGTTCGAGAATACGGCAAAGATCGCGCCTGGAGCGGCCGCCGAAGCTACAGAATTAAAGACGCTCGTTGTCAATATGTCACAAAGAAACAAAATAGTGGTGTCAAACACGCCGGCAAAATATGCACCGCTACCCATACCTCACTTTCTATTAAAGAACGATTTAGAAAGAGAGATTAGCGTCCGTCGACAAAGACGCTAAATATCTAGGGTTAAATGGTGCTCGCGGAGACATTGAACGCTGGAATTCACTTGAATATAACATGGGAATGAATAAATCGATTAAAGCCGCGAAAGCTGGATTTGTTTGGAACAATAATTATTAATATTCGCTTGAGATGTGTCAATTTTTTACGAAGCAAAGTTGATTAATGACGGTCCTCAAGATGTAAAACCAAAAAATGTTTGCGGCTTAGATTTCTGCTCGAGAACATCAAACAGTTAAGGGGGTTAAGGTGAAACATGCAGCACTTACTTGCTTGAACTGTTCCTCAAAGGTCCATTCGTGAGTAGGAATTCTGTCTACCCCGCTGACAGTGTTGTTGATGTAAGTTTCCACCGGGGAAGGGGGCTGTTGATTCTGCACGCGAGCTCCTTGTTGATATGATGCGGCTTCGCGCCCACTAGAGACACTATCAGAGTCCGTATCGTAATGTTCTCTCGATTTAAACCTCTCCTCTTCATAGCTTTCCTCCTCTGTTTCCTCCACTTCCATTGACCGTTGAATATCATCAAGTTCCGCCATCCGGCTTTCCACGGAACCGCTCGACAACGACGAGCGATGATGCTTGAAAGTGTGCGGCGACGATGATTCCCGCTTGATGTCACGGTCCGTCCGCAGTCCATCTCGATCGGCGGAGGACTGCAAAAGCATTTTACAACTTTACAAACACAGGAAGAGATGAATGAAAGAAACGCGACCTCAGGCTACGAGATCATAAACACTTTCCATTTTAATTAATCAATAGATTAGCTATCAAATGAAAATGCAAATCAGGGGACGACAAAACACGGACTTACAACGCTACGCTGCTGTTGTGGTTCAGTTGACCCCTTTTCCATGGCTCCAACGTTCCGCTCTACAGAAGTTTAATTTTAATAATCACGGGGGTTTCATAAAAAGCCTATTTCCTGGAAGTGATCCGTATTGGCCGACAAAATTTGCGAAGACATAACTCGACCAGTTGGAGTTCAAACATCGAATGACACATCTTTGATGGGGCATTCCATTGAAATCAACAATTATGACATGCGCAATGTCCGCCAAGCAGATTCGATTTCTCACTGTAATTAATTATCACCAATTAAGTTAGACCACGTGACCATAAACTCGGCGCGCCAGTGGAATTAATCATTGTATTTATTAATGTTTTTTGGAGATTACAATTAATTCTTTCCCGAACTAATAAAGGATCGTCTTTCAATCAACCATCGTCGAGCATTTCTATTTGTTATGCATTCAAAAATTGTCAACAAACGAAATTGAAAAGGTTTGTCTCCCCTGGATCTCGGTTTATTTTGTCCTAAAATCGAAAAATTGTTGTTGTTCTTTCCGTATTATTAATTTTCAGCTTCTCAGCCTTTATAAAATAAAAAAATTAATCATCTTTGTTTTTGCGATATGGGTGGCTCTACGAATACGCACTCGTCTCTATTCGAACATCGCCACCGATCCACTGATCACAAATTTCAAAATAAAATCGAAACTTAATTTTTTTCTTTCGTTGAAATTTACGAAGTTCGATTAATTCAAAAAGCGTAACTGTGTTTTCTTTTTCTGTCCTCAAACAAGAATAGAATTATTGAAAGCAGCTGCGAATTATAAATGCAAGAGCTTGGCGATAATTAATCAAGTAATATCTCTCTATCCTTATCTTTGACTGTTTTCGCGCGCTAATAATAATGAAAGCTTCCACCCGTGCGATAAGAAAACTTCTTTCCTATTAATACTTGTTACGCCAGAATGCTCCAATTAGAATACAAAGCTAGGCCTTGTATCTATTTTGGTGAAACGATCTTTTATTTGTCTTGTTTTTTCCTGTCAGATAAACAGCGACAAAATTGTTAATCTCTTGGCTATGAAGATTAGTCAAGCTCTCTTCAATGCTCGAATCTATATACCCTTTAAATATGTCAATATGCTAACAAAAGGTCGTCTTCGAAAGGGATTTGACAAATTGTACGTTACATTGCAATCGGCGAATTTATTGTTACCAGGGAAATGTACATATTAAATGCAACAACTTTGAAAAATAAAAAAAGTATGATATTCTTTTGTAAACATCGGAAGCACTTATGTTTGTCAGCCTGTGACTGATATTAAAAAAGCCACGGGGAAAGGAAATACCAAATATTAGGGTGTATTTTAGCTCAAGTTGTGTCCAATCAAATTAATAACTTTCTATGGCATCCTCTGCGGCCTGAAATCCATATAAGATACATTTCAATTTACGCCGTCAAAACAATTTAGTTTGATGAGCTCCTTACTGACGCAGCTTGGATAAGCAAACTTAATAGCCATGACCAACATTTTCCTAATGATCACAGCTTTTTATTAATCACGACCAGTTTGCCTTAATTCTTAATTTTTTTCTTCATAATATTTGTAACAGTCTCAGAATTAAACCGTGAGAAAATAATTTGACATGAACGCGAGCGCACATTTCTCGTTAGATCTCAGTGGAGGTCATTCAAAATGATAACATATGGACCAGCATTTCTATTCTCTTCAAGTTAAAACTTCCTAGGAAAAATTTTACATCGAAGCCAATTCCATCGGTTGCCTCCATGATCCACCACTGTGTTAGTTCATATCGCACATGACAAAGAGGGATTCCGAGGTATAAAATGGCACAATTTGACATCTCTAATCGCCATACAATACTAACACGGTGTGTGCATTCAATAGTGTTTACATAAGCGGCAGTGGAATAAAATTGCGGCTCTCACTCCCTCGGTCAAACTCACCGTTGAATCCGGGCCTTTACGCACAAGTTTGGAGTGATGCATCCTTCCGCGATAAGTTGACAAAATTCCAATGTAACTCTCGGCCGTTGAAAATTTCGGGCAACTGAAGTCATCTTTAGAGCCGAACATCTCGGTCATAATTTGATGACTAGAAAGAAAGATCAAAATTAATTTGTCAAGCGGTACATGCGCGCGGCTTTATATAGATATAAATTTTTTTATATCAGTTCTCGCCGCAAATTAAAAACAGGCCAGGTGTGGCATTATTTACAAAAGGACTGAGAAATATATTTAAATCAAATCGGCCCATTACCTGTTACGCTAGTTTGACTTAGAAAAAGCCGGGCCGGGGAACTTGATCAGTTGTATTGTACTCATCAGTGTGCCAATGGCGAAACGCCATGTGCACAAAGCATGGCCTTTCAAAGGTGTTAAATACATTGATTGTAGCCTGTGGGTTACGGGATAAAATGCCGTATCTTGTCAGTATTGTTATCTATAAAATAATGAATTTATTTTATTCACGGAATGGATGGTTTTATAACTAAATATGTCCCCGTCTTGATGACAAACACGCGCACGAAGCTGAAAACCTCTCGAAAACAGTAGGGGAAAAAAATAAAACGGAACGAAAACGAATAACAGATAGGACATGTTCTTTGCACAAAAGATATGATATTGGCAGGCGTAGATAATCCGATTTCCTCTGGTAAAAATAACATCGTGACGTCATCTGTTTCGCGCGAAAATTAATAAAGCCTATATTCCTTTTAGATTCTCGCCATTTGCTAATGAATTCGTAATAAGTGAACCTGCTTGAAAGAACCATTTAATTCGACAAATGAGAACCAGCGGGTTAATATTCAGATAAATGGAAAATCATAGCCGAGTTATTTGACATGTTCTGCTTGCTAATGGTCTTGAACGCTTGTACAGGATGTCATTTGTCCCCGTTTGAAGAAACTAGAGTCATTGAATGCTTTTAGAGGCAATGGAAAAATTAGCAGATTAGCAATCTGAGCCATCTAAACATTAAGAAACACAACTGGAGTTTAAATAGAAATACCGCGAAACTAAATGCTATCGATAGTACCACCCCGTGATAAAAGACATTTGATTTTTGGTTGGTATCGGCCAGGCTCAACGCAGCTACTGACAGGCGGCGAGTCTTTCACCAGAAGTGCGGAGGAGATCAACACTATAGGGTCAAGCTGATGTAAAACATTTCATTTATACTTACCCGCTGGGCAAAAAATGTATTGAGAGTTTAGACTTCTACACCAGAGCTAAGCTCATGGCTTTTTTAGGATTAATGTCAGTTTACTCTTTCTGTCATGAGTAAAGTTATTAATTAATTGTACTTTTTTCGGCAGCCATGAATAACCTAGTATATAATTAAGCCCTACCTACAGATGCTGTTGCTAACGTCCTTGAAGAACGCGCGCTATACGACTTACGGTGGTATTTACACTGTATTTAAGTTTCTGTTAATGGTTATTTTTTTCTATTACCTGAAATCTAATGGCAAAGTTCTTATCCACGACCGTGTACCGCATAAATCCAAAGCAGTCGAAATCAGAACTGAAACTGGTGCAGGTCTTCTCAAGCGCGCGCGCACAACAGCGGTCAGAGCAGATCGATTGCAAAGTGTGGTATTGAACAAGTGGTCTTTTTATGGCACGTGGGTGTAAGTGAATAGGCAAAATAATCTCTACGGACAGGTTTCCGCGCAAGGCCCGTATGAGTCGCGTTCTTTTCAAAAAGGCACCAGCCGTAATAGATATCTACACCTGTTATGCCATTAGATATCCTGCATTATTAATCAAGATGAAGACAAAATAGCAAAGAAACAAAAAGGCAGTTTTCCAGTCATAATAAGGGTCCTTTTTCACACTCAACTCGGTTTGTTGTATTTTAACGTTTTCCTTGATAATACGAACGAGCGATGAAAACATCATTTGCAGACCATCATAAGAGATATCTTGTTCGAGTTTCCCACAAATCAACCTGACAATTTTAACTCTAATACAGTGAATTTTTAGGTTGCATGCACCATAGAAAAATCATTCAAATTTATCAATATAAAACTTCTTTTGTTGTGTGTTATGTCGACAGCAGGTTGATAAGAGCAGCAGTTAAGCCTTAGTACCTCCTGAAAGCTGTTTTGAAAATAGGAGATTAAACTGAAAGAATCTCAAGAATATTTTTTAAATTCTTGACAATCTGCCTGAATATTTTGTCAGCTTACTAACCATGAAAAGCTTGACAACAACATAATGTCTGAAAATGATTGAGTACTGATATAAATTCGGTGCTAATCCTTGATTTCACTTGCACATTATTAATCTTAATTGGGAGAAATTTTCTAAAAGTCTGCTTGAAAAAAAAACGAGAGAATTTTTTTTCTGTAAGGACTAATAATAAAGTGTACAATTATTCTGGAGTCATTGAGGACAGATATTGATATTTTAAAAGCTTAAAACAGGATGACACTTCTCCACGCGCTTTTGCTGGTGGCAAGAGAACAACTCGTGAAATTTCTACGAATTTTAAAGTCTACTGACAAAAACATTTCCGTAGAGGTAATTTTAAGTATCCCCGTGTTATTTGACGTACCCATCGAAAATTTTGGGGAATCGCGCCAAAGTGCGCTTTTTAGCCGCAGAAAACAGTAATACTCAGTTCATTGTTAGGTGAAACTAGGGGAGCAATTAAACAATGATTATAGAATGTGCCCGAGGCAGCTCGGAGCCACTTTATACTTGGCGCTAATAAATATACTAACTCAGCAGGTTCTTTTGTCGGTCAATTTTTCCATAATATTGCTCGAGGGAGACCCTGAAAGCTTTCAGAAACAAATCATTTGTTTAACTGGCATGCTATAGCTATAGCTGACAATCTTATAATGTTTGGCACCTAAACATCAATTCAGGTCATTGTTATCCAATAAAATTACTTCTGAGGGCTAAACCCAAACGGTAGAAGACCCACTTACGACCTCACTGATTCCAGCTATTGTTTCCCTGTTTGGAAACAGCAGCTGCTAAACTCGAAAACTCAATGTGCGTGTGACAAGAACTGTTCTTAAACGATTACTTTGGTTGTTCCAACTCGCTACTTGAAATAGCAAACGTAATCATAATGAAAAAAAGGACTCATGAAATGCTACGAGCACGGGCAAAAAACTACTGTGTACATATCCATATCAATTTCACCTCTCAGAGGTCTCGAGTTCTTGAGGTAACAAGTTGTGAACACGCACCCTCACGGTGACTTAATGGAGCTTGGCTTAAGATAAACAGACACTTTTCAGACGTGAACCGCGCTATTGCCTCCCCCTTGCTTTGACCTTAATCCATCAATCAGGAAGTCGTTGTTTCAATACAAAACGCTACAGACGAAAATTGTGCCATAATTAGAACACTGAACTTGCGTTCCCTCACTAAAAAGTATTCTGACGGACTTAATTTATTGAGGAGGTGGTTTTCTCACACAACGAGCGTGGAAAGCCGTGTGAGATATCGTTACATGAAAAGCCATTTCGATACATTTTGTAACAAGATAAGTGGATGTGCCTTGTTAAGTTCACATGTGTGCGCAAAATTATTATTAACCCGTTTACATGCAATTAGCAATTAATTTGGCCGGCTCCTTGCTTTGGTCAACGAAGCTCGCCCAGTATCAGGCAGCTATTATAAGAGGCATAAATTGCGGTCAACCGTCTGACTCAGCTGAGGTGCGAGTATCCAGCGTAGATTCGAACATAATTTATAGGCAATTGTAAAGTATTTCATTTTGTTGTAAGACTGCAACCAATGCAAATTTGTCACAACTTATTTACCCAATCCCCTTCTGAACATCAGCATACCGATCTGATATCTCCTTACTAAACCTAGGGCATCTTAACCACCGTAACTTATATCGTGGATACCTACCCTCTTTCTCCTCTTCCCAAGCGGAGCGCGATTTTCTCGTTCTGCATACCTATGCTGATTGGTGACTCAGTTGGTAGTGCGAGCAATAATATCCTCTGAATTTTAGGACCGGAGCTAAAGGTTCCGGCAGCTGTTATTATCAATGTATGCTAAACGAAACCGTTTATCATATCAAACTGCTAAATGGCCGTTCCAATTTCCTCTGGCAATGTTGCTCAATAATATAATCCAATGTTTGGCGAAGTCGACGAAGAATCCGATGCCTGAACTAAAAACTTAAGCGGCGTATAAATTTAACATTTGAAAATAACCTTCGCTTTTGATCGGCGTCAAGTCATATTAAATTTGAGAGTCGGATAATCACTAAGGAGCGAGAAATACTCGTAAAAAATTCGCCTTATGACAATTCAGAGGTTCACTCGAACATGCGCACTGTACAGGCGTTCATCCGCGTTCAGTTGAATCAGTGAAATAGCAGTGACTTCGATTGGTAAACTTGAAATAGCCAAAAAAACTCAATTTCAGTACACTTACAGCAAGAACTTTCTGTAAAAGCACGGTTTGTTAAGAATATATATTAAAACGAAACACTCATCATGCAGTCATTCTTAATTGGTAAAGCAATCTATATTAGCATTTCTTTCTTTATCAAAATTAAAAGGGTTGTAATTAATTAGTTCTAGTTCGCCTTGAGAATTTTAAATAAAAGACTGAAAATGTTGCTGTTGGTTCTATCTCGTCTTATTGAAAAAATCTTCCCCTTTCTATCCCGGATAAAGACAAGAAGCAAAGATTCTGGTAAAGCTTAACATTACATTTTATCAGTTCAGTAAGATATATTGAAGAATGTTTTGTTTGAACCAATGTTAAAATTCATTGGAATCACGCAATGTTTGTGCAGTTTTGCCACAGGAATTTTCTTTGTGTGCTAAATGGGAAGTTAGAAGAGCGAAACATATAACTAAGGTGAAAGACAATAAATTTTCCCAAATTTCTGGTTCGTGGCTTGGCGGGGAAAAACTCTGGCCATTCGCAAAACGATTTCATGTTACCCATGGTAACAGTTTTCGTAACATTTCATTAAGGTCTTTCAGACACCAAAAGAGAAAACCGTGTCAACTGATACGTTCTACCAGAATAACGAGGCTGTTTCAATGACCTTTTTTTTTTAATTATACATACACGCACACAAAAACAAAATTCTAACCTAGACACTTTTCTGCAATATCATGTGTCGTTGATATAAAGTCACTTTCAATTTTCAAGGTGTTGTTATGATACCTATAAAACTACAACAAAGAGGCTACGCTGATTGTTTTAACTTGCGCCATTGAAGTGAACGCATATACAGCTACGAATAGCGGGAACAGAGAAAAATAAGATAGAAGGAAAATCTAAAAGCTCGTTACGGTACATATATATATATATATATGTAGAGAGAGAGAGAGAGTGTGTAAAATTTTGACTTTTTGTGTGTGTATATTCTTGTATTTTTGTAATTAATTATTAATCTTTAATCATACCTAATGCTTGACATGTATCGAAACGAATTCACAAATTAAAAAATTAAACCTCGTCGTGAGGCATAAGTGTTTTTGTTTACCCTCCACGTTCTGAGAAATTTTACTCGAATCTAGCATTTTTGTGGTCATGCCGACTGAATGTCTCCCCTCAAGGTAACTACTGACCACAATGAATAAGAAACTTCGTTTGGAACTGATCAAAAACAATCTTTCGTTGAATCCGTATTTAGCGAGTTCGACGCGCACGCAGTTTTAAAATATAAATGTAAATTATGATCAAACTCTCCTAAAAAAATTGGATGAATTGAATTGAATTTTAAGTCAAAATACTTACCAAACAGATAAAGAGATATCCCTAACTTTAACTCGGCCCCTTATAGTAACTATTGGTTAGGATCTCGAGAGAGCGGAAGAGTCCTGCCGCTAGAAAATTATTCCGACAGGTGATACATCATAAATATCAATCATGACAAAATTCGTGAAAAATTTATTGGGCCCTTCGAGGGGAATGCTGAGGTGCAATTGAACAATGGGAACTTTTCATTTTGGTAATGACTGAGAAAAACTTGTTTGTACACGTCGCATAATAATGATTTTTTACTCATTGCGCAGCTGGGTATTGTTGATTTGTAATGTGGGTTGACAACAACATTAAATTACAGGTAAATACAAATCTTTTTTTTTTTTCTTAAAAAACGCCTATTAGACCCAACAACTCTTAAAAAATAAGAAAACTATCGCGGTTTAAAGCGATCGATTGAAAGGAAGGAATATTACACTAAAGTACTTGCCATTTGTAACGGATTCCACTTCTCCATGGCTAGAAATTTGGAGAAATTGGATGATTGTTTTAGAAAAGGCTTGGTAATCGATAGTCATTACTCTAAACTCCTTATTAAAGAGCCCAAAGAGTGCTCATCAGTAAATATCTGTGGGATACTCCTTCAAAAATGAAACTTATAATTCATACGCAAGATTTCAAAGATTCGTGGAGGGTTGCAAGTGTTTTTTGCGTTGTGTGCCATGTGATTTGACCCACACGAATGTGTAAATGCTTTCGTCACCATTTCAATGAGCTCAATAGGATTGTTTTAATAAAATGATAATCACAAAACAAACACTCAACGTGAGATGTATGAAAACCCAAGGGTGTAGTTCTCTTGTGTGTGGATGCAAGTGCAGCTAATTCAGCCAGATCGATGACTTCAGAGTGTTAAAGGTTGCGTGAGGACTGACACTGATCTTCTGCATGAAGTTTCAATTCTTAAAGCTCCCGGCTACTAAGATGTAGTTGGCATTTTCTAATGAGCAAACTGATGAGTCAAATATACGTTTCAAAGGCTTACTATTACGTACATAGGAACGACAGAAGCAAGAATCAAAACTCTGTGTGAGGAACCCTGAATTCTTCCTCTCTTTCTGTGTCTACTCTTTTGAGGTACTTCGACAATCTCGCTTAATTCTATCAATGCTAAGGTTGTTTTTCAATTCTTTATCACTGATTAGCATCACTTTTCGACTAGACATCCCCGTTGTCTCGATCAGTTTAATTCAATAACATGCTAATATGAGAACGTATCCTCGATCTCTTGAAAACTAACGCCGCTGGAATATCGGTTATTGCTTCAACTTCTCCACGCATGAAAACAAAGTCAGGTGTTTCACGTTTCAGACAAAGATCAAGCCACTTATAATAGCTAGCACGCTATTGTTCTTGTCAGTTGTACGCTGTAAACCCAATTATTTGTAAAGTAGAAGCCACTGACTTCATTTCTAATTTGGCTAATCCTGCACAGATAACTTGTTCATAATTTTTACTCAGTGATTTCAGAATTCTGGGGAAGGTCAACATGATTACAGGAACTCTTTGAACCCTCTCAAATGCGAGGCTCTATCCCGGCAGTGGAGTAGCACGAGACATTCCGTAACTCTACAGGAACCTTTATCAAATTCCAATCAACTGCAATGAAATAAGGAGGAGAAATCATTCAATGCCTAGGGATGTCTGTACCCTTATCGTATGTTAGATTACTGAGTAATTTTCCCTCTTCGAGATAAGGGCGGTTTCTTTTTCCGCTCATTTTCCGGCTCTCGTCGATAAAATGAGAATCTCTCATCACGATTTTTTCGTAATTTGTTATCAGTAAAATACATAACCTTCCAGAAACCCTCGTATGTAAATGATTTAAAACGGATGTAAGTAGCTCGTGCCACTGTTGTCTCTTTACTGAGAGATCCATAATGCGATGTAACTCGCTGGCGTCTGGTTGACGCTACTGTTACTTTTTCCAGCTGTTTGAACGAAATAAGGGATCTTCTTCCAGCACTCGTCACAGAACTTACCTCAGTATTAACAGGGTAAGAACCAGCTATCCCTTTAAGCTGCGACGAAAACAAACATGCCTAAGCACTGACTGTTTTCTTTGCACGGCACTTTCCACCGACTTCACCCATCGTTTGGTTCATTCAGTCGATTTCAAATGTCAAAATCAGCAGATGGGTTTAAAGGCTTGGAACTGTTCTCTTCCTGTGGCATTCGGTTTCGTTTTTATCATCGCCAGTTTATCTAGTGCTTGCAGTTAATAATTACCTGGTGATAGATTTCTCCAATGACTGAAATAAATTGCAGCCAGCTATTTCAGTAGAGCCGAGAGACAAAAGCGTAAGGAGAGTTTATTACAGTAATCAAAAGTCAGATATCTATTAGACTGACTACTTTGGAGATCAGAGGGATTAAATCCGATATGACTCATGAACAGCACGATATCTTTTAGACTTGTCAAACAAATGTATCTTGATTAAAGGACGTAAAAGGAAAGTCAAGATGTTCCGTATGTGCAGTACAAGTATGCTTTCCAGCGGGGAACTGACTTTCAAGTTACACACGTGGAACTCGTTATGCGAGCGAGTGGACGCCAAAATCAAAGAAGGATTTTTAATTTAATAATGCAAGTGTTTCCATGCAGCTAAAACTGTACGGGTCAGTGCAATAAGAGAGGCGTATACCATTGAGACTATGACTTACTGTGTAGGAAGACTCTCTCTTTGTGCTACTTTTCTAGACTATAATTATGGTATCTTTGTCAGATTAGTTTTTTGATTCTCTAAAACAATTCTCTGTTCGATGACAGTTCCAACTTGTGCGGCTTAAACTGTTAAATTCAGCATTGTTCAATATACAGTTTCAGTTGAGGTATCTTTGAAGTATAATCTGGTTTATCCGGAATCAGTGGAGATCTGGTAGAGTTGAGTCGACCACTTCCTATAAGTGGTTTTGTTGTTGTTTGTTCTCCTCCTTCGTTGGTCTTCCTCTTTAAAATATTTGAAACAGAACTTGGCCAAAGGGAAGCCAGTTTTTATTTGACTGAGTCTTAATTCAAGATAATGCAGTATCGAAACTCGCATGAATCGGCGCGAATGTTCATTCTAAATAATTGGAATATATTATATTTAGAGAGAGTTCTAACAGGAGTCGCTTCCCTCCTTTGATGATAAAACTCATTGTTCTCAGTTTACGTTAAAAAGTGGGTTTCCTGTTTTTCACTTTTCCCACTTAACTAATCGACTCATTCTAACAATAGATTTTACCCTCGGGAAAGGAATGTTTTTGATAATAGGTGGTCAACGGAAGTCTTACTCTTTGACAAGCAAACGCAAAAGCAAAGTTGGTGGACCTTTCAAGGAGTCGGACAGCATTTTTTTTATTAAAAAGATCCTTTTAGAAAAACCAAAAAATTGTTGAAAGAAGTTTTTGAAGTAAATTTTCATCAAAAAGAGAAGAAAAAAAAGGAAAAGAGAGAGAATAGAAAAACCGCCGCGCGCGTGAGTGGCCCGAACGTTGTTATTTTTCCATTTCCGGTTCCGCCTGCGGAAAGCTGTTGATTGGCTTGTCAATATTTCACACTTTCATAATCAAAAGGTAAAGATCAAATATCGAAGGTTTTATAAAATATGCAGCAGAGCAAACGAGCGGACAAACGACTGCAAGAGAAGTTGCCGTTGGAGTCTGCCGTACTTTGACTCCCTTATAGCAAGTAAATTTAAAGGAACTTAAAATGGTTAAGGCAGTCACGAAACCCGCCGCCGAAAAGCCGCCGTCTGGCGGATCGGTGCAAGTCAACCTGGTCGAAGAGAGTAACGTCGAAGTCGCAAAGGAACCAGTCGTGGTGGAATTTACACGCACAGAACGACGAAGACCTCCGCGGACGTGTGTTTTCGTAACTCTCCTTTTATTGGTGTTACTGGTAGGATTCCTGGTTGTCTACTCAATCGAGAAATCGAACCGGTGAGTGGTCTTTCTTTAGTAAAGCGGGTTTGTAAACACTTTCAGGATCGGAAAGTATCAATATCAAATATGCAACGTTTAATTTTTTTATTTGTTCTGTATGCACTGTCCTGTAACCTTGGCCTGCAGCGACGTAAATGCTTTATTTCACACTGCACGATTGCTGTACTTTATTTCCCGCAGAGTGCTGTATTTTATTTCTTGAATGTAGTAATTTTTCAAACACAAAAGGTCTGTTTGGATTTTGATCCGCTGGCTCTCTCTCTCATTTGTGTCATTGAGGCGATAAAACCTGAAGAAACTGCTAAGACATCCCAAGCTCATAATTGCATGGTAAAACCTATGTTTTATTTTCCGGAAGAAATTGTCGTAAAGATAAAAGGTAAATTTAATATGTCGGCGCATAAAAGATCACTGCGAGCGCCTTCAGCACCTCATGTTATCTGATGGAACCCTACCACTTTCACCGCTACTCGGCCAATGAAAGTCCATTTTGATGCGTCGCCTAATTACTTTTATTGACTACGAAATTAACCTGCAAATTACTGGAGTCTTTTCTCTGTTGACGACGACAAAAAACTTGTTGTTATTGTAATTAATGTTCTGAGTCACCTAGATCCTATGCGGGCAATACCAAACAGACCTTGGGTTTCTACCCTCTGTCTACACCTTTGCGATCCTCGGTAGGTGCGATTGATTTCCGAGACTTCACAGTTACATCTCCTAAAAGTTCTATTTGATTCCCCGAAACTAAAGATGCTGCGTAATGAAGTCATTAAGTGCATTTTATTTCTTTGTGCTGGACGGCATTTAAGCTTCAAAGAAAAACGCGTCGTTTTATTCTGAGTCATTGTCCTTTAGAGCTAATGCCACCCAGGGAATCGAATTAGCGGCGCTGATTTACACGCGAGTTGAATGGCTTTGGGTTCTCTGAAAGAGCCTTAGTCTTAATTTTATAAGTGGATTTTTGCTTTGTGGGTTGTTATGGATCTAGGGTTTGAATTCCACAAGTTGATCAGATGACATCATTCCAACCCAGAACCCAGTCCCATGAAGAGTTTGAAAAAAGCCCACTTTACTTTGTTTTTGTACTGCTCAGTGGCACCCAAGTGTAAGTTGGATCTTCTTGGGACAAAGTTAATGAAAGATATTTTACTTTTGAATTATCCATGTAGCAAGGATCTTCGATCATTTTGTTCTGATGCTTAACATCTACCAAAAAGTTGAGAACAACATTTTCTAAGATTGTAACCAGAGTAATGCACCAATGGGAAATGCTTCGCATACCCAATCAAGTATACTATTTACCTTTCTAATTAAAGCTAAGCATAACCAGATAAAAGAGCAAACCTAGCTTTTAAAGTAATTTGTCTCCGTGGATTAAGCCTCTTGTAAGTCAGATCAGTGGCATTTTGATTCTGCCCAAGATGAAATCAACACAATTTAATGAAAAAACCTGTCAGACATTGTTTCATAGGGTTTCATTATGGATTAATATTATCTATGAATGGATCTACTCAGTGGCTTGTCAAAAGATAAGGTTATAATTGAATAGTGAGGCACATGCCAGTTTATATTACAATAGCAGGAATATCAAAGGATGATTGGAACCAATGAAGAGCCCCGTCATCAGAGCTGGGCAGTAGGGCAAGCTTGGTTAATGAGAAGTCTTTGTATTTGATTCATATCCACCTCAGCTACTGAATGGATCCACCTTAGCTACTGAATGGAGACATAGTCCTGTTAAAATGAGTACTTGACTCACTTAATTTTTTGCATGAACAATTTGCAATATTTTACATGTCATCCTGGTAACTAGTTTATTGTGCATATATGGGGAATTTTCCTGCCTTGTGAAGGTTGTGGCCTCTGTAAAAACTGGCCTCTTGGCAACAGGGTTAGCCAGCCTCTGCTGTAAACACTCAGAGATTTCAGCAAAGAAAGTTTAGAAGGGGGCAGTCTTTAAATTTTGACCCACCAGTCTGACTAGACTATATGAAGAGGTCTTTAGATGGTAAAACCAGAAAGTTAAGGAGGATTTATTAGAAAAAATTTAGATATGAGCATATTAAGTGTTATCAGATGTTTCCCCTTCATGGATTAGCTTTGAGTATAAGTATTTCCTTTTGTTCTTGAACAAATTCCACAATTGCAAGAGGGTCTTGGGAGATTTCGCTTGTTTTGTATTCCTTGATACAGAAATACAGTGCATAGCCAAAAGAGAAAAGAAAGAAAAAAGGCAATATTTAAAGGGGGAAAGATACTGTTCTAGACAGATGGCAAATCAATATTTCATTTGACTCATTGCATGCCATCTTTGTTTATAAAGTGATGCATGAACATGACCTTTTAATTTAGAATTGTGGAAATTTCTGGCAAATTTGCTTTGATTCTAAGAGCCTGACACATGTTATTAATGAAATCAGTGGTGATTCAGACACTAAGAACAAGATTAAAAAAAAGTTACAAAGAGCAATCGATTTATAAATCTATTTGGAGCGACTGTCAATTTTCTTGAACATGGTTATTTAATTTTATTTCATATTCACAGGGACAAAAACAGATCCATGCAATGGAAATATGGTGAAGATGGCATCAAGATTACAGATCCTCCAAGAGTATTAAACAATTCAGAATCCTCCAGTACATTTTGGTGCGGCACAGACGATGTTTCTTGGGAAACTCAGGAGGAATTTTACACTTTGTCAGATGCTATCAGCCAAGATGACATCATGGGTTTAAGGCCAATTTTCAGGAAGGATCTCCCACATAATTATGTTGCATACTGGGAAGCGAAAATCAATGGAAAAACTGGAGAAAAATACGTGATCATCTCAGCCGGTTTGTGTTCATAGAGTGTATAACATCCTGTTTAGAATGACACTGCATTTAGGCACCTCTAATCAGGCAACACCTCAATAATGTGGGCACCAACTCTGGTTATTTTAGCTGAGTTGTAGAGCTAATCTCTGACTTAAAAAAAAAAGCAAACACTGCTTAGATAAAGAACACTTTAACCAAATTTGAATTTGAAGTGGTGATATTGTTACACCAAAAGCTGTTTTAATGGGTGTAAATTTACATGAATAAACTGAAAGAGAGCATGTACTAGTAATTGGCCAGTTATAAAGCTTCTAATTTCGTCCCAAAGTGGCTTTATTTCATGAAGCTAAACTGTTTGTGGTTTTCTGGGTAAATTAGTAAACAGAAAAGCTGAATGTGTGGTTAATAGGCTCTTGTGCCTGCTGTGTATCACACATTTATAAGCTGAAAATAGGGCTTAGAGTTAAGTTTACAAGCGAGATGTGACTTGGTACTTATCAACTACAGTTTTTATAAGGGCCCAGTATACTATGGTTAAACAAAACAGCTGGAATAGGATTGAATAGCTTGAACCAAAATGAAACTATTGGCTGTTGGTAGCAGTGGCTTAACAGTGAAGAGCTGTGTGAATGATGAATGAAGTTTTGTTATTTGTACAGCTAGACAGACGGGAGATCATCGTCTTGCTGAAGAAGGATCTTTACCAAGTCCTTCAGACCTACTTACAGCCCAAGCCAACAGTCATGGATATGGCTGTCACAGAGTCTATCGCCTAAGACCTGATGGTCTCATGGCATGTGAAGATACTGATGTAAACAAAATGGTCGCCATCACAAGGAACATTGATACAGATTCTACCGTATGTACCATTTTTTTACCTTTTTCTGAGCCTTTATAAGCTAAAACCACGACTTGAATTAAAACCATAAACAACTCTAGCCGTTGGGCAAAACAGACCAGCACATGCGCGAGAGAGAGAAGTCCCACCGAGTCGAGCAACTCTTGTAGGCCCCCCAGATAAGGCCAATAATAAAACATTTTGGAAGATGAAGACATCAAGGCCGCGTGAAAGCATTTTTCAAGGAAGAGCCATAGCTTTCCTAAGCTGTCAAATAGGTCTTAAAAGAAAAACGTAATCGAGGACGTGGTCGACAATGAACAGGCTAAGCGAGAGGATGATAATGGGAGATGGTAATCATAAGAGTTTAGCACAGTTCGAGATAATGGAAGTCATTTTTTGCCGACGGCTTAAGTAACGCGATAACACTTTTTGGCATACTTACAATGATTAACGAAGATTACGTATAATATGTAAGTATGGTTTTAAGGATTAACATAGGATTTTAGTGATTAAGATCACCAACCCTATAGTTCAAACACTTTTACCAACTTAAGGGCTGACGGTTCTCCATAAGAAAAACAGATCAGTTACAGATATTTAGAAGTCGGGATTAAGGTAATGGATGTCACATATAATAGGGCGGTGTGGCTGAGTGGTTAGGGCGCTGGACTTGTAATCTGGTGGTCCTAGGTTCAAGTCCTCCACCCTGCCACTCACTGGATTGTTCTCGGTCGCCCCAAGGTCGACTCCGCGGCTGTGATGTGTAGAAAGCCTACTGGTTTGCCTCCCGTCAGCCGGGATTTTCAAGCGCTCTATGTTTATTTGGTGTATTTGTTACTCTCTCTTTCATGTTGTCTAGCCCACAATGTAAACTACTGGGTCCACCAGTAATTGTGATAGCCATATTAAAAATCTATTTTTTTTCTCTGCGGAAAAACAATTTCAAAAAGTTAAAGCAAAAGAAGTCATTTACGGCTCGAGAGATCTTCGGTGTGCAAAGTATTTGTAAACAACCCCGGAGACAATTTGTTCCTTCTTTGTGTTCGTTGCAACCGCACTAGAGGCATAAACGATTATTTGGTATGTTTGCGGCGAATTTAAGAGAATTAAAGAAAATGATAGTTCCATCGCACTATAACTTGTGTGAGGCTCACTGAGGAGGTGCCTGGACCATCTCACTTCTAATGTGAGTGATAAGTAACATCTCAGTCCCCGCAATATCAATTCATCGTCATGTAGAAAGGTGATAGAAGAAAGAAAAGTATCAGATAAACGATTCCGTTTGATATGAATCAAAATTCGCAATGGAAAATAGTGGGAAACTGTACCCATTGCGTGTGCTCGCTCTCATGCGTTCTTGTTACATAGGATATTGATTGGAGACACCTGGACAAACAAGTAACGAGAGAGTTACCCAACATGGAGAGAGAATGGAAAGAACAAGCTGAGCGTTTGAAAAAGACGCCAGAGTGGAACAGGTTCGAGTGGCTGTCCATGGCGGTAGGGGGTAAGTAATGAATGATGTGACCGTGTACCCCACCCACTGCTTTATTCTACACTTTTTGTTAGTGGCTTATGAAACTTTTGGAGGAAATCGAGTCTCTGTATACAAAAGGAAAACCTCAGATTTGTCTCCCCTTTCCCCCTCCTTCTGCCGATCTTTGGAACTCTCTTTCAAAAAAAAGGACTCATCACGTATGCTGTTTAAGAGTTGGGTTAATGGGCGGTGTGATAGACAGCTCAACACGGAAAAGAAATGTTGGCTGATAGTCGACCGACAATCAACCGACTGTTTACCGATTGTCGGTTGGTTGTCGCTAGGCCATTCTTTTACAGTAACATGTATGTTGTGTACGGGATCTTTTAGTCTTAATGGTCGCCATTAATGTTTATTTATGCTAAGAGTTATTCTTAGTGTTTAGGACGTGATTGCCTGCCGTTTGAATGTATTTTTTTTGCTTTCAGACGTTAGCACAAAGCCTACAACTCTAGTTGAACCAATCACAACCTCGCCAACACAGGAATCATCTGTTAACCTAGAAACGGAGTATAACTTCGAAGTGGAAGAAACTGAAGATGGTTTCAAAGCAGAGCTGGGACTGCAACCGGGCGACTCGGTTCGGATTCCTCTCGGCGAGGGCTTTCGTGATGTTCGTGTCAAGTTCGTCGGCCTTCGGGATGGTGATTGGATAAAAGCAAAGAGCGGCAAGAAACGTTGGCAGAAACGACTTTGTCGCGTTTTAAGTGATTTGTGTGATAGTGACGGAAATGTAGATATCAGTATGGTTAGCAAACGTTTCTTCAAACTGACGAAGACGGGCGATCGTTTTATCAAAGTTAAAGTTGACGCAGACGAAAATTTTGTTCGGAGAAACCTCGGTGGAAGGGAAATACGTTTTAAAGTAGAACTGCGGACCCGTGGGACTCAGACCATGGTTATCAACTATGGAATTATTTTGAAGAATAGAAGGCATCGGCGTGCTTTCTCCAACAAGCACTTTGGAATACCACATGAAGAGTTGCTCCCAAAGTATCGTCAGCATCATCATGGCCAGTGCACGACAGGTTCGGGTCCAGTGGCGTGGGCAAAGATACTCGGTTACTTCAATAATATGGCGGCTAGAACTTACAATTCAAGTTATCCGTGAGTAGTTGTAGCGATTTAGCGTAGCAAACAGAGACAGCATGTTACATAGTCCAGTTGGCTTGCGAATCAGTATAGTGGGTTTCAGGGGGAAAGGAAACAGGAAAAAACGTGACGTGTTGCGTGACGTGTTGCGTGACGTGTTGCGCATGATGTTGTTTGTTCGATTAGCCGGAGTTTTGTTAATTTTAAAAGAGCTAAAACCTTCCTCCCACCCCCAGAAAAAAATTGTTCTTATCACTAAATCAATCCCAGGTCCTCATTATTCCAATATGCAGTCTATCCAAAGGTGTTTTTCTTTCTACATACGAAAGTGACACCATGAATTTTCAAAGTGTGGAAATGAATAAAGGATGTTTAGGTTAATCCTCTCTAATTTTTCTTACATTTACAGACCACTGAACAATATGTTGGATTGGCCCGCTCATTTACCTCTAACAATGGACGCATCGGTAGAAAACATGACGCAACGGATATTTTCCGAGCTTGGATCGCATTGTTCACACCATGGTGGAGGAGTAACCTCCCCTGCTCACATGGGGCGAATCAAGAAAGCCTTTGAGAAAGTCCCGGGACGAGAGCTTAAAGTTATTCATCGAGGATACCATGAAGGCGAGGCAGGCTCGTGGAAAAACTTGATCATCGATCTTCTGAAAAAAGGATACCCAGTTATTGTGAGTAAAGACAACAGTAAACATGGCCAGCACCACTATGTGGTTGTAACACGGATCCGACAGAGTGCGAGGTATTACAGTTTTTGTCACCGTCAGACAGGCGAATGTTCGCCTTGGACCTTAAAGGAGGAATCGCTGATGTTTGTGCACGAGGAAGACGCGCCTGGTAAATGGGAACCCGCCGACATTCGATTTATGGCTGCAATCTTTGAGAGATGAACCGAACAATCTCAAGTCAGTCTTAATCAGCAGTAGTAATCTGATTGTCGCTCCTCGGGCTACACACGTAGGATTTGTATGAACGATACGAAAAATGAACGATAAAACACGACGTTTCGACCAAACTTCGGTCATTTTCAAGTGAATAGTAAGAATGTCATGATGAATATATATTGACTGCCTAATTTATGAAATGTTTTTTATCCAAGAACTGAGACCCGCTCTCGATGTGCAGTCGGACTCAATTCGTGCAAAGGTTTTTAATTAGGTTTTTAATTTTTATTTGGTTTTTAATTGGCTTATAATTATTTCTTCTCTCTGTCTGTTCGTATTGTCCGTTTACACTTCCAAAAAACTTTACACTTCTTACACGCATATATATATATATATTCATCGTGTCATAGAATTCACTTTGTAAATATTGTAATGTAACGAAGGCTTCGGGAAAATTGCCTTGATACATAGGTAACTTATATTTGGTAAGTTAAATTATTTTTGGTCATATTTTTCAAGTTTTTATTTTTTCAGTGTACGAAATGGTGATCAATGGAAATTTGTACTGTTGCTATTTGTTGTATCAAATTTATGTCCGCAGTTTATCCGGTGAATTTCAGTTTTTCGTCAAGCAGTGTTTTACTTTGTTTCGACGGCTGTTGACTTTTTTATTACTTTATCGTTATTTTTGTAATCATTTTTTTCAGGGTTGACTTCAGAATGTCCATCTTTTGCGAGGCGCTTTTGCTTCCATAGAACAGACTTTAAGTATGCAGCTTTTGCGGAATTTTTTATGAGCAGTGTATGAAATATCCTTCTTTACTGAAAAGAACCTTGTATTTGCTTTTCGAAAATCGATAAGTACAGACTTAGGTCCTGAATTTAACTGCCCCAGATACCAGACACTTAATTGTAAAACCTATATGAAATAAAATGTCCTGCTTATTGTATATTTCATCCTTGGAAATTGATGTTTTTTCGGTATCCATTTTCTAAATCCATACCAATCCATTTTCTTCAAAAGTTTATTAGATATGTTTGGTGTCTGTACCTTAAGTTTGAGGAGAGAGACCGTAAAGGCGAGGCTTGTCAGAGAATTTTGTCGTGGAGCCGAGCTGCGTGCATTGTGTAAAACATTGAGGTTGTGGTATGGCTCTCAGCCAGAAAAACGCCCTGAGTAACATTGATATGTGAATAATTTATGTGGAGTTGAACAATCTGCCACTGTTTCACACCATCTAGTTGTTGACCCAACTTTGCCTGCCAGTTCTCTCTAGTTCAACAATTCAATTTTTTTTGCGACCTCGAGCTCTTTTTTTCCATAAATAAAGCACAATTTAGGTGTTAATGACGAAACATTTGTTGTCCCTGGCAGAATATTTGAAAACGGACAACTCCCATCAACCTCTATTCCAAGGGAAACATTCACGAAATGCAAAACGTATTTTTCGTTTGCCCGAAAGATAAATAAAGCCACCTGCGATGCTATGGGGAACCGCACGAAAACAGACCATTCTTCCTTAATAATTTATGAACGTTTCCAAGTATGACACAGCGCTGCCAATGTTCAAAGCTCATTTCAGCATTTGTAGGAGTTTGTTTGCAGTTCGTTCGTTTCTCCGCTTAGGAAGGAAAAAACAAAAGAGGCTAACATGAAGGTGATGGTGGCGATACTCCTTGTGCTTAATATTCCGGTGGCCTTTACCAGTAAGTATTAGTATCCTTGTATGCTCTATTTGTGGCGGTTTGATCGGCTCCGTTAAGTGTGGATGTTGGCAGCCGCATAGTTAGTAATACACAGCGGGGTTTATGTAAACATCACTAAGCCCGATTAAGCCTTTCGTGGGGTCTTGTAATCCTGCTATTCACCACTGGGATCTCGAGGGTTTAGTTTTTAAAATAAGGACACCACCTACTATTCATGCGAAATAAGTTAGGCTCAGGAAGCCTTATACGATACACCAACTTAAGTTTTGAAGCTAACTAGAATTTTTGCTCTTCCGTGCTGCATCTTTAGATATCACAATGACGTCTCTACAGTCTTTCGCTCAGGAAACGTTTTTAACATGCTTTTAACTGTACCTTACTGCATTGCTTTCTTTCATTTTTCCATATGCGCAATTTAGTTACTTTCGTGGTGGTTCCATTTTCATTGAGGGCTAACGGTACGGGAGGACTTTCTAGCGATCTCGTAATTCGGTATCCGCACCATGATATAAGGACAAGTTTTTATGTCCATTGTCTCGTGATACCAATACTTTGTATGAATATACACTGCCTGGTTCCGTATACCAATCTGCCGTCGTTTACTGAAATTAGTGAGACGTATTAGATGCGAAAAAAGCAGCCGGCCGATGGAAACTTAATCGAAAAGTCTATATAAACAACTTTAGAAATCTTCGATATGCCACTAAGTCTTTTGAAATGTTCTAAAGGTTTTTTTCGGAAAAGTGCCTGTTTCATTTCTTTCAACGAACGCTAATTAAATCCCACATTCCTTTGAAATGAGGAGATTTGCGCGGGAAAATTTTTAAGTTCTTTGACTAGGAGCCCCGCTGTGCTCTCTTTATTTCGAACCGAGGTTATGGCCGCAGCAAAGTGAATTCTATTACACGATGAATATGTAAACATATGTGTGTAAGAAGTGTAAAGTTTTACGGTCTCAAGACATTAACACTTTCATTGCATCTACAGAAATGCTGCCATCTTTCTCCATCCTTCAAAAAATGTATCTTGGCGATAAAAATTATGGAGGGATTTACAACCGCTTGAATGTTGAAGAGTACCTTTTCCCAGAAGACAGTGGTGAGCTCAAATTCTATCCAAACGCCACATGCATATTGCGCATGAGCGCCGTGTTAAACGTCACAACAGAAAGGAACGGAAGCAAGAAAGGTCTGAAAGGCTACCATTATTTCTATGAACGAGCACCTCTGTTAGAGTACCTCAAGGAAGAATTTGGTAAGCCTATTGTATCTAACAATACCGCAGTTTTTCGAGGGCAAGTGGGAATAATGTTCGTTGACATCAAAGATGGAGATGACAGCAAAGATTGTAGCGTTCTGTTATGGGACGGGAATGGATTTCATCAAGCAAAAGGTGTCCTAAAACACAAAAATTTCATATCTGCTCAGCTGTGGCCTGCTCCTACAGGTAAGTGGAAGATGCACGTCGGAGTAACATTTGGGTTTAGGGATTTAATCAATTAGAGTGCCTGAGCTGAATGATTTTATCGTGTAGACTATCCTTGCTGACCTGACCCTAGCCGAGGAGACCTCCCCTTTGAAAGCTTGCCTCGGTTGGCCGTACGTGGTCTGGGTACGAGATAATTAGATGGGCATTTACAGTTTGGGAATAGAATGTCGGGAGCAAACCTGACGCAGAAATGTTCTTTAAGTATTGGTGGTTTCGACCCCTGCTATCGAAAACATATTTGGTATCAATTCTAATCATTTAAATAGCTACCCATATCAGTGAACAAATCCTAAGGAAAAGTCTGTCCCCTAACCCGTCCATCTAAGTTGATTCCGTCGAAATTTCCTCATCAAGCAAATTACGGTTCAAGGCTTATAGCTTGTCAAACACCTAAGTAAATTAGCTAATGAATCTTTCCCCTTTTTATCAGATGGCTGTGTAATCGACGTCAACGTTAAGCAATCAGGCGGGGGAACATGCTTCCCTTCGAAAGCTAAAGTAGAGGTCAGATCTGGGAAGAAGATTCCCATCAGTGAGCTCGCCATTGGAGACACAGTCAAGACCTTTTCTAAGGGTGGCGAAGTTGTCTTTAGTCATGTGGTTACCTTCTTGGATCAAGCGCCTGACCACAAGGGTAGGTGGTACACTTGAATAAATTATTTCTACATCTTTGTATTTGTCTCCTAAACTTTTTATTTATTTTTAAGTTCTCCTTGACAAGGTGTTTGCCGTTATTACATTTACTTGGAAATCACTGGTTATCCTTGTAATCTGATTGGCTTCCAAATTCTCATACTAATTTGGTACTAATAAAAGTCCTGGGAGACTTGTATTTGAAAAGACTCTCAAGGACAAAACTTTTAAGATACAGATACAGCTCAAATTTTCTTCCCTACACAGGTCATTATTACACCATCACTACTGAAGACTACATCAAGCTCACACTCAGTGAGGCTCATCTTGTGTTCGAGTTCCGACCTCTGAGTGCGAAGTTGGGAGGGAATACCTTTCGCTCAGTGCATGCATCCCAAATCAAGCCTGGTGACTACATCCTCGTTCACGTTCCAACGTACCATGCTCCTATTGCAAGGAAGGTTATGTCAGTCTCGACGGCTGAAAGATTTGGTGCCTTTGCACCAGTTACCCAAGAAGGGACCATGATCGTGGACGGTGTTTGGGTATCGTGTTACGCTGACATTGTGGATCATGATTTGGCTGATTCTCTCATGTCCCCACTGAAGAGCTTTTACAACATGGCCCCTCAAACGCTAGGAGCAAGAGGCTTGAATGTTCATGGGTACCTTAAACAAGTCTTGCGTCCCATTGGCTTGCGAATCCTTGGAAAAGAGAAGTTCTATCAAGGACCTGAAGGCGAAGAGACTGCGGGGAAAGACAACACCATAACATCAGTTTATCACCAGAATATCTGAGTGGACTTTCTTTTTCTAAGTAGCTAAGCGAGATGGATCAAGGGACAGTGTTAGTAACCGTAAAAAAAAGCTTATAAATAAACGTGCAGCACATTGATTAGGAGGCAGCGTGAAAGCGAGAAAAAAGCGGTGTTGTGATGTTGCAGTTTACCACTCATATAGACGTACAGTCCAAGTTTAAGATGTCATTTCTAAAAAACGAGGACAAGTGGTTTTTATTTATTGTTTTAGTAATATATCTCTCAATAGCTTTTGCAAGATTTTGGTAATTTACGCCAGAAAGTAAGGGTAGAAATTTCATCTGTATTTAAATGGTCTGTTACATGAGAAAGGTCAATTAATATTTCATGGAAATGTTTGTTACAAATCGTTCATCTCATGCGTCACAGAAGGATTCCCAATGCACTTTCCTGTTACTGTAAATAAATGAAAATGTAATCCCGTCGCCAGATGGATTTACTCTTTGAACCAAAAGGGGGACGCAGTTTATCACAGTGCTGATAAACTTTATTGGTCATAACAGTGTGTTACGAATTGTCATCGTTTGTACTAATGACTGTAAATTAGATAAAAAAAAACTCGCCACTATATTATGAGCCTCTTTTAACGGCAAGGAGCGAAAGGATCGCGTCATATCTACGAAGTTTTTTTTCCTTCTTTCTGTTTTTTTTTTTTAATGAACAAAGTAAAAATAGGTCAATCGTTTTGCATAAAATACTTCACTCAACCGAGTAACTCCCACACATACCAAAATAGATCTCTTTTCACGGATGATTTTCCAAAAAGAGATTAAATCACATATTAGCATTCTCCTCCTTGCAAATACACTCTGTATAATTTAAAAGGGTTACGCTGATTTAACCTCTTCCCAAAGGGCTCAAAGGAACCAGATAGTCCTTTTCATTCACGTTACAAGCGACTTTTCCGTTCAGGCTGGAAGAAAATTGATGACACGCACGCTTCATGTTCGTTCGTGCGCGTGTGCTCTGAGAACCTAAAATTATGATTATGATACGAAATTTTCTCTTTCAGAGCAAAATATAAACAAGGCATATGGCATTTTGTAAGCTTTGCCACCTGATTATTTCATTATTAAAAAATTTTCCCTGTGGTATCTAAATTCTACCCAGCTCTCCCACAGGCCATGCATATTTCACCCAAATAAATTCAATTAGGTCTATTTTACAAGTTTCAGTGTAATTCATCTCACTGTCGAGGGACGAAGAAATTCAATCATTCAATAAAATACTCTTGGAGAGTGTGCCATTGCTCTATTTCAAGGTGAGGCTTTTCCATGGCTTGTTCCCAGTGTTTGTATTCGCTCTCGACATTCACGCAATACCCAAGATGCACCGTGCCCAAGGGGACGTCACGCACTCTACCACGATGCTTAACCTTGAAGAACAGCGTGATCTGAGGCAGTTTGTCTGAGTCCACATCGAACACATACATTTCGCTGAAGTTTGGTGTTTTGGTGTTATGAGCAGTTTTTGTCGTCCGAGTGCTAAGCTTCCGTCCACAGAAGGTGAGATCAAGTTTTACAAATGGATCTGAAAAAAGATACAGTCGACGTTAGCTGTGCGCTATTACCAAACCTTTTCCAAGAGTTTTTGAACAGTGTTTGGCGAGCCGAAAGGATATGTCGATCGAACTGCACAACGATATTTCACTGCAATTAAATAAGGTATCTAAAAAATTCAACCATTTTCATTTAATGTATAATTGATTGTCTTAATCGAGCATTTTTCTTGATACTTTGTGCTTCAACATATGAGAAAACTCCGATATATCATCCATGAAAATAATCTAAGAAGTTATTAATCATTCGTTATGGTGGAGAGAGTTTGTAAAAAAATTATCTTGTTTTATTATCTTTCTTTCTCTTATTTATTTATATACTTTGTTTTTGTTGTTGTTATCTGGAAGGGCTACTCACTTAGTCTCCCGTCCTTTGTAATCTGTCGTAAGCCCCTGGCACAGTTTACCTTCACCATTAGTTTTTGATCCGTCGGGTTGTGACACAAAGAAATCGATAGCTCGCCAAGCTCAGAGGATAAATCTTCAACTTCTTCCTGAAAACAAACAAAGTCAGAAAAAGATAAGGAAGGTTATAACAAAGGTCAATGATGGACGACCCTCTCGAGTTTCTCCATGGTTTACTTAGTTGCATTAATTAAAAGTTAGAGTTCCGAAAACTTTTGCCTAGGGGCCGTTTTCTTGTCAAAGGGGGGGGGGGGGGTCGATACAAATGCTTAGTCGTTGCTTTCCATGCCTACACGGCCAACGTAGAAAAGGTGATGTAGAGAGGGGGGAGAGGATGGAGAGGGCAAAATTGCTTTAAGGGCGAAGCTCATTCTCTTCTTTCGCTTCCCCTTCTACTATGGCCACGCATGCACAGACTATAGCTGTATAGCTGTCCGTTTTCGATAACTAAGATGTGATTGCAATGGTGAAATCTGTTTCTGCCTGACATCATTAACTCAAAACATTGGAGTGCGTCTCTGCCTGAAATATTGACGGATGAGATTAACTAAAAACCAGCCGAGACATTTATCAATCCGATGTAAAAAGTGAGCTTGTTAGACTCAACGGAAGCGAACACTTGACTGTCAAAAGCGGCTACCTAAGTGGCTTGGACTCGATGGTTTTTGCTTCTCCCAGTTATGTTCCCGAAATAAAAGCGAGCCCAAAAAAGCGCTCAATTGTAGGTCATGAGGTTTCCGTAAAGGAAAATGTTCTTCAGACCGCAACCCGAAGACAAAACTTCTTTCTCCACCTTTATGGTCCTCTCAATTTAGTTTAAGACGACCCTTTCACAGTCGCTCGTAACCATCAGCGTCAAGCGCGTAAGAATTAATTTTATCCTTTTTCAGTTGCTGTCCTCGTATCAAAAATTTTCTGCTAAGTTCTCTTTTTTTGTCGCTACTGTGAATAAAACAGCTGCTGCATTCGTACAAGGACTTAACAAGAGTGGAGGGGGGGAGTTTAAAATGTGTATTTTATATAATCCCTAATATCTTCCTAAATTTCATTCAGACGCTGGTGAACAACCCCCCCATTGTAAAATATTGTGTTGATGAAATTTCTATTTTTTTAATGCATTGCGTCAGCATCCCTACCGTCGACAAACTTTTCAATTAGCAGAAGCCTCTCAACGTGCTCCAGACCTATATCGCTTAAATCAACTCCTAACAACCCAAATTTAGCGACCAGTTTGCGTCAGCACAACGGCGATATCGATCATGAACCGTGTGGAAAAGTTTTAACATAGGAGTATGAATCACTACCTGAGAACTGAGAGGGAAAGAAATGAAAAATAAGGAAGTGTGGAATTATTTAATTTTGTCACATGGGAAAAAGTCTAAGATGTTTCTAAGCTATATGAAGAAGGAAAATTTATCATCTACGTCGCGGCGTCAAGTTTGTCGCCTTTCTGACGTAATGTCATCGTCTCCCTCGATTGTTTGGGTTCCGGCTCTTTTCATCCGGAGCATAGTTAATGTATATTTTTCCAATTCATTAGAAAAAACCAAAATCCGAGATTTTTACAAAAACCAAAATTAGTTGTTTTTTTTTTTTTTTTTTAATTACACAGCAAAATTGAGGAGCAAAACAAAAGAGCATCGCGTCAAACTGTGACACTGACGGAATCTTTTGAAAAATTTCAATAGATTGGAATGAGGAACTTTCTGGTATTTTACATGATATAAGCATCCGTTCATTTAAATAAACTTAATTTTTACCGTCTGTTTCTGATATCTTGATCAACAATGAATGTTTCTTGGGTCTTCTGTAGATTTTGTCGAACTCGTCAAAAATTTTGAGTTTTGTGAATTTTTTTTAAATCTGTGATATAAAAAACTGACATTAAATAGTCACGCAATATAAGTCAATATTGTGTAATTAGCTGCGCTCAAGAAGTTTCAAAACACATACCTCGATGGGGCATTCTGTTTCATCTATTTCAACTGGAATCAGGGGAAGAGTTTTCGTTGTTAACTTGTTCGGCGGAAGATCTTTTAAAATGTACTCCACTTCTCCGATAATTGTGTTCGTTTGAGTATTCAACAGCTGAAAGCGTAACATACCCTCTGAAAGTTTTCCTTGAGTTATTCCGTACGCCTCCAATTTTTCATTAAACTGCGGATCGTTCGTTTTCTTAACCACACGAGTTTTCTGTTCCCAAATTTGTTTGCCATTTAAAACTATCGATGCAGCGACATGTATATCAGGTGGATGTACGCTTCCCAGAATCACTATCTTAATCCCACGGGTTGCGTAAATTTGCAGCAAACGAAAAGACTGATCGTAATATAGGGAAAACTCAAGTTTTCCCAAGTTTATCTCTGGGTTTTTCTTGTGAACCGCAACTTTCCTTTGCTGCGGAATAGAGAGATTTTCTTTCGAGGATTGCTTTTGTGGGTGCGAAATTTTTCGCGGTGTCCTCGGGGTTCTTGGCAATTTGGGTGTTATGGACGGAGGCGAGATTGTTCCAGTGTTGATTGCATCTAGCTGTATGCCTCCTCCATCTTCCGCTTTGCGCCGCACGTTGACACTGTGAACTGTCGCTGACAGATGAGCATGGCCATGCCGATACTCCTCTTTAGAAATACTACAAGTTCGTTGAAGTTCTCCGATCGCCGGTTGTTGTTGTGGAACAGAGACGGCCTGGGGAATATAGAATGGTGGAATGTCCTGGTTGATTATTGTCCGCGAGCGAAGTGTAGGATCAGATGTCAGCTGGGTGTATTTATAATTATTTGTTGAAGAGCGTTGATGAAAATACTGTATCAGCAAATAAACAACGACCACAACCAATCCGGCGACTAAACCCAAACCAACAGCCAAAACAACTACAATAAAGAAGGAAAACAGAAAGGTTAAAGCACTATTGAAATCAGTCGAATATATTGTCACTGATACTAGAAACAAAACGTTAGATTGAAGTAGTTTACCTTGATTAACCATCTAGGAAACTTCTACACGGCTGTCCATTGGTGAATCGAAACCCAAATTTTACTCTAGCACTGCTCCATGGAATTTACCTACAGAAATATTTCATGATTGAAGTGAGTATATTTGTCTCAAAATTATTGTAGTCGGTCATATTTTCGAAAGCAATATTGGCGCGCGCTAAGTCACCAAGTCAAAAATAAATTATGTTCTCGTTTTTACGTGTTCTATGAGCTACCTTGCTTCCGGTTTGGGATACGACCAATGGGATCTCTCAAAGCACAATGCTTTCTGTCACGCAAGGAGTAACCGGAAGTCTGCGGGTGAGAACATACTCGAGATTATCCCTTGTAAGGAATACATTTCGCTTTCGAATTTTCACTTCCTTTGGAAATAGCGAATGAAAAAGCTTTTAATTTTTTTACTGACAGTTATATTCCCTTAAAACAAGAGAAAATAGGGGTATTTCTGATTTTGTTGAGATTATGATTATTGCGTGAGTCAAAGACACAGGGTAATACTGGGAAATACCAGCTGTCTCAAATTTCACATAATTTAATTTGGAGTTCACAAATTAGCGCGAGATAGTGGCGAAATCGTGAAGTTACGCGGGCTTTTAGGACTACGTAGGAACTGAAAAGAATGAAAATGTACGAAGCACCCAAACAGCTTTCCGGTGACGTTAATGTTTGAACAAACAAAATTCTTTTGTTTATGCTCTCGCGGGATGATTGCGCATATATCTATTATGGATAAACTTCCCAGCTCCCACTCAAGAGGTAACATATTCTTGTCACGAATGTTTCCTCGTCAGCATATTGATTCCATAAGAGGGAAAATGCTTCTCTCGGTACTAATCTTAGTGATCGGTGGGGGTATGAAGTAATGTCTGCATGAGCGGCTTCTTGAGCCCTCCCGGTTCACTTTCCTCCTCTCCCTGTCTATGTTAGTCATGCATAGCTTAAGAAGGGAAATTATTTTAATGGAACAGCTGAGTTATCGGGGTGAATTTTCTAGTAATATAAATTTCTGTTTGGTTCAAATATATTCTTCATGTGTTTACTCAGCGCCATTCCTTGTCTTTCCCCTTATCCTCGCATCTTGTATCACTATGTGTGTTTCCCTTCACTATTTCATCTGACATGTTTTTGGAGATGCAGTGTAGAGTTTTAAGTAATTGACGGGTTTATAGATAAATGAAAAGTTTCCCCTTTAAACTCAAGGGATGATTATTTTGTACATAAGTCTTATAGGCGTTGAGCAGGTTTTTGATGATTGCGTGCCTGCGTGACCGGTTGACTTGTTTTTGTAGCCAAATATAGACTCAATTTAGAGCAATTGTGTGATTTCTTCCGCAATGGATTAATTTATCCATTGAATCTGAATATTTTGAAACATGATTGCAGTTAAGCTCTCCATCTTCTGATAATGACTTTATATTTATAATTGCTCGAGGAATTATGTAAACCACAGCTGACCTTGCCGGCTCTGGACAAATATGTGTCTGTTTCAGCCCGATGACCTGTTACAAATCACATATCGCCATAGTAGTTTCAAAACAAGGAAAAAATGAATGATATCAAACAAAACTTTTTAACCGTTTAATTTGACCTTGAAAAGTCGCTCTATATGCCTTTTTGCGCCAATTAGTGGCTGCTCCATGATGTCCCAACCTTGCACCAAGAGTAGATTTGTTCTCTCCCCAGATTCCCCCACACAAATATTAAACCCTGTGCGGTTCATATCAGATTTTCTCAGAAGAGAAGGACTGTCTAACAAGACTGATGAGCGAGACCGAATCTCGGATTTTTTAATGGAACTCGGGTCGATTTTTTTATCACAGCAGTATACACTATATCATAATTGGTCAATCAGTTGTCTGTCTGGATTCTCACAAACCGCCATAAAAACTCCGGTTTCCACTCACGTAACACAAGTGAAATACATCGCTGTATTAGCAGCTCATAGTGAATAGTCGAAGATTGTATGTCTCCCTCAATTTTCACGGATTTCCCATCTTATTTCATTTTCATTGTGAAAATACCATAATTATCATACCTGGAGGATTATTAGCGATGAAATACAGGATTAAGGTTTCATAAAATCACACTAAGTCAGAGATTACTTAACACGACTTTATTTGCTGCCACCCAATAAACAAAAAGCGCCAATAATTAATATATGCAAGTTAGAACGATATTCTTTTTAAACAATTATAGAAACCAGTATTGAAAACGAAACAAATTGTGTTAAATATATTACGAACAATTCCAACACTGGTCAAAAATTTTTCTTGCTGTATTTGAGGATGAAATGGTAAACCTGCTTAATAACAAGGGGCAAATCGTTTCAGTTGGATGCGTATGGTGACGAGAAAAAATTTTAATGACAATGATATGTAAATAATAGTTACTATCTCTCGCGAATTTACGAAATACCACCTAGGTCAAGATCGCAATATTCCAAATATATATCTTAACAATGCGTCATTCTCTTTTAAATTAGTAAGTCAGCTGTGATTCGTTTGTAAACTTAATTTTTAAATGAGTCCGATAGCTTTCCTCAAACGCTTCGCTTAAATGCGTATGAATAAAGGGGCTTAATTTACAAGGAATTTTTTCCTGTTTGTGTTTAATTTCCATTTTGCCCCGATCGTCATGTTATTGTCAGAGAATTCATTGCAAAAAAATTTATTCAATAAACTTAGAAAGCAAGCGGGTTCACTCTTTTGATAATCTTCTCTAGTCTGTTAGCTCGTAGTTCTGACAAGGGCATGATTACTTCCCCAATCACATAAACAGTGTCTTGCACATGATCAAAATCCAACACCACAAAGTGTACAGTGCACTCTCGTAATTTGTTGTGAACAAAACCAGGAACGATGAAAGTTTCGTTGAAAGCAGGATTCGAAGTACGTGAAATTCTGCGTGTCCACTGCCACGACAACATCTCGGGTAATATGCGCATTTTAACGCTGCAACTAGGCGGGCGTAAGAAACTTTCGTTTGGCGTAGAAATCCCAACAACTTGAATTACGGTAATGTGTAACTCACGACTGGCCGTGTCGTAAAAACACGAGAACTCAAGCCGACATTCCTCCTCCTCTGATGAAAATTTCTTTTTTAAGAATTCTTCTGGGTTAGGATTGAATAATCCATCAGATTTAAGGGTGGTGGGTAAACTCATTCGTTTTGATAGTTTTGGCTTGTCTGAGCCGGTCGACCCGTTTCTCTCAAGACTTCGCGGGCTCCCGTCTTCAACGTCCTCACTGTCCTCCGGGATGGTAGCAATTGCGCCAGCTTCGTAAGGCCTTGTTACGCGAATTCTCCGATGATCACCATCGTTTAGTTCGGTTATTTCCGGGTAAGATTCTGCGGAAGACTTTGCTAGCGTATATACATTTGGTTGGACTTGAACTGGTCGAGTTTGGGCGGCGAGGAATGCGCCATCGGGATTTGAGGCGGAATAGTAATCGATCTTCGCACGTACATCCCGTGAAAGTGGACTATAAGTCCCCGATCGTTTTGTATAAACAAAATATCCAACACAGACTACGATGGCTCCCGCCAGAAAACCAAGAACTGACCCCAAAATAACGCCAAGAACGTTGGGATCCTGTCCGAAAAAAAAAATTATGAGTGGCAGCCAAATAAGAAATTCTTCAAAACTTGCCGCGATTTAAAAGGACGTCAAAGTTTGAAAGTCTTTTAAACTATACCGTGTCTACGTACCGTCATTTGAACGTTCTTAAGTCATGCTTCCTTTTTCCGCAGTAAAAAACGTTGCTTTCTCGAGTCACAACCAAACGGGAACTTATTAATGCATAAACGTGTCGAAGGCTCTGCTTACTTGGACTTTTCGCGGGGTCGAGTAGTTCGATTACCGTTTGCAAATTAGTTGTGAATATAAATAAGGCTTATTAAAGGCATTTGTATCTGTCCATCATACACGTCTTTCAAAGTTCCGCATTCACTCGTGCGTAACATTTTGTTCCATTTGGCCGTGGGTTTGTTGTTATGCAAAATACTACAAAGCCACTCAACTCTCTTTGCGTCACACAAGTAACGATATTTACGCTGAAATGAATTAGATTACTCTTCGAATAATGAACCACTATTCGATCAATGTTAAATTATGTATTTTGGACCGCCAATCTGTTTTTTCTCCCCTTCTTGCGTTCCAGATTCTACCACAATACATTAATGCAGAGCTCTAAAGGTCGATGTCATGTAAACATCTCTCTACCATTACTCACTTTTTGTTGATTTGATATCTTTCGGGTTGATTTTCATTGATTTTTGACGTCTTGCAGTGAATTCCTTGATTGATTTTATTTTCAACCTTTGAAAACAAAATTCCATCCAAAATGGCAATTATCATTCCAAAGTATCTGCCGAAATAAGATTTTTGAACGCTTTCTCTCTAAGGCGAGAAATAGATAATAGAGGTTATGTCACTTCACAGGGTCGAGTGAATGGTACATTCTTCTAGGAAACAAAGATATTATGATTAAAAAAAGCAAATGTTTGAGCTACACTGGAGTAAACTGCTTGTTTGTTGAAAGGCCGAAAATAGGAAAGCCTTGAGAATTTTTTTCGGTTTCGTTGTGGCGCAAATTAAGAGAACTGAAATAAATTTATTTAGGTGATGTTAGGGGGGTAATTAATCGATCTCTTTTCGAATGAACCCAATGCATTTAAATTTTGTCAAAGCTAATTAACCATCTATTATGAGAACAGTTTGAAAGATTCCTATTTCCAAGTTTCCCGAAAGCGGAGGTTTTTATCTAGTGTAAACACTCTTCTGTTGGGCACGCAAGAATTACATAAATAAAGCACCTGTTTTTTCTTCAATGGAGGTAGGTCAGTCAAGACATATTGGATTTATTTAGGTCGTTAAAAATAGTAAGACGTATATTGGCAGGAAATCTTAAATCAATACTTCCCAGGAAATACAAGCTTCAAAGTGACGAAAATTTTGGTAGAAAAGTCGCCAAGATGACTAGAATTGGGGACGATTTTTCAGGTTTTTTTTTAAATTTGAAAAATGGAGGTTAAATCTTTCAAAGTGTTCATGCGAACCGAGATCTATCTAATTATATCTTTCCAATATAAGAAAAGTCACAATAATATCGATCTTTTTCCGGTACAAAAAATGTATTCCACTTTTTGATTAAAAGTGAGAGTTATCATGGGTTTTATTTTCCTTTAGTCATATACAGAGTAGTTTCTCGATTAATTCCCATTCATTTTAAGAAGTCCCATTATCCTATGCGTTGTCGGTAGGCGCACGCAGCACATAAGTCCTTTTGAATTTATCACATGACTTAAGTTCCTCTAATGACACGTCCACCTGAGCAAAGGGTTTGTCGTCCTCTCCCAAACGCACAACCATAAATCTGAGGATAGCTTCTTCTAAATCCATTGCTTTTACTCCAGACATGACAAAATGGTCTCTCAAAACAAAGCTGTCCGTGATGTTTACCGTCCTTGTACGCTGCCATGTTGAAAATTTTGGTAAAAGGCAAACTTTCACGTAAACATCGCATTCTGGCATTACATTTTTGTTTAGAGTAACTTCAAGACCCAAAATAGAGACGTAAAGCAAAGAGGTGACAGAATTACCGTTCTTGTACAAAACAGACACTTTTAGATTTCCTACTAAAGCTTCTTTGTCGCTCGTAAGATGATTGGATCCTTGGTCGATATTTTGCTGCTGTTTGCGCTTTTCACCATCTCGTCGAAGTGCATTTAAAAGAGTAGACATTATTTGAGTGTCTTTACCCACTTTTAAAATTCGCTGATCAAAATTTTTTGAATGTTCTCTTTGGACAAGACCAACATCCTTTTTTTCTGAGGCATTAGCAGTTGAGATTCTACCATCCACAGTCTGGTATTTCTTTGCATCTTTAACTTCTAAGTTGTCATGTAGAGTGTTACTTAGAACCACCTTTTTCTTCTGCCTCGAGTTTTTATCGGGAAAAAAACTATCTGTGTCAGATTCCACAGCGAAGCTTAGTGTCACGCTTGATGTATCCGCTACACTTTCATCGATCGGTGCAAAGCAACTTGCACCCCTATTTTCTTCCAAGTTTATTTGAAAATTGTTTGCTTCGTCGCCACAACTGCGACCACTATGGAACTTTCTTTTAGGTTGCTCAGCAAAGCTGCTCGCTCCTCTCAAGTTCATATCTCTCAAAGAGCAGAAATCACCAAAGATACTCGCCCCTCGAAGTTCATTCTCTCTGATATCCGTGTTCACAAATTCACTTTGTCTTGCAGTGGTTTCAATGATCGCTCTATCTTCTTCTTCACTTTGGACAGCACCCAAAATGCTGGCACCTCTTAGTTCTGTTTGCTCAGAGTGTAACGCCGCTTTAAAGCCTTTCTCAGGTGTGCAGGGAAACTTTTCTCCCGTTTTCTGGCAATGAACTCTACACGAAGTTCCATGAATACACATCGCACTTGACGCTCTAAGGAGATTTAAAGTACTCTGTCTTCCACCTTTCGCGAGGCGCTCAGTTCTTGATGTAACAAGCTGACGATCGTCATTCAGAAACTCAGAACTATTTTCAGCAGTTATCGTATTTGTCTTATTTGATTGGCTGGAGGTCATCTGAAACTCACCATGCCCTTTGCAACTACCTGGACCCAAACACAGTGAGCCTGGTGCCCTTACCGTTTGCAAGCAGCTTAGGCGACCTCCACGATGGACTGAGTTCTGAGCCAGAGGCAAATCATCTTCTGAAATTACCTGCAGTTTTGCCAACAGCTGTAAACTTTCCTGAAGTGGTGCACGCATTTTTCTCCGGCTCGATTGACAGTCCCTCTCATGAGTTGCGCACCAAGGTCTTCCAATTTCCTCGTCAGGAGAGTCAATAGCCGAAGGGCTGATCTTCCCTCCTTCATTGCGGGACTCTTCCACATCGTTTAGCCACTTTTCCAAATCCATGCGTCTCAGTGGACTTTTATTAATTTCTCTCATATTCTCTGACGTTAAAGATCCAGATATCTGCGCACCTGGAGTTTGAGGCTTTATCATATCACTGTGCGCTGTATATGCGTCACATTCGCTCCCATGATTCTGAGTTTTATTTGAGCTTTGTGCAATATCACCCCAAGTGAGTTGTGTTTTGTTAACTCGAGGCTTCTCTGCACTGGTTCTCATTTTTTCAACATCTGCCCCATGTATGGAACAATTGCAGCCTTTAACACATAAAGTACTAGGAGCACTTTCTAACTGGAGCACACTTGCTCTTCCTCCACCATAAACTCCATAGTCAAACTGAGGTGTCTTATGCCTGCCGGGTATCTCATTTATTTCTCCTTCGTGGAAACTTAAAGAATGATGTTCACTGATCGGATACTTTTCTAAACTATCGACTTCGTAACTATCCGGAGAATCAGTACCAATTCCGCTGGATGCAGCGGGATTTCTTTGTGCATGGTCGTCTCTGCTAAAACATTCCATCACGCAATCCCTGTCTTGATACGAAGTCTTTTTGCAATCTTTTGTGTTGAAATGAATTGGACTTACACCTGTATCTCTGACTTCCGCCTTAGACATATTTACTACGCATGTCTGCCCAAGTAATCCCCCGATGTTGCCAACTAATCCGCTGACTGGCTGGAACTGCGGTAAATCTTGATATTCTTTCCTTACAGCATCCACAACGTCGTTGTTTTCTTGCTGCAGCACAGAGGACGGTTCTTTTGCGATTTTCTCCGGTATGTTATGAAAACGAATCGTCCGTCGCCCATATTTTTGTTCAAATTTTCTTTTAAACTTATCCTCCGACATTTTTTTGGTTTTGCATGGGACGGTTCCGCTTGAAAAAAGTATACCGCCGAAAATGAGCATAAGTAACGCGCCAATAGCAGGGAGAAGGAACGCGCTGATATCAGCTGAGTTATCTTGAGGTATGGCGTCAGTTTCCTCAGAGGTCTGGTCAGAAAGGTCTGAAATAAAGTAGATATGTTACGTGAAAAAATTCAGAATCTATCGATGTCAGTAGGATAGTTTTTGTTTTCTATTTTATAAACCTCTGAACAAAATTTAGAATTATACACTGCAAAATAAGTTTTATGGAAGTTCACTCTTTGTAGAGAGGTTGGCTAAAATTTATTCCGCTCTTTTTGTAAAAAAGCATATTCAGATTGAAATAATAAGTGCCGCCTTGAGATGAAGCAGGCTTTTAAAAATCATTGAATCCTGAATCATCTCAGTTCTGTCCATGAGACCCAAAATACGAAGAAGGTAACCAGTAAGGAATGCTGTGAAAATTTTCCCAAAGGATTTCTTATCTCTTAATTCACAACAGCTCATAAATATTGGTTACCCTCAAATTATCTGATTGACCGTTAATTACGAGGCTCCCCTACCTTGTAATTGTTCCAGGAAAAAAATTAATGTCGAATTATTGTAAAAGCTCTCATAATACTTAAAACTTCACGTCGGTAACTAGCGTTATGTGTTACAATTTTTGGTACAAAATTTGTCATTCTATCTGGAGTCGAAATGGAAGAAACCAGATTTATAACGATGACTTTCTTGCATCAGATTTATTCATCATTTCTAATATATTCCGGTTTCGTTCTTTACCAACGAAAACAAAATCACAAATAGAAACAGAAAAACAGAGTTATAAATTAAGGTGACACTCCTCTTAAACAAATAATAATTTTTGCCACCTGTCAGTCCACCCGTCGTGCCAGGCGGGAAAAGAAATTGTTTCCAATAACTTTCCTTTTTCTTTACCAGATTAGAAACGATCAGAAATGAAGCTTCAATTCCAATGCAAAAACTAAATGATCTTTTTAGTTATATATCGCCTAATAGTTATTAGTTCATGGTATGCTCTCTTGATGTCCCATGCAATGAACTACGTTCACGCCCTTTGGGAATGACTACTCTTCGGACTGGGCGTAACTAGCCAAAAAGACTCTTTCACGAACACAAGAAAAGTCATATTTTTGAAGTTCTGACGTCCAAAATACGATATATCGAACGTCTATAAACTCTTGTTTTTATTGGCATGTATGTCCCTTGCTCCTCTGTCTACTCAGGCAGTGCTCTTTATCAGTGTTAAGAGAAAACCGTCGGAGCGTGAGATTGAAATATTGCTAATGCCGGTTGTTATTAAAACGTCAGTACCTTGAGTTATCAAGAAAACCTATCGCTGTATCCTTGTTCCGTTTTATAGCATAGACTTGCAAAACTAAAGCTTAAGGATTTTAGTTGTTACCTGGCAAAGTTTACTTTATACAAAATATCAAATTTAACAGACAAAAATTGCTTGCAAACATGCACCTGTGACCTGCGAAATGTCCATGCTGTACATAAACACATAAGCCCAAACACCGCTCGTAACAATCAATTTATCCAATTTCGGATCAGTGTTTAAGACAAAAGCATGTTTTGGTTTTACTTACTCAACGCATATTGTGTTCTTCCATTTGACGGTATTTCCATAATCTAAGGGAACAATCCCGTCGAAATTTCCATCAACACCTCCAGCATCTTCCACTTGAACTTCACCTCTGCTGGTCACGTGTTGACGTCGCATATGGCGTGAACTCAAGCGCAGTCATGACAACAGTGACGTCAAAACCCTAGATTCTACGAACATCGCTTTACTCCGCATGTAACGAACACCAGATCACAGGGACACCAGGTTAGACAAAATTATCAGATATTCCATTATCTCTTTGTATAAATGGCTAGCATTAATTTGATCCCAGGAATTTTAACCATACAAGCTAAACCTTTAAATATTTTTTCCCAGAAAAAGCTGGTAAAAATCAAGCGCGTTACTGCGCAAGAAATGTTCCAAAAACTTTGTAAACTGATCTTAGGTTTAGAGAAATAGGGATCCATAGACTTAAGTATTTATTTAATCCTCCAGACTCCTGAATCACGAATATCCCAATGAAACTGTAAAGATGTAGTCAGTGCGTAGCGTAACGGAAGCCAAAAATTGAAAATGAAAACTTATTATACTTCGACAAGCAATTTATTAAGAGAGCTTTTTCAATGTCACTTTTCACATTTCCGTGGTATCCCGAAAATAACTAACACACTCAATAAACAAAATTTTCGCTGAATATCCGCGCTTAAGAGTAAAACTGCAGGACCCGTCGATCAGAACCGGTGGCCATGATGACGTCACGACTTGTGGAAGGCTGGAAAGAAGTCTTTGTTTTATCGCCATGATGAAATGGCGACCATCGGAGGATTCGCCTGGCATGACGCTTCCGACCTTCAAAGGTAAGGAATGCTTGATTTAACACATGAAAAATATTGTTGGAATACTTATTGAATTATGAAGATTATTTTTCTGGATATTTTGAAAAGATCACTGCAGCGGCGGCCAATTTCTACACGAAGAAACTCGGTTTACCGCAGCGGAATTGCTATTTTAAAACATAATAGCTTGCATGCTCCTGACCAATCCTGTTCTTCAGTCAAAACGAATTTTTTAATCCATACTATAAAAGTATAATTATCTGTTTTTTAATTCGAGCCAGAGGTTACTTGAAAAAGGTAGGCTCCGGAATTGGATTCTCGTCTTGATAATTATTTGTATTGATGTCGTTTGTCAGTTTGATCAAGTTTGATGAATTTGCTACAGCCTTGAAGTGTAACACTTAATTGTATTCTTACAGAAAAAAAGAGATGCTTCTCGTTTTGAATTTCACCTGCGCTGAGCATGCAAACACTTCAAATTTTTTGAGTACTGGGTATTGAGTTGCAAAGAGCACTATGATGTTGTTAGAATGTGCTTTGTGTAAGATAAAGGTGCTTTGACTTAGAACGCTGAGTGCTGAATGGTGGATGGATTTATTGATATTTTTTATGATTCGTTGCTCGAAATCAGCTATGACTTATATTTAGACAAAATTAGGAAAAGAGATGAAAGACCAAATCGTCACACCTGGTGCCAATTGAGAAACATTTCACCAGTAACTGACCAATCAAAGATCACTGCTTTATTTTGGCGCCGTAATGAATTTGTTGTTGGGTCGTACCGCGTTTACATACAAATGGTGCATTCTTGTCCATAGGATGCACTTGATATCACTTTTAAGCTTGAATCAATTCAGATTCACACATAAGGAAAATCTGGTGAAAGAAGGAAATGTGTTCTGTTGTTTTGCTCTTTTGATACGTAGGCATGCATGGCAACTTTTATATTTGTCCCAGTTTAGAGTTAAGTTGATCTTTATGAACTGAAACAAAGAGAAAATGAGGGCTCCTTGAGGAAGAATTGAACTACATTAGCGAACTTCAGTGTTTCTGACACACTTTTTCTCCCTAAAAAAAATTGCATTCATGAAACGCGACCATTTTCTGCGAGACTTTGAAACCATGTAATGCAAGAGAAGTGAACGATTTGCTCGTTTTTTTCAGATCTGTTATATTGTCTTTTATACTAGGGTAGCCCTTAACAACTAAATTCCACCTGTATAAACTTCTGAGCCGCTTGCTTGGCCAAAACATAATAAAAACAGACACGTCGCCCCTTTCATATGCAAATGCACGATGATGATGCATTCAAAATGCGCTCGAGTGAATTTTGTACAGTTATAACGCACCCTGTGAAAAATTGGTGAATTGATACAAGGGAGGCTATTTATCTCCGAGTTGCTAAACAAGAGGTGAATTTAAGAGAGAGAGAGAGAGAGAGTAAATTCACGGCGATGGTGGAGGTGAAACTTGTGTTAAATCTTGACCGGTTTAGTGTAAATTGGGTAAGAGAAGTAGATTATGGCGCCACTTCTTCCTACCCCGCATCGACATAACAAGTCGTCTCTAACTAGAGACAGAAAGAACATCAAACGTGGTAAGACGCTTTTTTTAATAAATATATCGACGGATAACGTTTCTATTTACCTGTCGATAGATTTCTCATAGTAGTTGCGATATCAACTCATCGTCAATGGTTTTATTTTTTTATGATACTTCAGATCAAAATGAACTTGATACGGGCAAAATGTTCGTCCAAGAATTGTGAGCGTTTACACAATTATAGTCTAGGAGGATTTTTCATTAAGTCTGTTCTTTTATCAGTATAGATTCTTGCATTTTTGACAAATCTTTGCATACGAAGATTGCTGAGGATCTATCTATTATTCCATCCTTTCAAACAACAAATACATGTAAGATAAATTTTCGTTATTTACCCAGTGCAACAGTAGTTGTTGATAACCATGGCAGAAAATTTATATTGTGAGAAATTTATTACAATATTACCCTTCCATTGCAGATCAGTGTGAACACCAATTCAGTGTAATTTTAGTCTGCATTTCAATACCATGTCTTGTTTGGGCCTTGTTGAAAAAAACTTGAACCCCTTGCGAGAATTTGCGCGTCTTATCGCCGCTTAAAAAGAAAAAAAAATTGTGCTAGTCATGGGCCAGAAAAAATTAATTTGACATCAGCCTGGCCTGCTACCATTTTGAACACAATTTGAAATAATCTTTACGTGAAAAATTTGGGGCTTTAAAACGTTAGAAATGTATCAAAACTGTAATCTGATAAATTAACCCCGGCAATTTAACCTGAGGGGCCACAGGAAAGCCTTTTGACATATTAAAATTCTGCGATGTTTTCTTTCCTTTTTCTTTCTCCCTCTTTTGAATTTGCATTTTGCCGTTTTACTGACGAATAATAAAAAAATTATCAATTATAATTTGGTGTTGACAATGATTATACGCAATTGTTTCTGGAAATATTATCACATTTTGATATTCCCAATAAAATTAACGGTGTATTTAATTATTCCGTCGCGGCTATTTAAGTTGCTTTGTCATTTTTTTTCGAAATATTTATGTGCGAGGGAAATTGGCTTTCAACGCCACCTAAAAAATTTGCATTTTCTATACGCAATAATTTCCCTGAGGAGTGCATAAATGCATGCATGTTATTTATATATTTATATTTTTTTTTCTTTCAGACTTTGATCCTCGCAGTAAACCACACTCAGCCAATTTTATGACACGCTTTGCATCCAACAACACGGGATTATTATGTCTCTTTGGCATTCTCGTCCTGCCAATCCTCTTGGGCTTTGCTATCGGCTACCTTTTAGTCGTTTTAGGCGTCAGCGCCTACAAAAAGATAACAGGGGAAAAGTCACGCGCGCATGCCGCAAAAGAAGCCTCGCAGAAGATACAACTTGTCATGGGAGACAAGATAGTGGACTCTTCTTTCCCTAAAACTGTATCTTTAAATGTTCAAGAGACAAAAAATCGTAGTTTTCCTTGTCCTCCTACAAGGTATTACTACCATCGGCTGTGTAACTATTCCAATGAAATTGTTAATGGCGATTCGACCACATTCAATGACGAAAGCTCAGTCTCTGGAGACGAGACAGATCACAGGTCACGAGAAAAAGTGACGCTACTTACCCCGGATGTTCAAGAGTCGGACTCTAGTACGCATGCGTCACTAGAAGATAACTTGGATAAGACTGAAGAAGAAGTGGTAAGAGAAGACATCAGTTTTAAACAGGACAAGGACTCGGGTTTTTCTGGGGAGGAAAACAGTCCTGGGAAGAGAAAGAGATGTAATTCGAATCCCACATCCACACCGCAAAAGAGGCACTTGGATTTGCCAGAAAATAAAACGAATGAGATGAACTTGAAAGAGATAGGTCTCATAGGAGAAGATCAAACACCATCGCCTGATAACCCGGATGGAAAACTTGGAAAAGTTCGGTTTGCCCTTCACTACAATGTTGCTAAAACAGAGCTTCAAGTAAACATAATAAAGGCGGTCGGCCTTCCCATAACTGATAATAAGGAAGGAATTAACCCACTGGTCAAGATATCTCTACTACCACAGCAGTTCTGTTGGCAAAGAACAAAAATCATCGAAGGAACCCCAGATCCCGTTTTCAACGAGACTTTTGTTATTTCAGGTTTTTCAAAGGATAGAATCAAAGAATACGAGTTGAAGTTCAGAGTAGTGAACTTTCACGACAAGTTCAAAGACCGATATGCTGATGATGTCATAGGAGAAATACTTTTTCCTTTGTCGGAGTTAAAGTTGATGGAGAACAGACCCTCGTTTTCGATCACCAAGTGGCTGTACTTATCACCTCCACCTCCATTCGGGGTAGGTTAAACAGACAAACTAGGGCGGCCTAGTTTTCCTCTATATAATCCTTACATACCAAAATCCTAGAATATGCTAAGAAAAAATCTTTCTTTCCTTAAGACCTTTTCAAAACCCACTAAATGTACGAGAATATTTCTACAATCTTTGAGTGGAACCTCAGCACCTCTTTAAGAAAGAGAATGGCATGCACATATTGTACGCTGGCTAGCGCTTGAGTTAAACCGAAGGCGTGCAGTATTCCTCCTGATCTAACTGAAATAGAAAATTGTAAAAGTAAGTGATTGAGACACCCAAAAACTTACAAACTTATAAAGCATACAAAGTAGTCGAATCCTTTACTTCATAGAACAATTTCACTTCAGAATCATTCCCAAATCCTGTTTGTTCCTAACAATCACCCAAAAAACCAAGAAATCACTGGATACTTTTAACATACCCGGATTTTTTTGTCACCGGCCTGCTTCTATTAAAGGATGATAAACCCCCCTCGAACAACCAGCTATGTTTGTAAATGAGCTATTTTTCATGTATTTTCTCCCAACTCTTTAACGTTCATGATCTGAGTTGTAATTCTCCTTTTTAGCTGTCATACATTTCTTTGTAATTTAGTGAAGAGAGTTTGGTGCTATATAAAAATAACACCCTATAGCTTCCAATTTTGTTGAATTTTTTCACCTCTTTTCTGCAGTAATGAATTAAACCTCTGTGCCTAAACAATAGTTACTTTCGTTTGTCCATCATTCGTCAGATGGAAGCGGCTGACATCGGAGAACTGTGTGTATCGTTGTGTTTCCGACCGATCAGCGGTCGACTTATCGTAACTGTCACCAAGATCCGTGGATTACCAAAGGCAATTGCAGACCGCACAGGTGAGTTATTGCAGGCTCATTTAATGGCGTTAAGATGTTCAACCTTAAACACAACCTTAAACCAAACTTTAATCTTCAACAAAACAAATAGACAAAATAAAGCAATGGTCTATAAGCATTTTGCTTCTCATATTTTTAGCTGTACTAAAATGATTTAGCGCTTGAAGTATTGAATTCACCTGTTGCATTCATATCACAAAGAAACGGTGCATACAACATGAACTTCGAGTTGCCGTGTTTGCAACTAAACGGAGCCACCTTAACTTCTACGTTTCTTTGTCTACAGACCCGTACGTGAAGCTTGCGCTATACTGTGATGGTGTCCGCTTATCTAAGGCCAACACGCGCGTAAAGAGACGGAGCCTCAATCCCGTGTACAACGAGAAGTTTAATTTCAACATTTCCGCTGACCAGATATCCCTTACAACCGTAATGCTCAAGATAGTGAATCATTCGGAGATCAACACTGGCGGCGGGAGTTTGGGTACGGCTATTCTTGGATTTGATTCCTTTGGGTCTGGGCAGGAGCAGTGGAAATCAATGATCGAATCTCCAAGTAGGCATGTCGAAAAATGGCACAAGCTTTACAAGGATGTTTACTAAGAGTTTGACGAATTTTCTAAACTTGTAAGATTAAGTAGTACAGACCAAGAGCCCGTATAACTGCTGGTGCTTATCTACAGTTTTTCTCGAGGGGAGATCATTACTGATAGCGTTAACACTTCCTAAGAGAGACATAACAAATCTGGTTGGCACACACTGAGGGGAATAGGTTTTACGAGTGTTTGTGAGAGAGGAATTCGCGCGACGATTGGGAAGGAGGAAAAGACTATCATCAGATTAGAAACCAAACGAAGAGCGGTTGTTAGGAAGCAATTTCCGGTCGCGATGGCGACACGCCCAAAAACCACAAGGGGAAATTCAAAGATAAAGCAAGCGATAATGGTCTCCATGTTTGCTTCCTTTGTTGAAAAACGGCTGTTGTTTGAATATTTTTGAACTGATGTAATGTTTTTTCTTATGGCGAGAGTGGTCATCTTTATGTTACACAGAATTGTGCGGCTATATTTCCCTCGATTATGTGTGGCTAAACTGCTAACTCGAAAACAAAGGGAAAAATTTGTAAGAAGAAACAATTCTAGGCACTAGTAGGTTTAACATGACCAAACTGCACTTTTAAAGAGAGCAAGTTATATTGCTACTAGATATTATTTATTGAAGCCATGACTTATAATTAGAATTAGCTGACGATGATGGTGCAATCCAACGTAGGACATCATTTGTTATGAAGTAATTTCGAACCCCTTCCCACAATACTATTCCTGCTCTAACTTATCTCCTGTGCTTGGCTGCTTATCACTTATTTTGATAACATCACCTGGACTTTTCCGCCGCTATTGTAAACGTAACAGAAGGGGTAATGTCCGGCTGAGGGTGTGACGGAGTCTTGCAAACAATTCTACTTTTCCGGCTTTGCCAGTTAAACATAGATTTCTGACGTAAGTCGATGGGTATTTACGTCATCTCTCGTTGAAAAATGCCTGGGTGCCGTAGATGTTATAATCTGTTGCGTTGATAAGTGTCTGATCGCTCACTAACCGAAAGGAAAACTGTAATCTAGGAAACTCTCGGGGTTTACAAGAATTGCCGTGCTCTTGTAATGTATGTATTAGTGTTGATTTCCTTCTACTGAGTTGAAATGTCATGCGCATGCTCAAAATTTCCCTGCATCGGAAGAGCGGCATTAAAATGATACCTTCAAAAACATACTTGTACCTAATTAAAAACATTGTGGTTTCTATTTTTGGTTCCGTAGCTACAAGCGCTTGATAAACTTGTTTGGACAATACTAATGTGGGTGTTTTTCAAAAACAAAAACTTACGCCGAATCCATTAAGATTCTTTTGTGGAACAAACTTGTATACCCTTAAATGTTATTTTTCTAGAAATAGACATAATCGATTTATGAACTTGTTCATATAGATTTCACAAAGTAGTTTGTGTTTGTGTAAGACTGATCAAATTTGTGTTGGTATAAATCGTATCTCATAGTGTTTTTTTAAATATCATAGGGAAACGAAAAAAATAGGTCACCATTCCGTACTTGTATCTAATATCTTCCTGTAATAAACTCCAGAACCTTCTGCAGCAAAAGTGAGGTCGATGAAATTTTTAAATAGGGTGTAGAAATGTACAGAGAGAGCCGAGAGGGGCTCATATCAGAAGCGGTAGATACTACCGCATGATAAAAATAATCCCTTAAAGTAAAATAATTTCCGAGGAAGTCGGCCGTTATTCTTGGGCAAAATACCTAGATAGGTATTTAAAATATTAATCAAAATTGTGTTCATTGCTTTTAGTGAGGGGGGGGGGGGGGAGAAAGGCATTTTAGAGTAAGTAAATGGCTTCCCTTTTTCAACCTAGAAAATAAGGGGGGTTGTCCTTTCCTTGGCTCAGTGAAAACTGTTTTTGTTTGAATTTTAGACCTATTAAAATCGTGATCGTAATTTAAGACACGGCAAAAGAGAATCACCTTTCTGGGACAGGCAGGTATTGGAACTTTCGAGAAATAAACCTCTGGCCTCTTAAGTCCATCTCCCTTCTTATAAAAACTAAAATACTAAAATTCAGCTTAAATGCCATGTTTAGATTAATGCTCTTTTCCCTTAAATCATTGGGATCTTAAAAGACAAGCACTTTTAATCGTTTCCCTCGAAAATCATACCCGATTTATTAAAGACCGTGATGGCCAAAATCACAGACACAAGTAGCTAAAAAAAAACTCAAATGTCGGGGCTAAGGCCTACATTGCTTATTTAAGGGAGTTCATCTTCTTTCTCCACCTGGGAATAAAAGCAGGTGCTACTTAAACTTAGTGGATTAAGACCATCGATAAAGTTGTGAAAAATCCTTTAATTATCTCCGGTCGGTAGATTCTCTTCATGTCTACTTTGTTTGAAATTAGATCAAGAAAGGTTAGCTTTCAAGTTCTGTTTCCTTTGATAAAAAGCATATCAGTAATGTACTGAGTTTAAATAGGATTTACAGCTTAACTGGAAGCAAAACACCGGATATTTGAAACCCTTTTTCTAGCCACCGGTTTGTACATGTTCACTGTGCGTATTGAATATTTGGCGCAAGGCTTTGTTGGGCTTTCACTGCTTTAATTGGTTTAGTAGTTTGTAAATTTAGTGTCATCTATTCAGGCTCAGGATGTCCTTGTGACTCGCAAATTGAGTTCAAACACCACTCTAACGATTTTGTAAGTGAATGCATTTGAAAAAGTCATCGACAGTCCTTTCTTCCTTCGAAAAACGTTTGAAATACACCGTTAAAACCAGTCATTGCCGCACAATTCAAACTGAAAAGCGCATGGGATTTATCACGAACAACTCCTCCCAAATAAGCCCGACTTTTCATCACAATCACCGCTCGTGCTTCTCGGGTTTTCACCGGTAAGATAGATTTTCCGGTCAAAAACATCAATACTTGTTGCGCAATCTTTGCAGATCTGATTGAGTGCTATTGGAAATCGAAAGTCCCCCTCAATCGGTGTATTACCACCGATCAGTCTGAAATATTATAAGATGAAACTAAATATTCTATGGTATGGTTGCTAAATTGGGTATTTATACTGAATCAAAGATTAAGCAAACAAAGTAGCATTTTAGATACTTATGAAAATCCTAAGTTAAGTTTCATTCATTAGTGGCTTAAAATTCAATTATAGCTATAAGTCATATCCCTTGCATCGAGCCGCTGACCGCGTTGATGCAAACTTTTATACAAGCTCCTTTATTTACATAGTATCAAACAGACTACCATTTGATTGCAATAGTAAATGATCTAGAAGCTTATATTATTTTCTGCGAGACTAGCTATGAACTAGTTTGCTTCATTTACAATAAAAATGATAACATTAATGATAATAATAATATTAGAGGTAACGATGACAAAACTTCTAACACTGATAATAATAGAATTTTTAGTGATTATTTTGTTCCATAGTTTGGCGATTAATCCCTCATTTTTTTCTTGAAAGCCAAGGATATTGGGAAAAACAAACAATGAAAACACAACATGACGTAATACTTTATGTTATTCTTGTCTACTAATCTTATTTTTACTTGACACAATGGCAAATATCGCTACGAATAATCTCTCATCGCAAGACCTTTGTGTACAACCGCAGAATTCGCACATATTGTAATTATAAAACGTCGATAACAGTATTTTCCAATCTTTTGACCCCTAACTAACACCACCTTTGCGTGGGGTATTTTCCACTTGATAAATTCATCTCTTCTCCTTCCTTGGATCTTTGTTCACATCACCCAACAGCGACAAAAAAAAAACCTTTTGAAAAGCCTTAGACGGTTCCGTAGCTTTTCCATTCGTTGGACTTTGCTTTGGCCAGCTCGTTCAAAGAAGAAAGAAAAACAACGATGTCAATATGCACTAAGCTGGGTTCTCAGTGCACGATACAAGAACGTTTTTTTGTTCAAAACAGGTTATTTGGTTAAAACTTCTGTCGCCGACACGATATGGGGGTTTTTAATCCGCTCTAACGCCACTCAGCAACTGTAACTGAAGCCGTGTTGTCTTTAGCAGTATTTTTGTGTGCAACAACTCTCTAGCTTAACCTTTAGAATAATGTCTCCGGTGCGCAGCGGGTGTTTTACCCACTAATCACCGTCTGAGGAGATATTGGCAACAGTGATCACTTTGAGGGACTTTTGTAAGACAAGGCCTCGCGTATTTGACGAGGTGGCTCAGTTTGATTCATTGCTATTTGAAATTTAATTCCCGTCAATTACAAAGAATAAAAGCCGCTGAGAAAACAGGAGTCTTCCGTGAGATCCTGCAATTTTTTCAAGTTTCTGTCGGTTAACGAGATACATTGGGAAATATAACCTTATTGGTGTATCAATAAAAGCCACTAGATGAATCGAAGATATGAAGCCTGGAGAAAGTTCTCGTTCACTAGTCAGGTCTTGATTGCGTCGGGCTAACTTTTAAATTTGATAAGATTATTAAGGAAACTTGTACCCTCTCGGTAGCTTTGAACAAGAGGATCGCATTCTCTTGATCCTTAATTAAGTGAGGCTAGTGTCAATCTGAACAGTGAAACTACATAGCTGAGATGGTGTGATGGAGTCCGCCATCAGCAAAGGGATGGGTTAGGAAGAAAAGAACAAAAAAAAAAACGAACTATAAGTGAAAAGTTGCATACGGATTTATGTAATGGTGAACCAAGCAAGCTGTTGCAAAATTTAATTGAATTGAACCCAAAGTGTAATCGATTTGAATCCGGCTGAAATACTTGATGTGAATCGACTGTAATCGTACTGTAGTTTTTTAGAACTTACTGGCAACGGTCTGACAAGTCTCATGTCACCACTACAGCCACCCTTGAGGTTCGCCAGAGAAGGATACCTTCTCACCAACGTGAACAAAGGAAATCTAGGATTGTGTGCTGCAGAGAGAAATTGGCTAGAAACTCACTCGCTGTTCCATGTTTTTTAAATTGCACACATTCCCTGCTGAGTAAAAATGATTCTTCAAAATCACGCACAGTCATCTCACACGAGAATGATGCTCTGATCTTTGATAACTCTTGTGAAATAAGGGCGTACTGACCCTACTTTAATGGAGCACTTGATATATAGTCAATTCCAGCAAGAGTCAACTGCGTAAACCTTTTGTTTAACGAGTAACATTACAAAGCTGTAAAAGCCTTAAGACGTCGACGTTTAATTCATAAGACGGCATCCAACGAAATTTTGAGGTCGACAGGTATTTAATGGCATTTGCTAGCTTTTCACTGAGCAAGTGACTCAATTTCTGTTCTTTAAGTATTTCGGTTTTGTTTCTGATAACAAGCGCTTAACTTTGTCAGCGCTTACGGTGTTGCACAGAACCAATAAACTGCTGATTATATTTTCAGTTCACTTGAAAATACCGACCCATAATCTCTCAGGCTGAGAGGTAACACTGAGTAATATTAATAAGCCGCAGAACAAGACCTTGTAGAAACTCGTTGTACAAAAACTTATGCTACGTGAATATTTTTCATTTAATGTCTTCCTGATTTGAGCTTTGATCTTGGTTCTAATTGACCTGCAATTCTTTCTTTATGTAAAAACAACAGCAACACATGTTTCCAATAGCTAGCTGCTGCGATAATTAATTAGATATGCAAACTAATTATGAATTGTTATTCAATGTTCGCGTGCCTGCATGGGTTTGTCGTGCGTTGTGGTCGATATCAAAGATAGGATTCAACAGACAATGGTCGGGCATAAACTACAAAAGAGAGTTTGTTTTTGCAATTGGATAAGAGGAAATTTAGTTAACCAGCCAGAGATTACATGAAAAGGCTTCAAACCGGACAGATTAAATTCCCGTATGAATTGCACGAAGCTGAAAACGTTAACGCTAATATATTACTTCGCTTTTGCCGGTAGTCGTTGTCAGTTTTGTTGCTTTTACTGTTTTGTGAACGTCTCACTGAAAACCCGTGTTACTTTTCTCTGAGCTGCCAACCTTAAAACGCAATAAAAGCACCTTTAAAAGCTCTACATACCAGCCATCAACACAGACTTACTCAGGAACTGAGATTACAGTCATAATGTCTGCAAATGGCTTTATAAAAGAGTTTTGACAAGCAACCATTTGACTTTATCAAATTCCTATCTTGCGAAGGAAATGTCTCAAAACACTGTGATATCAACGCACGGTGTTTCATCCTTACTCTTGACCAAACGCTGACAAACGGTCAATCACAGACTTAGCTCACAAGATAGATTTCCTAATTAAAAAAGTTTTGAGGGGTTCTTGACATATTGGCTTCGCAAAGAAACCTAATATACTTAAAAAATTTAACCCTGTCGAAAAAACAAGCAGAGAAAATAGAGGACACCGATGCCTATCTTTCACGCAAAATAAGAGGGCATTAATCACTTGCTATTTTGAAGTAATGTTTTATGACAGTAAACTTTTCGTCCTTGCGTTCAAATTTCTCATCATTTTAGGTTGAGATTTACAAGAGCTGCTCCTTGACTCCGTTCGAAGTACTCCATAAGCTTCATAAGATTTTAACTTGACAGGTTTTTCTT